AAAGTACGTATATAGCAATTTTTCAACGCTCAATCTCACTTCTATTTTTTCCTTAAAATGTCGTTAAAACTGATATTAAACAATAAAGTTTAATTACTTTCATAGGTAATTGACATGTTTCTTTAAACCTGTTTCCAACTGTACAGTGAAAATTAGCGTCATAAGTTAGGTACTAGTAATTAGGAAAAACCGGAAGCTGTTTTCTCGATTTATTTTTGCACATAATGATATAATACTATACATCACGTTATAGCAATGTACATATAATTAACTCTAGAATAGCGGTGGCAGGGTCACTCAGACCCGTGTAGTGATGCGTTGAGTACTTGAGTATAGTAAATTATTGGATATAATATTTATATAAAGAAATATAGGAATATAGAAGTGTAGAAACATAGAAGTATAGAAAACAATAAGTAATTTTCAAAGTAACCAACCAACCAACAAATAAAAAAAAAGGAAATTAAATGAATTGCTTTCGTTATCATTTATAACTATAATTAATAATTGTGTCATTTTTTATTATTTATTTTCAGCAACTGCGATTATGGAACGGTTCCCTTTCTTTTCAATACTGGCAAAAGCCTGGTGTTGTTCGACTGACCAAAGTGTACATATTCAACGTAACTAATCCGGAAAACTTCTTGCAATATAACGAGAAACCAAAATTGCAAGAGGTCGGTCCTTTCATTTATAGGTAAGCATCGAGTAAAAATAAATTAAGACATTGAGTGCCACATGGATCATCAGTGACCTACATTACCTACCAAAGGCATACTTTTAATTAAGCAAAAAAAGAAAGAAATATTACTCACTGATGAAATAAAAGCTGAATCTTTTATTTTACAGGGAAGATATGGAGAAAGTAAATATCGTTTTCCATAACAATGGTACCGTAAGTTATCAACACAAGAAAATATTAAATTTTGTGCCGGAGATGTCTAAAGACGAAAACCTTAAAGTAATAGTACCAAACATTCCATTACTAGTGAGTACATTATTTCATAATTTACAAATAATAACTTCAAATAATATTGTAATTTGTAACATGATTGTATTTTTTAATTGCTTACATTATTGCTAAAAATAAAATGGTTCTTGTATTTTTCAGACTTTGTCAACGCAAAGTAAAAGTCTACCTCGATTTTTAACTGTAGGATTATCCGTGTTTTTGAGCGGATTGCATATGAAATCGTTTGTTCCTGTAACTGCTCAAGAACTTGTTTTCGGATACGATGATCCGCTAGTTAGCATTGCTCACCGATTTTTCCCGAAAACAAGACGTCCTATGAGTCGGATGGGGCTACTTCTCGGGGTAGGTAATAATTTATATGAATTATTTTTAAATTTGAAGGCACAGTTCTATATTTTAAAACCACCGCTATAGCGTATTTGGCGGGTCTTTCTAAAAGAGCGCGATGGAACATCCTGTACCCTCTAGTGTTAATGGTGAGAACTTAAAACGATGAAACTTTTGCGCTCTCTATCGGTGGAATCAAAAAGCTCGTTTTTAGTACCAGATAATAGATGGCATCACTTGGATTTTTGAAATATAGAAATTTTGATAAATTTTCAACTTCAGTTTATTCAAAAATAAAACCTCGTACAAAAGAATGTCGACTTTCAAATTTTTAATTATTTTGAAATGTTACACCTCCTTGTGCCACCAAATTAAAAAAATAGCCAAATTATGAAAAAATAATTTCATAATTGATAATTAAAAACAATTATTGCTAACTTTTTACTTTTGATATGAAGCTAACTTTTTCATTTACAGAGGAATGGTACACTAAATGAAGTGTCAACTATTTATACTGGACATACTGACATGAAGGAATTTGGATTAATTAATCGTTTAAATGGATTAGATCATTTGCCATATTGGCCAAATGCGCCATGTAATTCTATTCGAGCTTCTGAAGGTGATTATTACTAATTACTTTGAAAACGAAATCTCCTTATTTATTTCTTGTTATATTCTGTGAATTATAGGATCATTTTTTCCACCCCGTGAAAAGACTGGTGCTGATGTCGTTCATATATGGGACAAAGATATTTGCCGCACGCTACCTCTAAAATATCGAGGTCCAACTGAGAAATCGGGAATTAAGGCCGATTTGTATACACCATCAGATGTTGTGTTCGGACGTCCGAACGAAACTACCCCCGAAAATGAATGTTTTTGTTCGGACGATATGTCCACTTGCCCTTCGAATGGGCTACAAAATATTAGTCCTTGCCAGTACAGTAAGTACTGATTAATAAATTGTATTATTTTTATAAAAGAAAAATAATAATTTGCTAATTGCAGAATTACTAAATTTTAATATTTATGTTAATTCTGTTATAAATTTATATTTTTTATAATTGTTGCATTTTTTAAATTTTAGGCGCACCAGTCTATCTTTCTTTCCCTCATTTCTATAAAGCGGACCCTAAATTATTAGATGCAGTTCACGGATTAAAACCAGATCATGATACACATGGGACGTATTTTAAAATACAACCGGTAAGTGTTCTTTTATAAATAAGTATTGATGAACCAGTGATAATATTAAAATTAATAAAATATTAATAATATTATAAATAAACACTAATAAATAATAAATGAATACTAATACTGATACACAATTGTATAAATTAATTCGGTGCTTTTAGCATTAGGCCTTTTTAATACTATTTTAAATTTGAATATTTTCCCGCGTGTCCATCGAGTTAGAAAATGGCGCCAGAATGTAACGACAACGATTGCTTCAACAATTAGCGTTGCTATGACTTTTTAAGAAATAAATCTTCAGTTAAAAGGAGAATAGACACCGAATTAATTTTTACATGTAATACGAATTGTCTGTAACATAACCTCTGCACAGATCAATCTACCAATTCAATAAAAGTAATGTAGAAATGAACACTGCTTTAGTTTGAACAGCACTCATTTTAACCAAAGAGAGAATAAATAAAAAAAATAGTAACGATACCTTTTTCAGAGTGATTTGTTTGGTTTACAGAAACTAGGAGTACCACTAGAAGGGAAGGTCCGTGTACAATTGAACTTAAAGGTTGAACATCAGCCGCATATCGGTGTCGTATCAAATTTTCCTGACATCGTGTTCCCCATCATGTGGATCGAAGAAGGTATCGAAGAATTAACACCTTCAATCCGCAGATGGGTTTATTTAGCAACCACGTTCAGCGACGTTGCTGTGCCTTGTACCTCGTATGGCTTAATTCTAGTCGGTATGATAATCATAACTACCGTTTTCTTGAAGGCTTATAACAACGCGGTATTCACACATGAAGCAATCGAGTTAGGTAAACGGACTATCAGAAGAAGTTCCACGTTATTAGTGAATGGACAACACAAACTGTTAATGACACGAGAATCGTACGTTTTGCTTAATAGTGATAATATGGAAAAACCGAACAGGATAGAGGTTTAGTTAGTAAGAATTTCGTGCCCGATACGCGTTTAAGTTTGTATACACACCCGGTCAGTTCCAAAGGTAATGAGCTACTGAAGTTGTTGAGAGCCGATTTCGCGCTTACAAAGAGTAAGATGCGCGCGCACCCTGAAAGGTGCGTGCGCATCCTGGTACTACCGCAAGTGCTAATATTCTTATTTTCAAAATAGGAGGCTGTGGTGCTACTATAATTTTCTTTGCACCTAAAAATTCGTTAAGAAATACTGCATAATACATTAATAAAGTTTATAGATAATAGTAACCCATTTTAAGTTCCATAGCAACCAATCTCATTACTTTTGAAACAAACCGCATAGTTATTTAGGCGATTAAAAATCGCCTTGCAAAGCGTGTAATCGTTTGATCAGTGTACACCAAAGTTTTCTTTCCAATTATATAAAGAGGACGTTGATGCATATGAATCGCAATAAAACTTGCTTGGCAAACATTTGTAAGAATATTCACGGTTACTTAATCGTTTCTGTGTCTGTGATTTTGTCTGTTTATATTAAGATGTTTATAATATGAAACAGATCGTGCCTGAACAAACGGAAACAAAGGATTGTAGGAAAACAAACCGGTATAAACGATTTACCCCTTCTGTAGGCAACCAGGCATTCACGTAGCGTGTGTTAGGTTTTTATGTAAATGATTGCCAAGCAAAATATTAAATAGTCGGTACTTTAGATAGAATACAAAGTTTATTTACAATTTGTTCTCGTTTCTGGACCTTCGATAAAAAAAGAACTACGAACCTTAAACTGCCTATGATCGAATCTCCATAATGATTAAATATGAATGGAACATATCCAAATTTCAAATTTTGAAAATTGAAAAATATGTGTTAAATTTAAATATAGTTTTCGTATTCAAATAATAATTAACGAAATTTTCTAGAAATTATCAAATTTGTATGCTATTTAATTTGTTTATAAATCGCCTTGTAACAATTTTATCATAATACAATGGTTAAAAAAAGCTTTAAATGGCGATCAAAGTGTATAACATCTTCAACATATCTTAAGTCATTCATTTATCATGTAAACGTAATTTTACTATTATTGACAATAAAATTTATTATTATAATTACAGGAACCTTCTATCCTGCACGAAAAAAATTGTTGTTAAAAAGGTAACAACAAAAATTAAAACAAAGATTACAATGCAATAAAAATCCTTATTGAATATGATCTTTATTTTAATCTTATACGACCTGAAAAATAAACATCCCTTGAAGCTTCTTAAATTATTTTTTATTTCGAATAAAAAAAATTTTTATTTTTATTAAATAAACTTTACGCCGTCAGTTTCAAAATAAATGTTTATTTGCAGCAATAAGGAAAATCAACTTATTTACTTATGTAGACAATAATCGTTGCTTAGTTAAAAATTAAATTAAAAAATATGCATTACAAAATTATTTAATAAATTTATGCTTTGCCGCAGACAGCAGAATTTACCGATTTAAATGATTCTTCTTATAAAAAAAATTACATTTAAAATATGCTTTGAGCAGAAGTACGCATTCCAACACAGTGCTATAATAACAGTATCACATTTTATTGTTAGATAAAGCCCAGTAGTTTATGATAACTCGAAAGTAATTGTTATATATACATTTTTATTTACTAGATTTTGCTATATTTATGAACTATACAGAAAACAAATTACGATTACTTAAATTATATTAAATTCCTAAAAGAATATAAATAATAATAAACGTCTCAAAGTTATTCTAATAATGTTACTTTTAATACGTTGGTTAAGGAGTATTAGCATTAAAATAATAATTTGAAATATGATTCTAAAAATAACAGTTATAAATATTAGCAACTAAGACGTTATAATAATTTATCTTGATATACGTACTGTCAATTTTGTCAATTATATCTCGTTTCCGTAATTCATCAATTTCATTGGTATTTATAGCTTTGATTATTTACATGCACAGATATGTTGCATACATGCTTAATGTACTTACTGCATTTTAATAAACATATACTGTTCCTACTAGACATGTTGAATTTATAGCCGTTTAAAGACATAGCAAATATACGTGTTAAATGTTCACACGTTCTTTTTTTCCTGTTCAATGCTTTATACAGAATGAAAATACTCTACAAATACTTAAAGATACATCGATAAACTGCAATTAATACAATACACTTTCGTTTTGTTCCTTTCAGATTATAGGTTAGATTCATTTGATTTTTAAGTTTAAGGTACTCAAACCGAACGTGACAATGACATTTGAATAAAATAATATCTTTATCTTAGAGGGCCCGTGGTTAACAAGGGGTGTATAGAAGTTAAGGAAGCAGGCTCCCTCAGATTTAGTTTATGCAATTCTTCGTCTGCTTTGTTGTGTTTCAGTTCTTGTTGAGTATACAAAAATTTGTTCCATTCGTCGATCCTTGGATGTGCTAAATGCTATATTTAAATAAATAGTTGCATTAGTAACACTTACCCTTCCCTCAAACATAATTAGAAGATGGTTAAACAGAATAACAACCTTTAAAATTAAAATAATAAAATAATTTTACCTCAGCAACATCATACACCCAAATCTTTCCAGTATCATCCCCAACGGTCACATGTAACCCACTAGGGGTCCATGAGACCCTATTAAGAGCCGGACATCCATCGATCAGGACACTAGCTGTAGGCACTTCGGTATCCTGATTAAGATTCCACAAATCCAATCGTCCTGAATCGTCTACAGCAGCGAACAAGGCTGGATGAGTCGGTGACCAGGCGACATCATAAACATAATCGCCATTGTGCTCAAAGGAATACAAAGGTTTGTTTTCCTTGAGACTCCACAATTTAATCGTCCAGTCAATGGAAGATGTTAAGAATAGATGCGAGAAATCTATTCCGCCTTGTACAGCGTGGGCACTGATTCCAGTAACTGGTCCTTGATGTCCTTCATATGTTTCTAATACTCCGGCTTTTGTACCATGACGACAAGCTACAAAACAAATATAAACCATCATAATATATCTAGATGTTATTATCCAAACATTTAGCAACAATTACGTTTAGGTATCGTCCCGTGATCTAAATTTCAAAGTTTATTTACCGGAATAAACAGTTCCATCCTCGCTACCCACAACGAAATTATTAACATCGCCATAAGGAAATGCTAAACAAGTAGCAGCAATAGGCTTTGATTGTTTAGTATGGAGTTCCAATGTCTCCAATGGTTGTGATAACATTTCTAAGCTCCAAGAGCAAAGTTTCCCATCGGTTGAGATGCTTATCAAATTGTGTGCGTTTTGAGCTCCAACAATGTTTAAACAATAAACAGGATGCTGAAATTATAATTGTTCATAACACTGAAAACACATTTTTACAAGATGAAATCACATAAATTATAGAACTTACAGTGTGTGCACTTGCTGATAATGGAGTACGTTGAATAGGAGATCTCTTTTGTACTCTGTTATCCCAGAGAACAATCTGACCAGAATAAGTACCTCCTAAGATTAAATTAGGATGAAATCTTGCAAATGTAGTTGACATCACTGGAGACTGACAATGGAAGATGAATTCTGGTGTGGTTTTCTTAAACTTTGTATTCCAAACCAAACAAACTCCATCTGGATCGTTTGGAATATCATCATTGTTGTTATAGGAAGCTGCAAGGAGTTCCGGGAACTGAGGTGACCAATCCATTGAGGTTACACAACGGTTGCGAGACCATCGGTCACAGAAGAATGACCGGTTTAACCATAGACGTTGATGACTCTTTTCATCCCTAAATAATGAATCAAATTAATTAAAGCTGGTTACGTATTTCATACTTAACATTTTAAAGACCTACAGATAGATAAAAAGTACAATTTGAATTCCATACTAAATGTAAGGTTTATGATTACTCACATTCCATCTTCACCGTCCATGGTACCAGTATAATCAGTATAAATATCAACAGATTCTCCTAATGCTCTTTCCACTATACGACTAGTACGATCAAGAAATCGTTGGAAGTCTTCAGATAATATGATCATTTGCTTCTCCTCTTCACTGAGTTCCCTTACTGCAAATTACATTAAATACAGGTAATATACTGTTAATTATTAACAGACTGATTTATTTAAAATTTACCTTCTTTAGGCTTTTCTTTTTCCTTTTCTTGCTCCACTTGTGTAACAGCAGGCTGCACTTCTTTGACTTGGGGTAAACCATGGGGAAGAATACCAGGAGGAAGTTTGCTTTGGAAACCATCCATATGCGGCAAGCTGTTCTCTTCATCTTCGGCTTGGCCATCATCAAATGTCAAAACTGTGGTGAATAAGCTGGTTCCGCCACGAGTACCCTAACTTTCATACATCTAACTACCTCTTGGCAATTGCCCTACTTTAAAATTCGATGCTCTACGTTTACTTAAAAATAAGCTGGACACTACACATTAAATTTGCAAGAAATTTGAAAAAACAAAAATAAGAGCAACGACGAGCATTCGAATGGTAACTTTGCAAAATGTACAACGTTTAATAGATGGACGTTCAGAATTTAAAAAATTCATACGTTCTTGAAATATTCAGATAAATAGAACAAACAAAAAATATGTTCGCAAATCAATTGTGGAAGCGTCAAGTTTAAAAAAGGATGCAACTCTCTTTGGAAGGCTTCCGTAAAAGCATAAAATTAATTAAATCAATAAAAAGAAACTGATCGAGAAATAAACAAACATACTGCAAAAATAACTATTAGGCTGAGATCACATGCACCGATATTAGTTGGGTATAAAAAAAGAGGTGGACTGCTTGTTGGTGGGACTATATAGATAAAAAAATGATAATTTTCTTTTAGAATGATTTGAAACGGTATCTCTCCACCCTTCGTACATTAGCATAAAACGTAAATGAAATGAAAGAGTGAGCCAAAGAAAGTGAATGATGATTCGATGATTTTTTCTTGATGTTGCGTTTTGTAATGTACTATTAAATAATAAATGTTTCCCAAAAACTGTTTTTCATAAATTTTCAACAACGAATTTTAAATGAAATGTAAAGAATAAATTTAAAACAAATGCTGAGTGGAGATATATTAACGCAACTTCCCAAGTCTCATGCAGCATTTACTAAATACAAAATTTTTATTTGATAAAAAGGAAGGAAATCTAGATCTATAATTTCACAAACGAAGAAATACTTTCTAAATATAATACGAAACAGAAATAGATGATGATAGTTTATAGTATTACATCGTTCATGCATAGTGAATGATATATCAGGATGTGAAAATCAATTTGGCACCTTTGGCATCGCTATTTTAAATTTGAATATTTTTCCGCGCATCGGTGGATTTGAAAAATGACGCAAGAATATGAATGATTATTTCAAGTGGAGATACTGTGATTTTATAAAAATAAATCTTCAATTAAAAATAGGAAAGGCACCGAATTAATTAGTACACCTAATGTAAATAAAATTACAGGTACTATCTATGCATGCGTAATTAAAACTAAAGCGAAGATATTCTTTTTACAGGTAATTAAACTACCTAACAATTCGACGATTTATCAAGCAATTTTTAGTGTAAATTGATAGTACATGTTCCCTCCTTTCAGTGCATATGTGTAGGTACAATAATTGAACAGAAACGAAGAAAAAAGGAAAAAAAAAAATTAAGTGAAGGTTACTTTGAAATGCAATTTTTGTGAAAATGAATGTAACTCTGATGTGTTTGTAATACGATTAGGTAGAGTAAATCATCTCTAGAGAGGATTACCTACCTGTAAATTCGTCCTCCCATTCTAAACCAGGATTTAGATTGTACTCGTCTTGAAGGAGGGAAAAGAAAATGTCAATCAATCTTGTCTAACATTATGTTAGTTCTGTTTATTTTCTAATCTTATATCTCTCATAGGAAATTATTGATGTATATCATAAGCATCTAACTAGAACACTAAAAATACGCTTGAAATAATTGCTACCGATTAATTATAATCACAATTATGCAAAATATCTATTTGTTATTATTTTTCTTTTACCATAAGATACATCAACAATTAGCTAGAAAGTGTGTATGTGTATGTGTATATATATTTAAACATGCACGTAGTATACCTATTAATGTCACTATATTTATTATATTGTTTAAAAAATTAAGAAAATAAGTGAATTCTTTTTAACTTTGAAATTCAAATACAATTCACTTTTTCAATGAATTTAAATTTTTCGAAGTTCCAATTCCTTTAAACTGTATAATATTTATTACCGATATCTTTGGATCAGCTTTGAAATAGTATTGTTTTTGTAAAATGAATTCATTATAAAACTCAATTAGCAAATTTTGAAAAAATATCTTGAAAATAATAATAAAAAAGAATTTTAAAAAACAAATAAATAAAGATAAGGAAGAATTTGCAACATTTAAATATTTGAATATAGAAAACTGACATCTCCGACTACTAATTTACATTCCAATACAATTGTTTACTATTTACTGCTAATTTTTGAAAGAAAATAATTTTTTTCATCTAAAATTTAATCAACATCAAGATACAAACGTTTTGTTGGAAAAATATATTAATATCAGTGTAAAGTAAATATGTAAAAATTTGTCTATTTCAATCGTTTCTTTTTCTTGAATTATTTTTATAAAAAAGAAACCGTGCTGTTAAAAAGCCATATTTAAAATATGTATTCATATTTTAAAAGTTCTTTCAAGCAACATTAAATTGAACTTTAGCGACACTAAAAGCTTAAGCCACATTTAAAAAAAAAAATTTATTTTAAAGTATAACTTATGATATTTACTGATCCCAACACCAAAACATCCGCTCCCATATTAGTACACTGTAGTATCCCAAAAAGTATGGAAATAATAACCGAGCCGAGAACTCTGGAAGGTGCGTTAAGTTGTGACAAGATTTGCCAATGGATATTTGTACGTAAAGCATTTTTATATTTCAGACAGTCCCATTTCTAAACAATATCAAACAATCTACCAAAATTTCATTTAAACATTATAGATATTTTTCTCAGCAACTTTTACATTACTTACTTATTTAAAGAACAGTCGTTTTTTATAAAAAAAAATCTCATTAATTACGTAAAGCGCACAAAAGATTTCATTCATTAAAACTGAATTTCTTTATCAATAAAATTAAATAGTCCAAAGGTAGTCTGTAAATACTAAAAATAATCATGCTTATTTAATACTGGTGTAAAGTATGTATTCTAAATTACACATTCAGTATTCTTATATACCTTAAAATAATAAAAACTTTATTATTATTCTACAGTAAACATGTAACTATATTGGGCAAACTCACTTCACAAATACCTTCTGTACGTCTCTTGTACACAGTGTTGTGAGTACTGGTTCGTGTTAAATATTTAGAAACATGTATTTCAAATGAAATTTTTAATCTCAGAGTAACAAATTATACAATCCGCATTTATTGTTTTAATTTAAGTGCTTTCATAAATGTATAAAAGCCAAATCATTTCCGTTTAAAAGTCGGGATGTCAGATAAATACTTAAAAAGTAATACATACAGTAACTGAAAGTAAACACACCCAATAATAATAGAACATAAAAATTAAAAGAGCCAAAAAGTCCAAAGCAATTTATAAGATAGCAGAGATATCTTAAGTTCTGGGTGGAGAGTTTTAAGACACTAATATGAGTCTTATTCAAACTAGAAAATAGTATTTTTGCTTCTTTCTGCTAGAAAAATTTTGTCAATAACTGAGAAATAAACAGAGAGTGCATTCTCTAATTAATCATTTTTTATAAGAAGTCAATCAATGTAATAGTTTTCTTCCTGTTAAAGATTTTGAAATGTAATTTAATAATTATAATGATTATATTGTCGTCTAAACTCAGTTTTCATAGATATATGTTATTAATCCTAAGTAATAAACGAAATATAGCTAAACCTATATCTGAACCTAAAACTTGTTGAAAACCAAGAGAAATCATAACTTACCGTAATAGTCGAATGCATGAGCTGAGAAGGGGAGGGAAAAAAATTGTACTTAGTTACAATCTCATAAGAATGCACTACACTAATAACACCTCTCTACACTCAGACCATAAATATTTTAAGAAAAATATCGTTACTATAATATAAAAGAAAAGTTTAACTACCAAAAATACTTCATATTATAGCATACAACAAGTTTTTAATTAAAACTTTAAAAAATATAGTTAAGTCTTATTAATTTATTATAGAACATTTGTAGCATTTTTTCTTATAGTCTTTTATAATTATTATTGTTGTAAGTTAAAACATACTATTTCTACATTCAAAGAAATTATTTATTTAACTACAATAAAAGTCAAATAGACTTGAATTGATAATTGCACAAAAAGCATAAACAAAAAAGACTTTTATCCGCTGAATGTAGTTAGGTGAGTATAGATTTGTAAAGTTTTATATTGTGTGATGCTGTGATCCTACATGTAAGAGGAAACATACATATTCAATGCTTCTTATATCATTGGAATACAATTCAATTAATATAAGTTTAATTATAAGTTCAATCTTCATCACAATTCAACACTTTTTCTGAAATATATTTTATTACTGATTTTAATTGATATATTATTAACTACGTAACATAAAGTAATGAAACTATTATGACTACCAATGGATGCTTACTTATAAAGATTTAATATCTCACTTACATCACTTGTCACACTTATGCCCACCCCCCTAAGTTTCTCAAAAGTAAATATTGCTATCCTTTTTAAATATAAGCTTTGTTAAAATGTTGAACATGTCTACAATGCACTACATTTTGCACGTTATAACAAATAAAAATAATTATATTTTTCAATATTGCTTTTCTTTTTAGAATATTAAACAAAGTACCAAAGAACTGGATTTCTAAAACGTTGCTACTATGATTAAAGCAATGTTGCTGTCTAAAAATATTCATGTTCATAAATTATTAAACGATAATTAATTTATATGTATATTTGATAAATTTAACACTAGCACACATGAGTCAAGGTACATTGACTTTTTGTTGCAAAAATTTTTTAATTTTCCCAACAAACAGGACGCCTATAGTTAATGTACTATGTAACTTCAATAAACTGTTAGTATATTATTCGATTAAAGTATGTGAAGCATGTTAGAAGCTTATCGTTTATGCAAACAAATAAATGTTGCATATGGAAGTAATAGATAAAATGTATACCATAAATATATAATTGAATTTTTTCAAAATTCTGCTCAATATTTTCTATCAAATGTGTATAACACATTTGGAAGTCTTAATATTTCAATACACATACCTACCACCACATACAACACTTGTAGCGTAATTAGAGTTGTAGAATCAAGAAATAATAATAACTTTCAATAACGCTAAATGATATATGAAACTATAACCATGGAAGGTAATGAAAATGAAGAAAATTAAACTGATTCTACACCTCTTTGTTTTAAACATGGATACCAATGTATCTACCTCTATCATATATTGTTGTACAACAATTATAGCAAGGGTAATAAAAAAGAAGACAGAACATACATAGGTAGTTTGGTGCAGACCCACCTTTCCTGGGACGCCACCAGTCAGCCTCAAAGTAGCCTGCGGAGTAAGAGTGAGTTGGTGTTGTTGAACAGGAGTAGATGGTGTATGCAGAAGAAGATGCGGACAGTCCTTATGTCCAACACCGGTTGTTTTGACCGATTGTATAGCAAAGACAATGGAATACGGTACGCTTAATAATGCCGCAAAATCAGTTAGGTATCGGGATACGCACGTAACACGCACTATTACATCCCATTATTACATTAAAAATTCTTTTTAAGTTGTGGATACATTTTGGGAATTATAGAAAATCATTTTAAATTTTATATTTTAGTCAGAAGCTCGTAGTAAAGTAGGTGGTATGAAAAATGAAATATAAGAAAAGCTCGCAATTTGTTATTTTTTATATTATTAAAATAAATAACAAGATAAATAAAAATTTGCAAATTATATCAAAACTAACTGAAATTGCGGATTGATAAAATAGAAGTATAAAATATGAGAAATACAGTTTCCACCACCAAGAAAATTAATATTTATGTCCACAACCTCTGTGTATTGGATGTTATTCATATCTACTACTCCTTCTCCAAGATATACAAAGTTCATAAACAAAAGAACTAGAAACTTTGTTGCTTTAGTGTTAGAATACTAACATTAAAATCAAACTCCAAAAATACATATCCCTTATTTGCAGACACCTGATACTTATTATTTTACAATAGACAAAGAATTCCTCCAATAGCACAATATTAAATCCATATTACTATTATTATTAAGACATACAATTAAGATAAAACTTTTAAAATATATCTGCTGTCACTTAAAAACAATTATTAATTTATGTAATGAATTATAAGTTAATAACATTTTCATATGGTGAAAATATCATAATCTATTATGCATGATAGTAAACAAAATCCTCTCAAATACTTATTTTATTCATTTAAAAAGTGTTGAAAACTTAATTCAGCAAATGTTAACACGCACAAGAAAAAAAAATAAAATGACAATAGTACTAGTGGTAAGTAACATGCCATTTTTGTATAAGTGTATTTTAAGAATATGTAAGTTTCCTCATTAGTTAAAATTAATCATAAAACACAATATAAATCAGTACTGTAACTGTCACTGTTACCACAATAAAATCATTTGTGCATTATATGCAACACATCTTATTAATTAAAATATTATACAAGATTATCAACATTTGATAACTATTTTATTAATGAAGTGATATCATTAAAGATATATTTTAAGATAATGCACTTTTGTGTACACCACCCACTTTACTGTACTCAATCTCTAAGCAAAGTGATATTTCAAAACAATTTAAAACTGACAAAAATTTGAATTATTTGTATAAATCATAAAATTGAAAATTTAGTATCTTACTTATTTAATAAAAGTAAGATTAGTATAATGCAAGTGCTGATAATTTTCTAGTATTTAAATATATTTTTAAATTCACAATTGGAAAGCAACACTGAATGCAGATCAATATAATGTAAAATAAATACACTAACTCACCGTCGTGCGATGTATGTGTTGTCTGAATAGTTTGTGTTTGTTTGCTATAAACGACTGGTTCTTTCGGTGGAATATTGGTATGTGCTACTGATACAATAGTAAGTTCTCGATTCTTCTTCCTTCCAGCACTACTATAAAAAAAAAGTAGAAATCATAGAATGCATTTATCACTTTATAGCATACAATTAGTAAATTGTTCTTTCTAATATAAATACCTTTGAGCAGAATTTATACTAGATGGTTGTAGACTAGCATCGGGAGTAGCATTAGCACTTTGTTCCGGGGTCAAGGAATTCATACTAGATAAACTAGACAATACATCTGTAAACAAAATACATGTATGAGAAAGTGAATTAAACAAACAGGAAAATTATAATGAGAAAATATGTACCTGATACTGGTGCTACACCCAATGATGATAGCATAGCATCCAACTCCTTACGATGATCTTTATCTGTTCCTGCAGCACGAACCGTGGCTTCCTCAATCTTGAAAGTATGTAAATAAATTTTAATCAATAAGCAATAAAATATAAACATATTTAAATAAAATAGTCTTACATCTTTCTGTTCTTTTTCTCGCCTACGCCTCTCCTTTTCTTCCCTAATAGCCTGGAGTTTGGCTTTCTTCCTTTCAAGTTCTGCTTTTCTGTCAGACATCATTATACTATTTTCTTAACACCTAAACAATATTTATAAACATTTCATTAATAAAGTTATTTGGAAAACGCAGTGAGCGGTTCACAAAGCATTGCAGAGATTATAATGCAGCTAATCGATGTCTTGAAACTTATTAACGGAACTTTGTCCACATTTAGTGCGATTATTGATTTCTGTCCGGTGACGTCAGTTTCAGGTCAGTTCTATGCCGCAAGATGTGCATCCAAATAAAAGATTTTCACAAATATTAAATAAATAAATATCGTGCTAATGCTAGGCAATATTAGATATGTACTAAAAATGCAACAATTAATGTATTCCCGTTAAAATATTCGGTAAGGGGCTTCGGTCAAGAATGTCCATCTGTCATCCAACAACACCAACACCATAAACTGACTAAAAATTTTGTATTCTTGTTATAAGAAACATAAGAAACATTCACCTATTGTTGTAAAATGTATTTTTATAAGTAAGAATGCAAAAAACTGCCGTAGTTTTGATTTCTTCTACATCTATTTGACCCGCCCGCATGCAAATCTTTTGCATTGCGACAACAGCACCACCGTATCAATATCTCATACTAATTTACTTTCTGCAGTGAGTCACTGCTATATGCTTATCTATGTAACTTCGAAATGCATTCAGCAGATGGCAGCAATAAAACATTCTTATAGCTGCATTCCTAAAATTATCACCGATAAGACAATGTTTTGAGGGTGATCATTTCTTATTTTGAGAGCTCAGGACGATTAGATTGATATTAGACAAAAAGCTATTTTTTCTATTTTAAAAAGCTACAGAAGCTTAGACAATGAAGAATTTTGGATGCTGAAAGAGGGAGAGCCTTTAGATATTAGGAAGAGACTAGGAGAGACCGAAGTGTTATGCAACACATTCTACAAATATTTTTTATTTTAATTTTCAATCAATGCGATCCACAGATCATTTCACATATATACCGCAGTTCACCAGAGTCCATAACTGCGACGCGCAGGTTGGAAGATGGTGGGGGAACGCAGCGAGCTCTCTGCTAATCGCTTTCCACTTCGTTTGGGAGTATCACCAATCAGGGCGAAGATGCGCACTGGAGAAGCGCGAAGAACGAAAACTGGTCTTTTCGCAGTTATGGACTCTGGTGAGCTGCGGTATAGCTATCGTAGCATACACGTGTCATTTAGGTGTATGCGAAAGGTAACGTAGCATAGCATGCCGTTAGTTGATAGTAGCGATAATTGAGGTGGCGCTTAAATCAGTTTCTGTTCGGCCTAATTTTCAATGAAACGTTGACTATTTTACCGACGCGGAATTCGAAGTTCGGCTTCCATGCTAGCATCACCTTAAGATCTTACATGTATATGTATAATTTGTGTATATTATACTTTATTATTTAGTATACATATAATATATAGCTTATCATTACGATCTATTAAATGATTATTATTGTAATTAATAAGTTCCGATTTTATAATCGGAAAATTTTTATGTTGCATCACTGAATATCATTCTGTGACATCCTGCAAAGTATGAAACATAAAGAAAAACAGCTGTTTTATATAGTAAATTACAGTGATAACGATAACATATTCTGTTTTCATGCGAGAAAGTTTACATCGTTTTGGTGGTTACAATAAACATGTTTCCAGATTTTTAAGCTTCTAAATAATATATACGAAGTAATAATATCACTTCTCATATAATTGTTATTCTATCGATATTAAGTATTGAAATGATTCATATTTACGAGAGATGGATCATTTATAATGCCATGGGAGGGATATTAATTTATATTTGTATTGCAGATAAGAGTATTGTTATTTGCAGAATACCTAGTAGTTAATTAAGTTAAAAGAAAAAATGGATAAATTAAGGAGAGCTTTGAGTGGAAATGATCAATGCGATGAAGAAAGCGGTATTATTACACAGGTAATTCATTTAAATAACTTTTAATTATGTTAATTTCGTGATATATGTTTCATTCCATTTTACTTGCATAAAATTGTTATTTTAAATGCTCACAATTATTAATGGAAGACTGATGTGGATTTTGTGGTAAGCATATCAATTTAAAAAATACAAGCTTTATATATTTCAACAATAATATTTATCAGCAATGAAAATGTATTTATTTCACTTTCAAAATATATTACAAGATACTTTTGTTTTTAGGTTATGGACCAAAGTACCTTAAGTTGGTCGACTCGGATAAAAGGTTTTGCTATTTGTTTTATTGTTGGCATTCTATGCTCTTTCCTTGGATCTTTTGCTTTATTTTTACATAAGGGACTTACAATATTTGCTGTATTTTATACATTAGGAAATGTCATCTCATTAGCAAGGTAGAAAAACAATTTCTAAAATTTGATATAAGAATTAAATGAATTTATTTCTACTTTAGAAACTGTTCATGAAACTTTCAATACTCTGTTTTAATTATAAGCAATATTTACACTGTTTTGTAGTATATATTATACTAACAATAATAATATTATTTATGTTATTCTTAGCACATGTTTCTTAATGGGTCCATGCAGTCAATTAAAAAAGATGTTTGCATCAACAAGAATTGTGGCAACTATTTTAGTATTTGTTGCAATTGGAATGACACTTTTTGCAGCTCATGTGAGTACAGAAAAATGAATTTTTTCATTTATAAATACTATACCAACAAAATATTGTTTATTTAATATGTATATTTTTAGCTCAAGAATCCAGGACTGGCATTGTTGTTTATAATTATTCAATCACTGGCAATGACATGGTATTCTCTATCTTATATACCTTATGCACGTGATGCTGTCAAAAAAACTGTGGAATCATGTATTACATGAAAAGATTTGCAAATTGTGCAGTCAAATATTTCACTTAATATGTATATTAAGAGTTATACGTTGTTCTTCACATTGCACAAATGTTATATGAATTTGTCTGAAATTTGTTTGAAAATGCAAAATATAATAACAGATAAATACAAATATGAATAAGATAATATGGATCTATTTCAGCAAGATTCTACTACAATATGTCTGTACCTCATTGGAAATACAATGAAAACATTTTTAAATATATACTTAAAATTACAATATTTTATAACATTATTAAAAGCAAATGAATCTATTTAATTTATATAAAATATATAACATACTAATAATACTGTTTTTTTTACAACACCTACTATGTAATCTTTGTACAGTATTAATAATTTTGTACATTAAATAGATACTAAGTTATTTATTCTATGTTATACAAATTATCATTTCCTATTCATATTTATTATAGACTCTTTAAATATAAGAATTTTATTAATATGCATCCTGCTAGTTATATATAATGCATCAAATAAGTAATATGTATATTTTATTTTTTAAATTGGTATTTAAAAAGTTAATTTTTCTACATTCTGCACGCACAATTGGATCTTTAAACTCAGTTCTTAGAATACAGTAATAGAAAAACAGAGCTTTTAGTTCCTGAAATATCGAGATGAACAGACTTTAAAGTTCAGCTAGTAAATTATTAAATTAACTAATGAACAGACTTTTTGGGAAATTGACCTAATCTCGAGAAAAATTCTTGACCTAATCCAACCTAACATATTCGGGTTCTCGCATACTTCTTGTAGCTAACATATTATAAACCTTTAATGTGTGTAATACATATTTGAGATTTCGTGCAGTTTAATTTAAAAATTGAACGTTAAATATTGAACAACCAACCATATACCGTTGTAATTTTAACCACCAATCGTAAGGCAATGCGTTCTTTCGTCATACGAAGGAGGAAGTCGTAATTGGATGAAGATAAACGATAGTTTTCGTCTTTTCGATCAACAGCAACAGCAACAGGTTCTTCAGTACATGCAAAGAAACTTCTTCATCAGCCATTGCGTATTTGACGCGCGGGTCGTGATCATTGTGTAGAAGTTCGATGATTTATGATTTGATCGTTTTCTTCTAATATTTATTGATATATTTACGGTAAATAATATGTTTTAATCATTTAAAATATTTTAAATGTGTTGTAAGTAGAGATCATGTAATAGAAAAAAGAGTTTAAAAGAATAATGGAAATAACCGTTACCAAACTTACATTTGAAATAACGTCTTATTTAAACATAAATTATAACCTGTAGATTAATGTGTTTTACAATAGATTGCCAGTAAAGTAATCGTAAACGTTTTTTTTGAAATTATATAACTTTAAACAATATACAAATAATTTTCTTGCTTCTTTTTGAAACATTTTGATGTTTGATTGAATACTTTGATCTTACAAATGTATTTTAGGGATACGTTTTTTTAAATATTGTTTATATTTTTCAGAGAAAGATATTCTATTTAAGTTGAAAAATGCCTGCATCAGAAGCTGATTGTCATAGCCGTAAAGCTGTCTTCAAATTTAATAATAAACATGAAGTGAGTTAATTATAAAGTGTATAACATTTAAATATTTATTAAATATTATACCTCTAGTAAATTACATATTTCAATATATGTAAATGTTGTTTACATAAGAGTCATTGTTTATTACATAACATAATTTGTTATTATAGGAGGCACGAAGAAGAAGGAATGAAATATCAGTAGAATTGCGTAAAGCTAGAAAAGATGAACAGTTACTAAAACGGCGAAATTTAAACATTGGAAAAGAGCCACAAACTCCTGCAGAGGATAATAATCTTTCACCTCTTACAACATCTATAGATGACATTTTTGATGGTATGAAATCTTCAGATGAAACAGTTCTACTTCAAGCAACTCAAGCATGCAGAAAGATGTTAAGTCGAGAAAAGAATCCTCCCATTGACAGCATGATAAAACGAGGAATTGTTCCAAAATGTGTTGAATTTTTGGATTGTCACCATAAGTATATATAATACAGTAAATTTATTCCATTTCCATCGCGGCTACGAATTTCTTTTGTTATCTGCCTCAAATATTTTTCAGTGCTGCATTGCAGTTTGAAGCAGCATGGGCACTGACTAATGTGGCATCAGGAACATCAGAGCAAACTCATGTTGTTGTTAAACATGGTGCTATACCAAAGTTAGCAGCACTCCTTAAATCTGCATCACCCAATGTTGCTGAGCAAGCTGTATGGGCACTAGGAAATATTGCTGGAGATGGTCCAATGGCTCGTGATCTTGTTCTTGCATACGATACTATGTCACTTTTATTAGAGTTAATTAAACCTGATACTTCTGTATGTATGATATATTTATGTTTACTTCGATATAGGTATAAAGTTATTATTCAAATTTACTATTCATATAGGTAACGTTTACTCGTAATATCGTATGGACACTATCAAATTTATGCCGTAATAAAAATCCACCGCCTCCGTTTGAAATTGTACGAACTGCTCTACCAGTATTAAATCGTTTGCTCAGCAGTCCCGATAAACATATACTGGGTAAGTTAATCTTGCTTATTGCATACAATTATTAATATATATTTTTAATAATATGGTATAATATTACAGCTGATGCTTGCTGGGCCCTTTCATACCTCACCGACGGTTCTAATGATAAAATACAAGCGGTTGTTGAATCTGGAGTTATTCCAAAGCTTGTAGAATTACTCTCTTCGCCTGAAGTTACAGTTCTAACGCCAGCACTTCGTGCAGTTGGAAATATAGTTACAGGCAATGATATGCAAACAGATGCAATAATTTCAGCAGGTGGTTTACAACATTTGGGATTACTACTGCAACATCATCGTATTAATATTGTTAAAGAGGCAGCATGGACTATCAGTAATGTTACTGCTGGTAACATGGAACAAATTCAGCATGTCATTAATGCTGGTCTGTTACCACCTTTAATACACGTTTTACAATCTGTAAGTCGGTTATATTTCTTATTATATGGGTGATTATTAACATTACACTAATTAATATTGAATTTCTATGCAGGGAGATTTTAAATCACAAAAGGAAGCAGCATGGGCTGTAACAAATTTAACTTCTGGCGGATCAGTTCAGCAATTGGCACAACTAGTACAATTAGGAGTATTAGCGCCATTTTGTAAGCTGTTAGAAGCCAAGGAGTGGAAAACGGTACTTGTTGTTCTAGATGGTTTAACTAATATTTTGAATGCGGCAGAAAAAATGGGAGAAGTTGATCGAGTGGCTCTTATGATAGAGGAAGTTGGAGGTGTAGATAAATTGGAAGACCTTCAACACCATGAAGTAGAAGAGGTGTACCAAAAAGCTATAGCGATGATAGATACGTTCTTCTCAGATGGGGTAAGCGAATTTCTAAAGTTTTTATATTTAAATAGTAATATTTATGTGTGATTAATAAAACCTATCTACAGGACGCCGAGGAATCAGTATTAACATCTGCAGCAACAACTGACGGCCAGTTGGAATTTAAACCAACTGAGGATACGCAGAAAGATTTTAATTTTTAAAATATCTTTTTGCTCTGTCCCTTCCGTTGGTTTAATCGATTTGAAGCACACTAATATATTAAATGGCGTATAAGTAATTATAAAAGTTTAAAAGTTAAAATCAGGAAACTATAAATTTACAGTCTTTTGCCATCTAAGACAGATATTAAACACAATTTTTTGTCTTTTTCTTGTAATTCTTTTCTGATATTTTGTGTATCCTATAATAGTAGTAATTGTTTTATCGGTTTTTTTTTCGTATAGCCAGTTTTTAAATTGTCATTTATTTTCAGATCATTTAATTCCTGGCATATTTTCGTGATTTTGCAGCTATTATTTTACCTTGCTGTTTTATGTTTCTTCCAAATATATAATATCTACAAAAGTAGTTTGTTTTTAATTTAATTGTCTCTAAAACTTTACTGTTTCCGTATTTTTATTTTACCAATAAATTTCATAAATTGTTACAGTTTGTTGCTGGGAATAAAATGTTATAAACTGCCTTATTTATCACATTTTATATGTATTTTTTAATAAAATTTTGATACAAAAGTTAACATGTTTCCAATACATTACGGTCATACATATTGAACCTGAGTAGACGTTCAAATAATCATACATTAAATCATTATAATTCTAAACAGTAATAATAATTTTAAAGTAATATAAAATTAAATTAATCAAAGAACAATTTCTTTTATGAATAAATTTACATAATACCTATTTAGCCTTTTCAGACTATAGAGACTAGATGGAATTGTAGCTTGGTTTTTTTTCTTATTATCTAATTATGAGTATTTCACTGTGGCACGCGAAGTGTTTAATTAGCACGTTTCTTTAGACTGGCAAGTTACTTTACGTGTGTTATACCGTTATAAAATTTTTTTTTACGTCATTAAGTACTATTATAGAAATACTAAATATTGCAAAATATTTTTTTTAATATGATACTAAGCATATTATTACTTTCAGCTAAATAAAATAAGTGAAATATTCTACTTCTTTTAAAACTTATATTAGTTGCATTTTATTTAATGAGTAAGTTCTTTTAATTCTAAATATTACTATCGACCTAGAATAAAGTCACTTTGATCATTAACTAAAAAGTGATAAACAAATAAAGCTTTCCTTCTATCCCGGTCACCTCTACTTCTTGGAGGATCTCTTAAAAAAACTGATCCAAACAATGTTGCTACAATATAAATCAATATATAAATTTGTTGATCATTGTAATAAATAATTAAGATATTTAAAGACCTACCGAGGGTTTTGGCATCTAATTCGTTGTCTTGGGTATGATTTAATAATTCTTGTAAAAAGTAACATATATAAACAAATACTGTTCTCCTTATTTCTGGAAGCTGCATTACAATCTGTAAACAAGTTAAAATAATGTTAAGAAACGCGTACATGTATAGCATTATTGTTTGCAGAAAATATTACTTCATGTACCTGTTTACATTGTAAATAATTAGTCACTGTATTTAAACACACAGTATGCAGATTATATGGAATCAAAGGTTCAGCTGTTGACTCTAAAAGTAAAAGCAATGCTTCTGCAACAGAGTGCACGCTACCAGCTTTACAAAAGTTAAGGAAACAAAATTTATTTGTAATTGTTTAAATTTTAAATTTAAAGTAGGATACGCATTGGATCTTGACTCCAATTGTCCAACCAATCCCTTATGGCTATAATTTCACTATGAAGTCCTGGTGTTTCAAACAGTCCTGCCGTTTTTATGCCATGACGATACAATCTATCTACTAAGAACCATACTTCTTTTGGAACAGGGTAAGGTTCTTGGGAAAGATTTTTATTATTTTCCTGTGATGCAACGAGATTAAATACCGATACTTTTACTAATATTTTACTTTTTATTTGTATTTCAGTAATGTATACTAACGAGTTCCATTAATCTACCAACAGGTATTTCTCTAATGGGTACTGGAATATGAACTAAAGCTTCCATTGACGATCCGAAACAACTTCTTTCGTAAGTGCCTGAGAAAGCGAATCCATGCAATTTATATTATTTTCGTAAGTACACTATAAATATAAAATGTTACCTGTTACAGTGATAAATATATCCTTTCCTCCTTCAAGATGTAAAATTAAAATATCGTATAATTTATCTTCTCCAGAATTTAATTTACATGCCGATCTTTTGTCGACGTATATTTCAAATCTAGTGTCACATTTTTCTCCTAAAATGTGATAAGCAGAATTATGATATAATTAATTTATTTTTGAAAAAGAAAGAAATGTACCTGGTTTTATAAAACCTTTATAGGGTTCTATATCTAACCAATCTTTGCAATAACTAGTATCGCCCAATTTCTTTATGAATTCAAATTGAACTGGCACCTATAAATCATATAATTATTACGTGTAAAATTTATAGATAAATTTATTGCAAACCGACTTACCTGACCAGTATTAGCGATAATAAGTTCTTTACTACTAGGTTCAAGGAATTTCAAAGTGTCAAATATGATTTCTGTTGTATCCACCATTACTTGAGGTAAAAATTCATTTTCTAATTTATCAAGTTTTTTCATCACTTCTTCGTGAGTTTTACGATACTTTGCTATGTCAATGATTCTGATCTATAGAGAATTGTTATAAAAAATTAAACTCAATAATGCGTGGTCATTAAATTATCGAATTAAAATATTTTTATCTACCTGGGAATCAAAAATTGCACTGACTGGCTTATGATCAGAAATTTTTAGTTCAGGGTGACTTCTGTAATCAATTGATGTAATTGCTTCTCCTTTCCATAAGATACGATCACACCATGCCGGTGCTCTGCCCTTTTCACTATAATTAATATATATTTATACTATATGAACATTCCTAACATAAATCTGTATAAATTTTACTCAATTGAAACAACATAGATTATTTATATAATTAACCTTGAATCCCAATTATCAGTTCCTGGATCATATTTATATGTTGGTTTAAATTTTATTTCTGCTTCATGAAACCCTTGTAAAACACGACCTAATCGTCGTTGTTGACCGAGTTGATCTAGAGCTAAGACAGGAACATAATTTTCAACGTCTATGTGCTTTTTAGCTACTGCAACGTCCATTTCTGTTATTCGATAATTCAAGTCTCCTAGCCAATAGATCTGGCTGCATTTAAAATTTTGTTTGTTACAAATACTTTTATAGGAATATATTCTAACAAAATACATGGTTACATTACTTACACATGATCTTTAAAATTTTTTGGTGGAACATATTTTGAGAAAGATAACCGCGTACATATATCTGCATAATCTTGATTTCTCCTTTCATATTCCTCGCAATGTGCTGCCAAATGAGCATTAACAAAGCAAATAGATGTATTATGAATAGAACAACTTACTGCCACTCCACCCTTGTTACCCTGTTATTATTAAAAATAGATTATTAATGTAATTGTTGTATTGGCTTTCTTATTATAATTTAAAAACTTAAAGTATTACCATTTTACCCATAATACCAGTGCCCACTGTATCAACTGATACATCTTTTATATACGGCATGTGACTATGTAATGCATATATAATTAACATCATACCCACTAATCTTACTATGGCTACTTGTTCGTATACACCATCTGGATGAAGAGATTTTGCTACAACTTGTCTATAAATATAAGAGTAATGATGATATAGGAATATTATTGAATAATTTTTAATAATAATTTAAGATTCACGCATATGTCATTGTAAATTTAATACCTCCATTCTTCTTCTCTTGGAGTGTCATTAAAAAGAAATGCTTCCTTAGTTAAATCTAATTCTTGAAATCCAACTGCATATATATCTGGAGGTGATTTATCATAACTTAACCAATCATGTAATGTAATATTATTTGGTGGTTGACCATTTACATTCCATGTACCGATAAATACGCTGTAATAAAATTCATGTAAAAAATACAAAAATCGGGGAAGTTAGATGTATTTTCGACATAAGAGAAAACGAACCGGAATGTTTTGCTGTATGTATAATCATCCTCCTTGCATGCCATTTGATACCGTACTGCTGATTCTCTAGCAGCCACAGGAGACTTGCCAGAAGCAATACTACGTCTTGTGACAACTAAAACTGGACTTTCCAAATCTACTAACTATAAAAGATATTTCCAAATATTACTTAGTTTTATACACATACATACACAGATACAAGCACTCGCGCATGCATACACATGTTTTATACACACATAAAAGTAATACATAATATGTACTAACAGGATCAGTATTGTCTTGTACATCTTCATTATTGTTGGAATTTAAATTACGTGTACTTCCTGTTAATTTTTGTATCCACAGAAATTCTGATGCTGAATTTTTTGTTTTCTGATATACTAAAATCATTAAAAAGTATACATATTAATTATGAATGTAAAGCAAAACTTTGTAAAGAAATGACAATTCATATTTACCTTCTATAGCTCTAAATATTTCAGATACTAAAGAACTTGTTTCTACTCCAGGTCTCATTTCAAATACTAGGTGCAATTTCCTTGATGTAACATTAAGATAAACATCAAGAGTATCCTGTTGTTTTTCATTTGTATCTTGAATAAATAATATTTATTAAATGTTAAATATCATTGTTATAATATTAATTTTATAATAAGTCACAACTACGAATAGTTATTTATCAAGCTTATTACATACTTATATTGCATTTGAAATCTTGATCAATAGGTAATATCCTTTCTATTGTAAGATCACTATAAACTTGTGGAGGTGTTCTAGAGGTAATTAAAATGACCAATGCATGGGTTGTTCCTTTGTTCAGAAGTGCTACAATTCTTGCAGCTTTAACCCAGCCTTGTATCAATGAAGCTTCGATTGCCTTCATATACAGTTAAGGATTTACAACCATTAAGTATGTATTAATAATAAGACTGGTTTTGATTAAAAGGATACAATTATTACAGTCTCTCCAGAAACAAATTTTGATTGCACAATCACTGATTGCTCTGCTGATGACATGTTTATTAGTAAATGATATATTTTTCAATATACTTTATATGAGATCTTTATGTCATGTAACCAATACTCATGTAAACTATAAAATATCAATAAATATGTTAGTTCATATGTTCTATTATAATATGTTGTTTTACAGGATACTATTACAATGCTTGCTACTGTAACACTTATTTGTAATTATTATCCATATGAACAATAATCAAAAACGTTGTACTTGCTTGTTTATATCAATAATAGTAGATTAGAATAACTTAAACACTGAATATAACAGAAATTTTATAAAACTAATACTGTTCAAATTGATAAGTCTTCGTTATTAAATGCCTTTTTTTCACTTCTATATAATATTACCTTACTTTATCAGTACTACAAATAAATTACGAGTGTGTTTGTCATGATTGGATCATTCATCATTGATTTTTATTAAAACATTCTCAACAATTACTTTATATTAAATGAATGAATTCGACACTAAAAGAATAAAAATGACAGACTATTGCAATTGATATTAGGCATGATTAAATTTATTTCATTCGTGTATGTCAAAGACAACTATTATCTATAGTGCATTCTTTTACACATGGACAAATAGTCCTCGTTTTAACTTATTAGGGACTGACACTACATTCTCGATAAAATCACTAGGATAAGGGCGAACAATATAACTGTCCACTTCACGTTGGGGCGCGTCAGTCTGTTTTTGGAGGTCAACAAGGTAACAGTGTTCATTTTTACATTTTACAATTTGTTTACAAATTAAAACCGTCTATTATCTAGTTTTGGAAAATCGATCGGTAAATTGTCGAGTAGTTTCCACCGTATTTCTATAGATGGCGCTATCGGTTCATTTAGTTTAAGAAAATCGACCGATAAATTATCGAATAGTTATCGCTTCTTTTAAAGAGATAGCACAGAGATCGAATTCCTAATTATTCTTTGCAATTTGTATGCCAAATGAAGGCTTCATAATAAAACCTTTAGTAACTTCATACCACGTCATGGAGAGTTATATGTATCTACTAAATCCTAAACATTTAATAATATTTCAATACATGGATATATTAAATATTTTATAATTTTATTGTTAGCAAATACAAAAGTTAACAGAATGATTTAGTTTATTATTTGGCAGTAGTAACTACAATTTTAACAAATAATACGTTTTTGTAATATTTTAAACAGTTTATTTTGTAGTTGCATTTATAAATAGTGCTGTATTTTGAAACATTTAATTATTTGTCACAAATAATCATGCTTTGATTCCTTTTCCAGAAAAGTATATGATGGTTCTCCAAATGATATAATATCCTTCTGAACTATATTCCAACACTATTGTGTATTAATTTTTCCAACAATGTTATGTATCATTTTACTCCAAAGCGGCGGCACCAGAAATAATTTCAATCAATTCCCTAGTAATTACAGCTTGTCGAGTACGATTGAACGTTAAGGTCAATTTATCTATCATTTCTCCTGCATTCTTGCTAGCATTGTCCATGGCTGTCATACGACTGGACTGTTCACTGCAAGCACCTTCCTTCATAGAATAGTATAACAAAGAAGCTAACGAAAATTCTAGATAGCTTTGAACTACGTTTTCATCAAGAGAATCATATACAGATAGTTTTGGTGCAGTAGCTACTGCATTTTTGTCGAAGAGAGGCAGTTGATCAACAGCATATGATACTACAGATTTGAATTTATTGTACACAATGCGGCCAGAACCAAAAGTATACCTATAAATTATATGATATTATTATATGATAACATTAGACAAATAATATAATGAACTTTTTATGATAATATTTAGAATATTGAATAAAAGACATACCCACTATTTAAAACCTCAATTGCAACTTTAGCAGCATCATTAAAAGTAGGTGGCTTACGACCAACTTCGGATGCAACGAAAAGTATATTGTTGGCAAATATACGCGATAATATCGCTTTTGATTTTTCACCAATGCATACAATTTTTGTATTTTCACGTTCATTAGCATCGGCTAACAGAGCATCTCTAATATTACGAGAAACTCCGGTATGTACAGCACCACACAATCCACGATCGCTTGTTACTGCTATCACAAGCTTTTTTGGTTCTTCTGGTGGTGCTTGAATTTCAGCTTGTTCGTAAAACATTTTTGTACCAACACCAAGTGGACGAGCTTGTTTCAAATCGCGTTCTGCTCTACTATATTTAGCAGCAGACACCATCTTCATTGATTGAGTGATTTTTTGAATATTTTTGACAGACTTCAATCTTATGGAGATAGCTTTAAGGGTAGCCATACCACGTTGCTGCTGCTGTTGCTGCTGTTGTGCAGCAAGGCGCAGAATGGTTGTCACACGATTAGAGAACATTTTTTCAGATGAATATTATCCCTGAAAAAGTATATAAAAAAATATAGTTATGATTAAACTTATAAATCACACAAATTATTCTTTACAATTTCAATGAACTACTAATACTTCAAAAATATGTATACATAGATAGACATACATATACTTAATTTACATATGTATACATATATATATATATCTAAGTACTTAGATAACAATTGTTACATTTAAATTACTTTTCAGGATTATTTGAAGATGAAAACTAAAATGTGAGTTACAAATCCTCCTTAAAAACTACTTTTATATTATATATTTGGAAAACTATTTCAACATATTGGTAATTATCTCAACTACTGTATGTGCTGTTGTACACATTTTGTGATTTATACATGATTTATTAGTATACACTTAAAAATCTTACATACATATACATTTTAATACAATAAATAATAGAACTTTATTTCAAAAAGATTTTAAACTGCTTCAAATAAACTTAATTCAAATTACAATATAGCATATTCAACTCTATATAAAATTAAAGTAAAATAAATACTAATTATAATTAATAAATCAAACATAAATAACATCTTTAACTTACCAACATAGCAATTCGAATTTTGGAAAAATAAAACAAATTATATAAGACACATGTTAGTAAAATTACAAATTAATCATACAGAATGATAAAATATATTTCCTTTATTATTAATGTATGAAAATTCATATTAAATATAATTTTAGTTTAAAAAAAACCTTATTCCTTTCTTTCTCACAGATTAACAATTTATTCTGTTGTATTCTATAATACAAAGCATTGAAATTGTTATATTATTTTTTGGCATACACTCATCTGTCTCATTGATTTTTCATTATTAACAGTATTATTTCAAATTTATCATATATGAAGTTTACAAAGCACAAAATCAATTAAACAATACCAGTACAATTACAATTTTAATATATTATAACTGGTTAATATAAGGTACTGTTAAGTTCATTGGATTATATCATTTATATAATCACAATGATGGATACCAATACTGTTCAGTCAGATTTATAGCGAATTCGTTTTGTAACATATTAGTTATTCATTATGTTACATATTAATAAAGTAAGAAGTTTATTTCCTATCTATTATAATAAACAGAACTCACCGCACAACTTAGAAAAATATGATAAAAAACGAATAAACTGTGTCAAATGGGACAGGAATGATCACAGGACACGAAGTCCCATACAGGCAAAAGCAATAACCATGTATGTATTATATGTATAGTCTATGGAAAACGATCAATAGGCCCTCTATGAACCAAGATATGCTAGGGAATTTATCTTATACAAAAAGTATCATAGTGTTTTAATTTTACAGTTATGTATAAACTGTTATGATTTAAAAAAATGGCAAAAATGTTATCTTGGCAGAATATGTTTAAAAAATCCAAAAATTTATTATATATTTATTTGTGTTTTCCTTTTGTATTATTGTATGGGACTGTTTATAATCTGTATTGTAAATATTTTTATGATAATTTATTCTTAATATAAATTCTATATTATAATTAATCATATTGTTAAATTTAATAAAATTTTTACTTCACTGAAATGAAAATATTTGTTTTATCATACATGTTTCATTAAACAAAATATGTATATTTATACAACGTACTAAGTACACACATATATATATATATATACACATATTTACATGTTATCAGAAATATTTCCACAATTACAAGGTTTTTTTAAATAATATGTATATATATCTGTTTATTACAAACGAAAATATACATAATTGACAATATTCACAGATATGCATAAATTTTTATAGATTCTGTACTTGAATTAATCTGCTTTTTTACTTCCTCGTGTTTTCCATGCTACTAAAAGATTCCAAGAGAAGTACAAAGAAAATGTATGAACTTGAGAAGCCAAGAGAATAAATGCATACCATAATAATCCATATGGTAAGCCCTAAAAGATTTGATGTTTGTCAATTTTAAACACAGTACTATAATTATCCATATATAAACTGTTGTATTTTGTTTACGAGTTCATACCTGCCAAAAGTGAATTTCATCTGATTTGCCAATAGTTAAGTATTTCCAAACATCCTTAAAATAATATATGACTGCATACAATAATGGACCATATCCTAATAAAATGATACCTATCATATACTGTCGTAATGTTTTAATTTTGTTTCTTTTAATAGCAGATAATGCAAGAAAGCTCAACATTAAACTTGCACACCAGATGTATTCCCACCAAAGAGGCTATTATGAAAAAAACATTAATTAATAATTCTACTCATATAAGACATTAAATTTTTCTTTTTTTTTTACATTCAATTTATAATAAAATACACAAAGTTTTTGCTTCAAATTAACTAATGTTTAATTGTCGTATGTATATTTGCACACATATGGAAATGTGTGTTTTTAATTTACCTGAGGTACTTGTAATTCTTCAATTTCTAAAATGAATACGTCCAAATGATCTAAAATATCAGCTGATAACTTGGCAAGCATAACGAAGAAAAGAAGATAGTGAAAAAATATGCAATATTTCAGTCTTGATTTATTTGTTGCACTAAAATAAATACATATTAAACTTCATAACAAATAAATGACAGATGATTAAAATTTATTTTTAATGATTATCTTCAAAAATTACACTTTAAAAATACCATGGTGATTAGAATTCAATAACCTTTAATTGGGGAAAAAAAAATAAAAATACAAAACTCATCAATGTGTTTTCTTGTATTCTTTTAATTACCTGATTTGATAGTGACTAGCAATTTTTTGTCTATGATTAAAGTCACTTCCATCTGTACCCAAAGCTTGGGACAGAGTTACTTTTGAAGCCATATTTCAAAATTATTGTGACTAAAATATGTAAATCACTTTTTTATTTTAGTAACAGAAGTTTATAAACAAACAATTTTGGAGCTGTAATTTAAGATAAGATATTCGGTACTTCATTACCAACTATTTAACTATTTTTAAACTTTCAGAAGCCCTGTTAGTGTCCTCATGGGTCACGGATCTCTGCAAATATGTCACTTTTATTAGGTCACGTTTTCATTTGACAAAATATTTAGGTCGGTGTAACATGCTGCAAAGTAACATAACCTTAGAATATTATACAATACTTAATCTTACAGTACTATTTACAGTGATATTTTAAAGTATGCAATTATAAATTGTATATAACAAGACAAAAATATGGATTAATGACAACAATATAATACTATGAAATATAACAATAAATATTGTAAAATATTATAAAGAAAAGAGAAATATTTTCTTTTAGTAGAATGAGTTTCAACAAAGTAAAAGAAATTATTGAAGAAGGAGATGTGGTAATTTTATATTTAGGACCTAGTAATATGCATTCATTAGAAATAACACAAAAAATTCTCAGTAAAAAAGGTCAAATGGTTGATAATGTTTTTCAAACAATATATGGGGCTCTTAAAGTTTTTTCCCTCGTTGGGCAGAAGTATGGTACTAAGGTTCAACTTTCACGTGGATGGGGATATGTATTACAACCAACACCAGAACTTTGGACATTAACAGTCCCTCATAGAACTCAAATTATCTATAGCCCTGACATAAGTCTTATTATATATCTAATGGATTTGGCACCAGGAAGCATAATTATTGAGACAGGTTTAATAAATGTTATTATCAAGTATTTTTTAAGATATTTAAATGCTTTGTTTTAATGTAAATATGATATAATCCTAAGTTGTATTATATTATTTAGTATTTTTTGGTTTTTATATTTTGTTTATTTAGGCACTGGAAGTGGTTCTCTTTCACATGCACTTATTCGAACAATTCGTCCTCATGGCCATCTCTATACATTTGACTTTCATGAACAACGTGTAAATGTTGCAAAAATAGAATTTGAAAAACATGGTCTAAGTAAATTTGTAACTTTATATCACAAAGATGTATGTATGGAAGGATTTGGGGAACAATTAAGAAACAAAGCAGATGCAATTTTTTTGGATCTTCCACATCCATGGTTGGCAATTGATCGTGCATTATGTGCTTTAAAAGAATCAGGTACAAATTAATTTTTATTTTGTACATTATTTATGATTTTCCTTTGCAAATACTTAAACAATTTTATTTTTATTGTTAGGTGGGAAACTTTGCTCTTTTTCTCCTTGTATTGAACAAGTTCAACGAACTTGTGAAAAATTGACATCAATTGGATTCATTGAATTGAAAACATATGAATGTTTACAAAGAGAAATGAATGTACAATATAAGAACCTCCCTATATTGGATTTAGAATGTTTAAAACATGAGGTGTGTGAAAAGAATCAAATTAATTTTTTATATTAAGTATCATTTATTTGATTTTAATAAAAAAATATTATAAGTATTATAATATGGCATGCATTCAGTTCTAGCTTCTAAAATAATATTAAAACTTTATAATTCTAATCTGAATCTTTGAACATTATTTTAGCATGTAAACAAAGATATGGCACAAAAAAATGAAAATGAAAAGCAAGAACAAACAAAACTTCTAACAGTCACGCATGCTCATTCTTTACCTGGTCATACAGGATTTATTACAATTGCTACGCTACCTCCAGTTTATGCGCGAAAAACAGATCTAAATTTAGAGTCCAAAGACTGATTAAATTTTAAAATATGGTAAATCGATTTCAAACAATACAATTTCATGAAACAAAAAAAATCTGTGACAATGAGACCAACTTAGTAAACGATGATTAAACCTTATGTTGCAACTGGTATATGCAATAATCTTATTAAAAATTTTATACGTCTGCTTTGTTAGGATTCCAAGATAAATAATCGACTCTGGTAGCTGCTTGGTATTCTTTTACCAAGTATTCTACAACTTCTCTGGAATTATCTAATTCGTCTAAATTGTCTTCAAACATTTTTTCTTTACGAAACTGTTCCAAGAACGCTTCCCGTTTCCGCAATTTATCGTATTGTTGTAGAGCGCGGTCAAATAACTGAAATATATAATATATTGGTAAAATAATTGTATGTATTCTTGATATAAAAAAAATTTTAACTTACCGATGATATGTTAGTATGATTGGCTAACATTAAACCAGAAACTCTATGTGTACTTTGTATATAGGGGGACTTTCTTGAAAGAGCTACTTGTATACTAGCAGGACCCCAAGGTATGAACTGTGCTAATTTTCTTTCTCTTATTCTTTGTAATGATTTGTGAACTTGTGTTGGATCTACCTCTCCCTGTGAAATATTGTATATACACTTCAGTAATGACCTCTACATTTTTTACTATAAATGACATAAAACTTGCCTGAATTATATTTAAAATAGATATGTAACAATGAGATGCATTTCTATCCAATGCTGTGGAAACCATCATATTTTTTGGTTGCAATAAACGTCTCATTACATCCAATACAGAAGTTTTTCTTACAGAAGCGCCCTGTTTAATTACAACAAATCATACTTTAAAAATATAGAAAAAATGTAATATTTTGTATTTAACAATTGGATACTTACTTCCTGATCTGTAGTAAGTGGAGTATATCCTGTCATAAGGAAATGTAAACGTGGTGTTGGAATTAATGGAGCAATTAAACCAACTAAGTCATTGTTCATGTAAGAAGGATATCGAAGCGTCGTAGTGCTAACAGACATTATTGTGGATACAAGTTTATTGATTTGTGTAAAGCTAGGATTTTGAATATGAAGTCTATCTGAAGCTATTCTATTAAGAGCTGTATTATCTAAAACAACAACACAATCAGCACATTGTGTTAGCCTCTTCAGAGTTAATAAAGAATTGTATGGTTGCACTACTACATCACTGAAATAAATTTTGTTATTGTAATTATCTTTATAATTACTGTTATACAATATTATATTTTAGATAAATACCTTATTTCATCTTGGTTTGGAAAAACACTATATGTTTCAATTAATTTTTTTGGAAATCTATCTGCTAGAGATTCAAGCATAAATGAACCCATACCAGAACCTGTACCACCTGCAATAGAATGGCACAGTACAAATCCCTGTAAATATAAATAATATAATAAAAATCTAAATTAAGTATAGACTCAGTTGAAACATAAATAATCTTACTTCTAAACTATCACTTCCATCAGCTTCTCTATCTAAAATATCAAAAATTTCTTCTTGGAGTTTCTCTCCTTGATGATAACCAGATGCCCAATTGTTTCCAGCACCACCTCCGTGTTTTGATAAAAATATATTCTCTGGATTATATAACTGGAAAGTAAATTCGATATATTATTTAATGTATAAATGTATAATACTGATAAAACTAATTAAACATATTAATAATTCAATAGTTAAAATATCTTACTATTACCTTTGAGTATTGAGAATTCATAATCGTATGAATTACTCTGGGTTCTAAATCTAATAATACTGCTCTTGGTATATAATGCTCATCATCTGATTGATAAAAAAATACATCTTTTCTATCTGTTCCATCAACTGCATAATCTTCCAAAATACCCTCTGGACTAATACCATGTTCTGCACACAATTTCTTCCAAAATTCAAAACCAACTAAAAATAAGAAATAAGCAAGTAAATTAAGGAACAAACCAAAGAATTAAACATTTCATTTAAAAAGTACAACAGTGAAAGAACAACATTAAAAGGATATAAAAAAAAAGTATTTGATTACATTTGTAAATCAATAATGTTAGGACAAATAATTGCTTACTCTGATTGCCACACTGGCCAAGTTGTAAAGTTATCACTTCACAAGGCATTTTGAATTTGCTATTTACTTTCACCTGAGGATAATTTACAATCACTTGACTTTAATTTTACGCGGGATGTAGTTTCAGTTTGATCAACATTTTACATTTCATATTATCATAGACATTTTGACAACAGATCAAATTACAATTTTCTTTGCATTTATGACATAAGTTCGATATAAATAATGGACATATAACACCAAACTGAAAAAGAATTATATGTATACAAAACAATTATTATATTTGGTTGTAGATGGTGCTGCTTTACACATTAGCGTTTCAATGTTGAAATTTTCACAAAATTCAAAAATGTAAGTAAGATTTTCATGATTTTTGTAACTCAGTGTTAATTAACAAATAAACACGATCAGCTACTGATTCACTTTAAAATTATTTAAAATATTTAAAGGTCTAATGAAAAAAGGCAATTATCAATAGCAAAACTGTTAATCGTGGTAAAATTAGGAATTCGATATGGATTAATTATTAAAAATACTATATACAAAATAAAGATTTATCGAATTTGTGAGAATCAAGTTTCAAATCCTATTATTAAATATTAAATTTCGTTCATTAAAACATATCATTATAATAATTTTTCTTCATTGACAACAGTTTGATATAATTCACATCGTTCTCTTATTTTGATTTAAGTAAATTTTTATCATAATATATTGTTGTATCTTTTGAAAGTTATAAATGAAAATTGAAGGCTACATTGTAAAATATGTACATTTGTAATGTAATAAACAACCTACCTTACAAAGTACTGAACACATGTGCTTGTATTCTGTACTTTTCGTACGCATACTTAACTGCTATGCATCATGTTTGTCGCGCGATGAATGTTTTATCATAACCTATTAAAATTACTTCGTTGTATAGATAAAAGTCAAACTTATAATTACAGTGATTTTACGTACTTTTATATAAAACAAAGTATAATAAAATATTATTTAGTGTCGTATCATAATTGTTTAATACAACAATTTAAATAGCAAGTTTCAGTATGTCATAATAACAACTTTATTGATATAATTTACAGTAAATATACACAAGTATTACAAAGGTAATTTGAAAACTAGATTCATTTTTTATCATGATACTGTAATTAATTTTATATTATTATAATGCTTAATTTAATAATTTGAAAGGTATTTTTAATATCGCATGTTTATGTAGTGTCTACACATAAATATACTTACAGTAGGTTTATTGAGTAGAACAAAATCTTTTTTTCAAGATTATGATTTATTAATTTTTAATAGATGTCTGGAAGTAAGTGTCGAAATTGTGGATCCACGGAAATTGAAACAGATCCAGCTCGAGGAGATGCTGTTTGTACAGAATGTGGTTTTGTTTTGGAAGATCAACTTATTGTTAGTGAAACAGCATTTAAAGAGACACCATCTGGGAATATGATGGTGCTCGGTCAATTTGTTGCTAATGACAGTACTGGAGGTGCTACAGAATTTGGTGCAAGTATGTAATTTTAAAAGAATGAATGAGGATATCATAATTACTATGTACTTTTTTCAGTTTATAAAATAAATATTTTATTTTTACTGTTTACAGCTTATCATATCAATGGAAAAGAATCAAGAGGAATTACATTACAAAATGCAAGAAAAGGAATAACTCATTTATGTATGCAATTACGGTACATAATTTTTTTCATAATATATTTCATAAATTATTAGTCTTTTATAATATAATTAACAAGAAATTTGATTTATGTTTTTGTTATTAGTTTGAATCAACACTGTATTGATACATCTATGAATTTTTATAAAATGGCCTTAAACCGACATTTGACCCGCGGAAGAAAGCAAGCGCATAATCATGCAGCTTGTGTTTATATTACTTGCCGTACAGAAGGCACTGCACGTATCCTTTACATCTTCATAAAATAGTAGAAAGATATTATTTATTGTTGATTTATTTACTTAACTAATTAATTAGATATGCTTATTGACATTAGCGACGTTCTTCAAATTTGTGTTCATGAATTGGGACGGACGTATTTGCGGTTTACACAAGCTCTTTGCATCAACATTCCTTCAGTAGGTAAGCATTTTTACCTGTTTAAAATTTGCATGATATAAAATATTTCATATTACCATTATTTTGATAAGAATGAATGAAAGTAAATTGAAATCAGTTTTCAAATTGAGCAAACAATGAATATATCAATAATTATCATTTTTAAGTTTATGGAAAATAGGAATAAAGAAATTTAATTTCATAATTACCATACTAATTTACTTAATTTTTTATACATAAACTTCTTTATTCAACAAATTCTTTTCATTACAAATAATTATCACTACAATCATTTTTGGTGAAATTAAATATAGAAGAATTCATTAATTATATTATTACAGTAAATAATACATTCGAAAACATATAAAATGTAAAAATTTGCTAAGTGTACTTTTTATATTTAAAATGTTATTAAATATTATATACAGCATTTGTGCCTCCAGTTTGTTAACAATCATACTAGATACTGTTTGAAACTCTAATTATCTTACTTTATTACACTATTAATAATTATGGTATTTAAAGAATTTTAGCTTAACACATAAAAATACTACTACTATACTCCGAATGAGATTTTTTATATTTATTTTCACTTATTGCTTATATGGAAATCTTCAGTTGTGTTTCCTGTATGTTACATTACATTGTTAAAAATATTCTACTATAATTTTTCAATTGTAGTTTAACTTAAAAAATTCAAGTAATTGTTCACTGAGTCCATGGATATTTTTTTTGAATTTCATAATTATCCCTCGGGCAGTGAATCACTGAGGTAGCAACATGAATATATGAGACAGATCTGTTCAGACTATTTCCTTAGATATTATTTTTTTTAATATATGAGCTTTTTATTTCAAAATCTCAGTGTCACGGTTCAAACATTGTTGTACATCTCTGCCGTTCGAAAGTTAATGTTTAATCTGTTTTTAATGCCAATCTAAAATTCATTATGAAGATGCTTTTAAAATTTATTTGTCCTTTTTTGGCACCAGATGGATATACTAATAATAGGAAGGCATTATTTTGTACATTTTATTATTATATTGATATAATCCGTTGTACTTTTTTAACCAGTATTGACTATTTCATAACGTAAACTTTGGCGCCAGGTTCTATGGCTTTTCTAGATACAATAATATTCATTACAAAAAGAAAATATAATAGTTATATTTATTTAGTATATGCTTATTTGTCTTTGAAATTATACTCGCATACTCTTTTTTTTAAATCTTTTATAAGAATGTAGTAAATTATAAAATTATATAAATATAATTGAAATATTATAGAATATTTATGTGAAGTATTATTATGATATTTATAATATATACAGAAATGTCTTTTATCTTAAGAATTTAATAATTTAACAGTACATTTTTCAAATAACTTAATACCATTCGTGTGATTTATGATTACATGTTATTTTTAAAGAAAGCAACAAGTTTAAAAAAATGAGCATAATATGTCTCATTCTTCACCAATAAAATTTAAAAAAAAAATAAATGATGATATTAAGATGTAAAACTTACATTGCAGTAAATAGGCAGTTTCAAACATAATACATTTCAAACTTGCTTTAAGTGCTTAATGACTGTTGAATGCTTTGAAATTAGTATTCTACTCGGTAAAATAACAACTAAATCGTGTTTAAATTACTTTGATCTGAAACAGAATTGTAATGTAAAGATTATAAAAGTATTTTCTAATTAAATTAATTAGTCATAATAACAATACTTTTCAAATTAATTGAACTTCATTTACTTCTTTTTTAAATATTATTATTCAACAGTAATTTGAAAGATAATAAATTCTTTCAAATAGCACTTATCAACTTTCTCGTTTCCTATTATTTTAAAGACTATTTTTACATTTTTGTTCTCTTAAAATTTACTAACAAATATTCTCATAAAACTTTGCTTGTATATTTACAAATGACTTTTCATGTATTTAAGTTGTGTGAAAAAAGTAAATTTCTTTCAAACAAAATTTGAATGTGTTGTAGAAGATAAAAGATGCACTCTTTTAGAGAAGTTATTATTTAGAGAAGAAAATTATTTTATTCGTTTAAATTTAAATTTCATGTTAAATAAAATTTATATTTTCTTATTTTCGAAGTAGTACAATGTTTTATAAGATTGTATTTTAAAATATGGTAGTATAAAAACAAACATTAATTTTTGTATTTATACATTTCTATAGTTTTGTTTTAGGAAAATATATTCTTACGAAATAATTTGTACTAAAATTCTTGAAACTGTGAAAATTTGGTATTACTCTTTGCAATTAAGTAATGCAATAATGTAAATCATTTTTATAATTTAACTTGAATAAATAAAACCAAATTAAACGAAATTATTTTGTTTTTACAACGTATTCATTAAAATACTATACAAAATTTTAAATGCATATTGAAATTTAAGAGTGCACCTGTTACACAACTTTAGTCATTCATTTAAAAGTAGTACTTGAAACAATAATCACACAAAACCTTGAATAATTCCAAGGTACATATTTTTGGGCACCACCATTAAACCATTATCTCTGTCATAAATTTCCGTCAGTCGTCTACCGGTGGTCCATAAAAAATTAATTCAGGTATTTGCCCTCCTTGTACACCGGTACCATTCGTACTTTCTGAACTGCATTGAAATTGAAAATTCACGTTACCAACCGTGATCTCTGACATGCCTTCTTGTCCAAAGTAACTTAACTCCCCTCCATCTAATATCACGCTAGCTGTATAAAAGTATTCTGGTTCTATCTGAATTGGATTTTCAAAATATACATGAAACGTGCTACTTGAACCATCCGAGAAAAATTTAGTACTATTTTCAGATAAAACGCATCCTAATCTTTTCAGTTCAATTCTAACATTATAATCAGCGGCACCAGATGAACTTCCATAAAGTCCAAAACCAACAACAAAAATTCTTTTGTCAACACTAAACTGAATTGAATCACATCTGCCTCTATAACGCCATTGATTTGATCTATATGCACATGATTGAAACCTATGACACACCTGTAAAAATATGTTAATTATTTTAGTCTTGATTTATACTAAAGTTAAAAAAATTTTATTATTCTTATTTACTTAATAACATTTACCTGTGTTTTTAAGCCCTGTCGAGGTTTGGTAGGAAAACAAAGTTGGGGCTTATTACTAGCAGTGAAATGCAAGAAAACATCAATTGTTTCTTGTTGCGTTAAAATTCCAGTCTGAGCAGCACTATTGGCAAATTCTTCCAAATTCATAGCAGGAAGTCTAATTAAATATAAAGCAGAACCTAGAATGAAATAAACATTAACAGTACTACATTTATATTTATAAAAATCTATTGATAGTATTTACCTAATAATCGTCTTTGATTTGTTGCTGTTGGTTCAAGTTCTTGTCTAATACATTCAGCAGTAGCCCATCTTAATGCAGCATCCCATATGTGAATTTCTTTACAGTTTAATGTTTCACGAGAAAGCACTGATTCAAGGGTATGAATATCAATATCCACAAAACCATCTGATCTTAATGCCATTTCTGCCTGCATTACATTAAATTTTGTATACGTACCAATAATTAGTATGTTTAATGAAAATACTTTAAACACATACTGAACTATAATTATGCTTTATTAGTTTATGTTAACAGCTTTCTATATAATTTAAATGATATATTAATTTGAAAAAAGGAAAATATATTTTACATAGAACTGAACACTTCTTTAGATTTAATATTTTATTTCTTTTGAGAAGCTTACTTAATTAACTTTCTTTTCAATTAAAAATTTTTACACAAAACAGTATTGAACAAAACTTCTTTCAATATAATTAAAACCCTTACTAACTTTAACATTTGTTATACAAAAATGTTTTACTATCTAATGAATTGTTTCAAGGTTGATATACTTAGAAGAACATGTATTATGTATTTGCATTAAAAGTACTATTATTTTTATTATATAAAAACTAGTTTATGTTTTAAAAAATGTATTCAATTTAATTATACTTATTACAAATAAATTTTTTATAGATATTAGTGTATAATACACATACACATTTATAAATTAAATTAAACAAATAAATATAATTTTATACACAAGTTGCATTAAACTATCTTGTTTCTATTTCTTTATATAAAATTGCTTATTAGTTTTTTCTTTGTAAAAATGCGTTTTTAAAATAAAAAATAAAAAAACATTTTTATAACGTATATTAGTCAAATTTTAATCAAATAAATCTAAAAACAAATAAGCAATTTCGTTTTAAAAACATTTTAGTATTCAAAATAAATCGTAGCATTAATACTAGATGCTATTTAGGAAAATCACTATAATTATTTTTACTGTGTTCATATTCATCTGTAAAATTGTCTTCATAAGTTACATTTTGGGTTACTTCAATGTCTAACTTATTATCTGCAAAATAAGGCTCGCTTCGTGTTCGAAACAATGAGAGCGATAATCGTTTATTATTAAATTTCGAACAACAATTGTTTTCAGATAAGCTAAAACAATGTGACATTACCGAAAGTCTATTTTTAACATTTGCATAATTTTTATCATTACTTTTTGCGGTTATACGAGCAAGCTTTTCTTGCTGAGCTTTTAATTTGTTGTTTAAACAAATATCTCCACAAGAATGAAACCTTACAGTATGTTCAATAGCATCAATGAATAAATGTGATCTAGTGTTTAGTGTTATATCTAAATTATCATTCAAAGTGAAAGATTTTAACATTTTTTTATTTAAACTTACTTGAGCATCTATAACTTCCCAGCAACGTTGCATGAGATCTGGTTCCTCAAATAAACGCGATTGACTTAATAATAAACATGCATTCTTTGCTGTTAAACTTGTTTCTAAATAATTAACACATGCCCTTGCTAGATGAGGGACTATGTATTTTTTAGCAACATAAAGTGTTGCCAGAACTGTATCAGCTTCTAACTGTACTTCGTCACAATACATATACCTGAAAGAAAATAACTTGTTAAATGTTATAATTCATATTAATGATTGTACAGAAATAAGAATGAAAATATTTACCTCAGTAGAGCAAGAAAAGCAGCTGGCTCTACATCAGGTACTTCTATATCTCTTTTATTTTCTGCCAATCCACCATAAAACATTGCATAAAATACAGAACTACCAGTAGCTAAAACATACTTATGTGCTGGTATAGTTTGTGTATGACCTATATTAAATAATAATATACAATATTATTCAATTTCATACATATTATATAATAGATTGCTTTTAGCAATTTTCTATAATTACCTGGACTACCAACAATAAATATAATATCAGCCATTAAATGATTGTTAAACATGGCAGCATTTCGTTCACGAACTGTAGGCTTTGTTGCTTGCCAATTAGGATCTTGTGTACAGTCTTCAGGTGATGACAAATTTAATTGAGTTATAGGAGATGACAAGGAAGACAAAGGTGATGCAGGTGCACTAAGAGGTTGATTTATAGTTCCCTCGCGTTGCAATACAATAGAAGAAGTAAAAAGTGGGCTTACTGTAGGTGGTGAATCTGATACAGTGATTGGTGATTCCGCTAAAACATGTGTAATAGTAAAAATTTATAGTCAATTAGATTCAAATAATTGAAAATATAAAGAATTTAATAACAATTAAAAGCAGAATTTCGATTATGCTTTTTATTATAACTTTATAATGTTATTATTTAAAAATTATCGACAAAAATGTAGGTATTTAATTATTAACATACTATTTTTACTATTAATTGAATTGTTTTAATAACAAAAATATATATGTATTTTCTTCGATACTACGAAAAAGGTTATACATGAAAATAACATGTAACGATTTGAGATTTATAAATAAGTTTGTTTTTCTTGTTTTGTGATCCATCACATTTTGCTTTTATATGGTTTCTGCTTTATTTATCGTCATTTTAAGGCATCGTGTAATTTATCAGCTTTTTAGTGACAGTTCAATCAAAATAAATGCATGTAAAAATTACCAATTTTACCGTTAGAATACATCATTCCACAAGTTTAAAAATATCTTTAAGTAAAGTCTTTTTTGTTAATACAACATGGTAAATAACTTTTGTCACCGTAGCTTCAAAAATTGTTCGTTTTTAAGTATTACAAATGCAAACGTATCCATATATAAGTACATGTGTAATGTAACATCTTAAGCAAAATTTAACTATGGCAAATCCTCGAATGATACAAAGTTCGGTTTATTTCGCTTTCATTCGTGTGGTTTCGTAGGAGTTTCGGATACACGTGATACATGTACTAAATAAATGTACATACATACACGCGTGCACACACACATGTATATATACATTTATTAATTCATTCATGACGTGTATCACACGTTTTCCATTATTTACAAATTTTCATTTAATTAAACATTGACTTTTATTTATTTATAATATAAAATGAATTTGACATAAAACTATGCCTAACGTTCATTTGAATGTATTTAAATTACGTACTTTAAATACAATGAATTTATATGGATATAATATTTTGTAACATAAAATCATCATAGATAATCATATTAAAATTAAATATAATGTAACATGTGTTTATTTCTGTATAATTTTGTGTATTCTTGACTGCTAACAATATTAAGCAAAAATCGTATATAATAAATGTACATACTTTCAAATTAAATACTGCGCGAAGGTGATTAAAAATTGAAATTTATGATTAATTGTATGAAGTCGAAATAAACATTATAAAAAAGGTAACCCTATTTAAGGGTTATTAGACAGATGAAGAATAAGATAAATTTTTGTCTATTTGATCCAAAAGATTTAAGAGTCGTATTAAGTATTAGAAGTACGTATACCTATTTATATTCATAATAGTTATCTCACCATTTAACCATGGATTAGTCTGCTTGACTGTAACGTTGTCTTGAAAGCGTTTCATCGGCTTCGTTGATATTTTGGAATAAAGATTTGACATTGCCATTATCACTTTTTTAACTTAATGCTCGTTTTTTCTTAAGTTTCAACACAAAATGATTTTGGATTTCAGTTACATGGGCGCCATGTCAGACGGGCGCTGGTTAGATTTGTACGTCGGTCGATAGACAACTTAGGGCACACGCGTCCATATATCGGGTGTCCCTCAAAAAGCCAACTTTTAAGCTGCGCAGTGTACGCATTAGATTGCATTCTTGCGTAAAGAATCCAATTCACAAATTAACTTAAAATTTTTAAAAATATATATTTCTTATAATTAGCAAATGTTATACTTATCGTTAGATATTCTCAGCGCCCGCAATGATATAACAACTGATTATCGAATTGTATCTAATATGCTGAAGTTTAAATTTCTTATATTTTTAATGATTTTTATTGCAGATCCATGCTTGTATATTCTGAGGTTTGCAAATAAGCTAGAATTCGGTGAGAAAACTCATGAAGTGTCTATGACGGCCTTGCGAGTAGTTCAAAGGATGAAAAGAGATAGTATTCACAGCGGACGTAGGCCATCAGGATTATGTGGAGCTGGTATAATAAAAAATTATTATTAAATAAAATTTTGTAGAGAAGTTATGCGTTGGTATTGAATAAAAAACAATTTTTTTTTTTAATTAGCCTTATTGATGGCTGCTCGATTACACGAGTTCAACAGGTCACCTGCTGATATTATAAAAATCGTAAAGGTACATGAATCGACGTTACGCAAAAGGTAAATTATTTTTGGATAAATTTATTTTTTAGTGAAATTTGTAACAAATTATATTTATGAAAATTTATAGGCTTATAGAATTTGGAGATACACCTTCGAGCGCGTTAACTCTCGAAGAATTTATGACGGTCGATTTGGAAGAGGAACAGGATCCCCCGGCATTTAAAGCTGCCCGGAAAAAGGATAGAGAACGGTTACAGAAGGTACAATTTTATTTTGTAATAAATTCAGTTTAAAGAATTATTCTAATGAGGTAAAATTTAATATTTCACTTTATAGTTGGAAAATATATATACAGAAATAAATGAATTGCAAGCCGAGATTGATAAACAGCTGGAAGAGCATAGTGTAGGAAAAACAAGAAAACGAAAAGATGGTAATTATAATTGTTCAATTAAAATATTTTGATTTCTCAAATGATATAACATTCTGAATATTTATAAAAATAATATTTCAATCCATTAACTATAGAAAACTTATTATAAAATATATTTAATTTTTAGCAGTGTGCTTAGAAAGGGAGGACACTGAGAGGTTCGTAAGAGAGAGTAATTTAAATGTAATAAAAAGTTACGTGGAAGATGCGGATGATCCTGATAGTGAAATTCAAGAATCTAATTTGAATAACACTAATAACCGATTGATTACTGGGCTCGGTAATTGTTAAAACAATCTTTTGTTACTGTATTATTATATTAAAGTAGTTGTACTGTAGGATTCATGAGGTACATATGTAATTATTCGAAGGTCCAAACATTGCTTCCATGGGACTAATATCGGCAAATGATCGAGAAAATGAAACGAACGGGCAAACAAACGCAACTTATGAAAATGCAAGTTGGATTATGTTGTCTCTCTATTATTTATTATATTGCATGTAATATTTATAAATATTTATTACTTTAGGATACGGGCGAGATTGACATCGCTGACCTGGATGATGAAGAATTAGATAGTTATATCATGTCGGAAAAGGAGGCACAGTTTAAACACAATTTGTGGAATAAAGTAAATGCTGAGTATTTAGAGCAACAAAAAGAGCGAGAAGAAAAACGACAAAAAGAGAAAGAAGAGGGTAAACCTGAGAAAAAAAGACGACGAAGTACTAAACGTAATAAAACACAGGCACCAGCAAATAGTGCAGGTAATATTATCCATATTTTTACTGTAATAATATTTTAATTTTACACAGTTCATTGAAACATGAACATAATTAGCGTTTTATATTTATTTTTTGTGTTCATTTTAATAGGAGAAGCAATTGAGAAAATGTTACAAGAGAAGAAGATTTCGTCTAAAATTAATTATGAAGTATTAAAAAGTTTAAATGTTAGTTTAACTACTTTAAACAAAGAACAACAAAAAATAGAAGAACCAGTTGAATCACCCAGAGTAGATGTAGATAATGCTGCAAGTTCCAGCAAAGTGTTAGTATTACGATAGCAATGATTACCTTTCCATTATTTAATGTTTTATTATAAGTATGATATAAACAATTCATTTTATGTATTTGTAAATCTAATGTTTCTAGTCTGCCGAAATTACAAGATAAACCAACTATAACAACAGCCAGAAAATCTCATTCAGTTAAAGTTAAACTTCAGATAAAAGAAGCAAAGGAAGAAAATGAACAGAAGCCTGTTGAAATAGAAACTGATTTGGTAGAACCAACATTACCAAAAATAAATGCCTGTGATATGGGTAAATTTTTATCGTAGACATACGCTGTTGAATTATTTCTTTGTTTTTTAAATTAAAAAATTTGTAATAAATACTTCTTTTTATAAAGTAGATGAAACTGATGACTATATTGACGAAGAGGTTGAAGCTGATCCTACAGAAATGACTGTCGGACAAATGCTTGGGCGACATGGATCAGAAGATGAGAATGATTTTGGATATGGATATGATGAAGAAGATTATTAGTTGTTTATAATTTTTTTTATACTACTATTTATGCTAATTACATTAGCGCTTAATAAAAAAGACTGTGTATAAAAAGAAAACATTCATTATGTTTAATTTTTTAAAGGATTTTTTATGTTTCATTTGAAAAATGTAATATAATATAAACCTTTTGTTTCTTACAAACCAGTAGTATAAGTAACAAAAAGAAGGAGTAAAATATTGTAATTAGTTAATGAAGACGGCTGTTATTATAAATTATATAATTTTTGTTGTTCTGCGAATTTTCTTTAGGCAATGAATATACCTTATGCTTACATGACTCACCCGGATACTCAAAACAGTGACTAATTGACGAATCTAATAGATTCCGAGACAAAACGCTTTCTAATAACAGTTTAAAAAGACCGCCACAAAATTTATACTGGCATCGCCATCTAATAACATAATGTTGAACTATGTCAAAACAAAGTTGAGCTTTGTCGGTAAAATAGTGATTACGTTTTGGCGGTGACATACCGACAACTTAGTTTTGATTACAGTTCCATGATTTGTTTCTAGATGGCGCTGGCACGGTTGATGCTTACACGAGAGGTAAGAGAAAAGTAAGCGTTGCAAAAACAACTGCAAGAAATGTTTGTAACCAAATTTTAATACTAAATTTCAAGTTTAACTACCCCCAAAAATTTTGACTAAAATATTTCAAAATTTCAATATTTGATTAATCAACTTTACAAAAAATGGAATATTTTCGTAGCTTTAATCGGGAAAATATTGTCAGGTGATTGATAATCTCCAATAGAGAGAGATAATAAAGTAATGTTATGTAATGTCATAATTTCCTTACCTTTTAATAATTACAGTTAATATTATTCTAATAGAATGAATCGTAAAAGAATCAGGGATTAAGTAAAAAATAATAAAAAGACTAAAATGTTTGATAGTAATAAAATTACAGAATTAGATGATGATGATTTTCAAGCACAAAAGAATAAAGATAGAGAGATACGTGCAGGACGCAGCAAATGCGGCAATAAATATAGTTACACAAAAACTAAGAAATCTTGGAAAAAACGTTTAATTAAATGTATAATAAATGATTTAAAAAATTATGGACCAACTAATGTAATGCACATAAAAGCATTAGCTAATATAACAGGAAAACCTATCCGTATATTTACATCAGATGGTAATTTATACCAAACGATAAATTGCAATCGAAACGACAGAAAAATGATTCAGTGCGATGCTATTGACATTGAGTATCATAAAGAAAAGCACTGGACTCTATTAGGGAATAAAGATCCTGCAGAAATTGAGAAAGATTTAAATGCCTGCTTATTTGTTGTCATTGCCGCTCAAACTGGAAAAAACTCCACCGATTTAAGAAATAGCACTATCGACTATTTAACGAATAATGCGAACTATTTGATAGAGGAAATAGATAAAATATCATCGGATGATAATGCATTATTGATGATAGGTGGCGCCCGATACAATGGTACGTCACCTAGAGCGGCAGGTATTATACTTGATGATTCGCAGAATGTTTTATGCGATGGATGCAGAGAGGTTGGTCATCCAAGAGGTCATGCATCTGATAAAGATGCTACAGGCCCAATAGACAGTGTAGAAAATTATTCCCGAACAACGGGAAGTAGAAAATCTGGATTCTTAAGTAGAAATGATCAAAACTTGGTGGCTCACTATGCTTTATGCCACGAGAGTGCTCAACAAGCTATGAACAGTTTAAATAATGGCGAGTTCTCTTTAGCTATAACATTGTTAGGTAAAGAGTTACCGACTGCTTTACCAAAAATGAAGGAATTTGTTAATGGTGAAGCATTCACCGGAGAATTAAGTATTATTCGAGTGACAGTAGTATTACGACACCATCAAGGTAAACGTAATGATCCAGATGCTAATGTTTTTGTACATACAATTTATCCACGAAGTTCATGATTCTACCAGCGACCACTGATCCAAAAAGACTAAAATGATAGAAGAATTTAAGCCAATTAAATAAATAAATGAGAAAATATATTACGTGCATTAAATAAATAACTCAGAAATGAAGTGTTCATTCTTGTGCTGTTTTTGACTGGGTCAAAATGGGTCTTTTCAGATGTCAGTCTGAGGTGCGGGACCGACGAGAGACTACTAGTAGTTCGTATCTCGTCGGTGGTGCGGTAAAAGAGGGGTCGGTAAAACAGGCACGGTTATCATACCGGCTGTGTTCTCTCCATGCAGACCTAATTTCATCTGGGAGTGTTTGGACCCCCTAAATCATGACCCCTCGAAAATAAAGACATGTCTATACATAATATAATTACTAATCTATCATTCTGTAACTTTCACTTATATTTTTACCTATATTTTTACCTCATTTTATTATGAATATATATACAAAATTTTACTTTGTTATAAAATTATTTGTATTCCTATAAAATATATTTTACAAAATAATACACATTTTTAATTATAGTATGCAAATGTCGTTGCTACACCATGTCCACATTAATGTTTTTAAACTATTTCTTGCTACTTCAGTCTCATTTTGTGAAGAACAATTTGTTTTGGTTATATACTTATAACCAAAGCGTAACATCTCATCGCATTCATCTATATCGCCCAGTAATTCTTTAGAAAATCCAAGAATTTCCATTATATCTTTCTCAGTAACAATCATTTTTATAGATTTTGTTTCAATTAATTTTTGCAAAATATTTATATATAATATAAACGTGGAAATCTTAATATCTTTTGATAAATGAGATTTTAAGTTCAATACAATATTTAAGAGCATCATTTTAAACTGATTACTATTTGCTTTTATATTTAATATAGTACTTAAAAGTTTGTTTATTATTTCCATTATGAGTTCAAAGTGTCGAGCTTCTTGTTTGCACAAATTCGTCGTAATTCCTAATAACCATGGAAGTAATCCATGACCTTCTATAAGAAGTATAGAAGCCTTAGTAATTTTCAGTGTAACATTAATAATCTCCAAGATAAGTATCTGAAATGAAAAGACACAAGATTAATGAGATTACGAAAGAGTAATTATTAATTTTTTTAACTTCTTTACTTACCTTCGTATCTGAATCTGACAAGTTACAAACATAAAAATCTAAAAGCATTTTAAATAGATTACACTTGAAAGCGACATCCAATTCGCTTTCGGTTCTCATACCATCGCGAATATTTTCGAGAATCCAACATCTATGCGATTTATGTTTTACATCAGAGCTATGAAAAAGTTGTAATAATTCAGGTATTGTATTTACATTTAACGCTGGTTTAGCCAACAAAAATGTTTGTAGCGTCTGATAAAGGGGATGTAACGGTTTTGTGGCAACTAAAGATGTTCTTGCCAAAAATGTTGAAACTATAGAATTTAAGCGCACGTTACTTAATTCTGACTGAAGTGATACAATACCATAACGCAATGCATCTATCAGACGCATCCATAATAATTTTGCTTTTGAGCTTTAAACAAAAAAAGATATAATTAAATATAAATTGTGCAGTATAAAAATGTATACATATAATTATCTTTATAAAATACCTAGAAGCTTCCAGATGATTATAATATCTAGCAATAATGGTATAAGCTAACATACGAACATCAGAATGTACACTACTACAAGCAGCAAATGTTAATGCCAAAGCTCCACATTGTGCAAATCGTTGACATGATACAACATTATTTTCCGATAACAAGAAATGTAATAATGGTAAATAGAATGTAGGATCATACGTATTGTTTGCTTCGTACAATTCGCTATTCTGTAAAAAAAATGAAACATTATTTAGTATTGTTAAGTATGACTTAAAATATTTTAATTATTTTTAGAAATTCACCTTTAATGCTCTGTTTACAGGATAATTTTTGATAGTATTGTTTACTTTATCTTCTTCAAATAAATTTAAAACTTGAGTTATAGATGGTTGTCTCCATAAATTCATGTGCGGTTCACCTTTAACACTATAATGTACTGCTGCCACACTTCCCCAAACATATGGCCGATATTCATAAATATTAATATCATTGGCTTCATAATGTTGTAAGATCTGAAGCAAATTTGTATATTAATATTTTCTCAGAACATAATATATTTATCTATCTCTATTATTCATGTTCTTACAAATAAAATATATTGATCAGCTTCGCTTAAAGTAGCATTATATGCTGCCAAATAAACAGGTATATGCGTTAATGTCATAATCTTTTTATGTTTTTGTATAAGAATCCACAATAGCTCTGTTAATTCTCCTGAAAATATAATAAATTAACGAATATCTTTAAATATTTTTCATACATTTACTACAGCATACATACTTTTTATATCTGATGACTCCAACATAATATTAATAAATGCAGAATGGGAGGTTGCCATTTCAAATAAAGTTCTGGCATATTCATCGTCACTATTGTTTCTATATGCTACGTTGCATAAAGTAGATAAAGTTTTTAATAATGGAACATGCTGTCCATTATCCTTTAATCCTTTAAGACTCAACTTCAGAGAAAATCTTGTAAATTGTGACCATGAATTATTAGTACTTAATTCCTCGAATATAAAATCTTTCTTTTTGTTTGTTAGATATTTAACTGCATCGTTTAATAATTCACAAAGAATATAAATCTTCTTCACGTTTTTAGAGTCCCGTTTTAAAGTTAAACTAATTATGTGAAGAAGAACTTGTGTCCAACTCATTATAAATTGTTCACCATCTATTTCTGATGCAGCACATTTGTCATACATGCTTTGAAGAATTTTTAGGTAATGTATGGATACTGTATCCAATTTATCACCAATTTGTAAAATACTCTTACATGTTTTGTTACATGCTGTAAAGTCAAATGCATGTGTTATCAAATAGGAAATTGCAGCGACATTTTCTTCTATCCAAATTTTAGTATTTTTCGGATTGCATAAATAAGATAGAATTTCAGTTTCATAATATTGTTTCAAATTTTCTAAAAAATTATGATTCCATTCGAAATTTAAGTTGCTTCCAATTATTGGAAACACAATGCTTCCTTTTTTTATATTTTCAGATTTCATCATATATCTCGTAAAGATGGGCATAAATTTCGTATTTTTACATGTTAAAAATGAAATTAATTTTACAGTTGTATCAGTCATTTTCGTTGACAGTAATGCTGTAAACATATCTAAAAACATCATATAAGTTAGATAATCATAAAAAAAGTATAATAGAATATATAATATATTATTATAAACTTACTTGCATCAATATCGACTATATTGAATGGAAATTTTGACAAATATTTATATAATGATATTTCCCACATTTCAAGATTATTAACCAGATGTGATTTTAAGAACAATAGGTGTAAATATAAATGTTTCACAAATTCTGCATCTAGATCAAAGAGTGCAGAACGTTCAGATTGCATTTCATTACTATTAATAATTTCCAAAAGTTCTGGAACTATATATCCATATAATGATAAATTTTTCTCATCATTTGCGATAAACATTGCACTTTCTAAATTTATTAATTTCTTCAATAAATGTACAACATTTTGCGGTGTCAACTGCAACGACACCAACACAGTAGTAATCGTTTTAACATTATTTATATTGTCACGTTTTTTACGTTTGTCTATCATTTTACAAAGTAGCATAATTAATTTATTTTTGAAATGTAAAAACAAGTTCCTTGCATCATATTCTTTACATAAACGAATCACCGCTTTACTAACATCAGCAATTATAAGAGTTATCATACTTTTTATTGAATCTTTACTTTTGTGATGAAATGGTGAAAAATAGTGCAAAATAATAGGATGAGTGAAAATAAATGTTGCACATTTTTCCACGAGTTTAAAATCAGTTAGATTATCTTTTGCAACGTATAATAATGATATTAAAAGTATTTTACAATTGTCCGTTTGAATTTTTGTTAAACTACCTCGTTTAGTAAATTGTACTAGATAGAATAATGTCATTTTGAATAAATGCGTGATATCGTACCCTGATAACGAATGATGAATTGTTATCTCTTCATCATTATACTGAAAAGTAACTGTACTTTTACCACCACCAAATATTTCATTTATCTGTAATTTATCATTGCTCAATAATACTGAATTTAATTTACACGTTAAATTCATTGAAGGAAAAACTTCTTTAATATAGATAGGGTCATTGCCCTCTAACCAGCTTAGTAAATACTCCTTTACGGGTAATTCAATATCTTTTACGAAATATATTAAACATTGTGGCGCAACTTGATAATGCATTGTATGTATTAAAACATACGATAAATAGGATATAATAGTAGGATGTAAATCTTTCCTCCTTTTATGTAACATGCAACATAAAAGAGGGGATATCGATGTAAATCGTTGCATACGCAAAACGATATTATCCAAGCTTTCATAAATATTATCCTTATTTTCCAATTCTATAAATAAAAGAGAATATAACTTCAAATGACATAATACAAGGTATGTATATTTAATAAGTCCATTAACTTTTACCTCTAACTATATCTTCTATTCGACCACCATAAATTGCTCCTTCATCAATACTTTCTTCTATTTTGATTATTTCATTCGCGTATTTTTCAATATTTGAAGCAGCTTTCTTTATATTATGAATAAACCATTTTGTAGCTTCCTTTTTATCACTTAAATTTGTAAAGCCTTTAACGCAAATATCTAAATGATCATTACATCCTTCAAACATTCCAGTAGTATTTAATAAAGTTTTGATTGTTGCTTCAGCAGATGATGAAACTAAAGATGCTTTTTCGTTCAGAAGAGGTATTAAAAATGACAATGTATCCTTAAAGATTTTCTAAACAGAAATTGTATATAATCATTAATATTTTATAATCAAATAAACCATTTGTATAAATTAACACTTATTTTAAATATTATTTTATATACCTGTTGAGGCAAAAATTCATTAGGGGTCAAAATAACTAAAAATTGTATAGCCTTTACTTTTATAATATTGAATTCATTAATATCAATACCATTTAATTCATTTAATATATTTAAAAATGTAACAGATTCTATATCAGCTAATGTATCAAACAATTTTGGACAAACTTCATTGTATACATGTAATAAGTTTAAAACAGCTGTCAAATGTTCATGCTTGTTTGTTTTTGGAACGTGTTCTTTGTCTGTATTCTCAGATTCAACCGAGTCTGATACTGAGACAGAAATCCACACCTTTAATGTCATGTTTAAAATTGGTACATGCTGCAATATCAAATTTTAATATTAATTTGATAGCTAAATGTTACAGTACAGTTACTTAATATTACTGTACTTAAACATCATTATCATGCACTAATACTTACTTTTATTATAGATTCTATTATGCAATTTTTAAAAGTACAAAAATAACTATCATTATAAAATGCTTTTGTAATTAACAAATATTGTTTAATTTGATTAAATATGATTAAAAGTGTAAGTATTGCCTCGTGTCTGATTGTTATATTAGAATGTGTTAAAGATGGAATAATTGCATGTTTTAATACAACTCCATGGAGAGTTAAAGACATTATTACATTAGCCAATTGTAATACATTTAACTCAGATGAACATATTTTTACACAAGCTTCCATATCCAGTGAATTAATTATCTGTAATAACAATTAATTTATATATTCTTTGCTGAAAAGAATAAGCTAAAAATGTAAAAAAATGTGATAACAATTGTTATGTAATTACCTTTCTTATAAACTGCATTACTGCAATCCATTTTACTGAAACCCTGGGTTCAAGGTATGGTTCTAAAATACTAAACTGGAATTTAATTAAATCTGGACATGCCGCCATTATTTTAACTACTAAATCTGATGGTTTTTCATATTCCCATGGTCGATCTAGGCTTTGGATTACTGTATTTACTAAATTATTATGTTTAACATGTGAAGTACCGAGCATACGATCGTGAAAAATAATTCCATATTTATGTGATGTTAATAATATGATTAAAAAATCATGTACAATCTCAGTAACAACCTAAATTAAAATGTTTCAGACTTAATAAATATCTCCAAAGAACAATCTACACTATATTATATTAGTTTGCAATATCCATAATAAATACCTCTTTTTCTGCAAGATATTGTGGATGTGAAGTGAAGTCTTGATTTTTATTTTTTGGCCAATTACTTGGACCTTTCCAATTGTACAAACACACAATATTTTGAACAACCGATGTTGAAAATATATGCAATTTCATAGTTTTGGTAACATTTGAATTTTTAAGAATATAATTTTTAAGAGTAGTTATAACTAAATTAACAATATCCTTAGAATCATATATAAGATCAGGAAATATGCTAGAAAGTAAACCACGTTTTTCTAAAAGAGCTTTGATAATCTGCACATTTCCTTCTATCAAAAAGGCAATTATAAAGTGAATAAAACAGTTTCTTATGTTTTGCTTATCACTGGGCTTTGTGTGCTGCACAAGAGATTTAATAACTTCAGGTGGTATAGACAGATGAACAAGTAATTCACATGGAAGATTACCACCTAATGAAACTACAGCAGCAAGCAATTGTAAAATTACTTTTCTGTGTTTAGCATTACTTTGTACAGATAACATAGAATGTATCAATGATAAATGTGAATTAATTAAATGGCGGCATGCTTCTTGTGCACTAGGCTGATGTTGTGGATACTGTGCTAAAATTCTGAATAGAAACAGAAATCAATGTAAAATCAGTAATAACAATTCACTATTCAAGTATGAATATATGATACATACTTTATTAGTAATATCCTTATGGTAGAAAATACTGTTACAACATTACCAATATTCTTTCTATCTGTAGTATCTATTATTCTTAATACTTCAAGAATATTACCACCTGCATTTAAATATTCTGCAGCCAAATCTCTCTCTTCATTTTCCTTGTAAATTTTTATAAACATTTTTAGCATTTCTACATTATTAATGGTACTCAAACTTTTTCTTAACAATTTCCCACTTAAATATTCAGTTTGTTCATTTGTGTTTTCTTTATTTTCCACAGTTTTTTCATTTTTATTATTACATTCTGAATGTGGAGTATTATATTTAAAAATAATTCTGTTATTGAACATTTCCTATATAATAGTAAAATGTTTATATTACCTGTTGTTGATTTCAAATGCTTGGTTCTTTTGCTTCCTTGAGATTCTATGAATGTTTCCTTATCAAATTCTGTAGTATATCCATTGTCATTTGAACCATTTACTAATGGATTTAAATTATCTTTTGTTTTGTGTTTCTTTCTTACCTCATTTTCATCACTAGACCAATTCCTTTTAAGTTTTTTTTTATCAATTGCTTTGACATGTTCATTAATGTCAATATCACCTATATAATTAATTATTTACATTAATGCCTTTTGTTAATTATATAAAGAAATGTATTTTAGATATAACATATTTAAGCACATTCTTAATACAAAGGGTTCAAGATACACAATGAATTTTAAAAATACAATAAAATTTATGTTAATTATATTATACACATATTAATTTTAACACAGAGAATTCAAAAATTACCTTTTATATCTTTCTCCTTCTTATTTTTCTTAACAGCGCTATGATTTTGTGATTTTTCATTTTTTGAACTGATTCTCATTTTTTTATAATAATTTATGCACTGTATGGAACTAGAAATTATACACTCCAATATATATTTCGTTTTCAAATTAACAAAAAGGTTAAAGTTTCAGAAAATTCATTTTCTTTCTTGTATGGTTCACATAACCTAAATCAGTCAATAAAGAACACGTGCTCTTTCAAAAATTTTTAAAACCTAATGGTTGGTAAACTGGTAGGAACTCCGTTTCAGCGCCATCTATTAAGAAACGGCAGAAACTACTCGACAATTTACCGACCGGCTTTCCGAAAATATGATAATTAATCGGTAAGTAGTCGAATAGTTTCAGCTGGTTTTGTATAGATGGCACATTAATCGCACCCGACTGCCTTTTATGGGCAATTTTTTAATTTTGTTTTAATATACTTATACATCCAAATTTATTTAAGTACGAATCAAAAAAAGTAGGGAACTCGATGAATAGACTGTAGTGAAATAGAAGTAATTTATTGAAAGAATAAAAAGTTATATTTACATATATTTTCTTATATAAAAAACAATTATAAATATAATATATATTTCTGTAGTTATATTTCACATATAATTATGCACAATTATATTATGGTCTTGACTTTATGTATAGGCAATATGAAACTGATTTCTTGAATATCGAGAATATGTTAATTTTTTCTAATAAATTTCAATATACCAATAATAATATTATGGAATGTCCATTACAGCATATCAGAACTGGTTACTTGGAAACTCCTTTTAATAGAGACGCGTGGATATTGTTGCCGCCATTCTTGTATTATAAAATCGTTAATACCTTCGCAAAAACTAAGATCAATCATTTCCAATCTTGGACAAAATAACAAAAACCCGTAACATATTTCAGGTGTAAGAGAACGAGCTCCTAATAGGTCCAATTGCTGGAGTCGTTGACATAGTAAAAGTGGTTCTAAATCACGATCGGTTAATCCTCTAAGAGCTGCTAAAAATACTTTTTCCAAGTACCGACATGAAAACAATAATGCTCGTAAGGAATCACCGGGAGCACCCATTCCACCACTGTATTCAAATATAATTATTGTCATTTCTTATTCATATATACATAAACAATTTTAAACAATAATTTTTTTGTAGACAACATACCACCATCCAAAATCCACTTCTCGAAGATTAGTGCAATGAGAAAGAGCTTTAACTCCATGTGGAGTTAAAGTTTGTGCTTTCCAGAAATCTACACTTTCCAAATATGGGCAAGAATTTCCTAATTCAATCGCAATTTCATCTATATTTAAACGATCATGCATTCCTGCTAAATTTAAATGTCTCATTTGGGTGTTTTTCTTTAAAATAGAACACAGTGTAGAAGTTTCAACAGATGTCCTATAAAGTTCTAAGCGCTCCAGCAACTTCAAATTTTCAAGATTTGAAAATCCTTCATTTGTTACGCCCATACAATTCCGTAAACACAACTCTAAATAATACATAACACTTAAAATAGGCACTTTATAAATTTTTATAAGGTACATTACAATAATCTCATTTACCTTTTAAGTTTTTACAGACTTTTGAAATTTCAAAGATAACTTCATCATTTACGAACTGACAACAATTTAATCTCAAGTGTGTCAAAAGAGTTCCAGATGTGTGAAGGAAATCTGTAAAATCTTTATACTTAATCATATTATAATTTCCACACCATGAAAGATCTAGCCGTTGCAAATAGTGACACCTAAGTGCTAAACAATTTAATGCAGATGTATCTAAACAGTGCCAATAAGGTTTCAAATTGAGACTTGTATACAATAAAGCATCTCTTGCAATATTATTAAAGTGTCTATTTACTCTGCATAAACGACATAATGATTTTAAGTCCAAATTTTTTAATATTTTTAGTACTGTTTCATCCTGTAAAAATATGTAAAAAGTAAAACATTATTGTTAGCTTTAAAATCAGATTTATAGAGTACACAAGATTAAAATATGATATTTTACTGGAAGTGTTGAAAAACTACCACACGGCTGATTGTCTGAATCATTTAAAGGTAACAAAAACCTTTCCTTAGTAGAGTTACTTTGTTCATTTAATGTGTTTGATATTGAATGATTGATGTCTTTAATAAGTTTAGGAAAATCTTCTTGTAAGAACTGTTGCAAACTATTAAAGGCTTCTTCTATTGGAGGAACAGATTGATAATGCTGTCCTATTTTAGATATTAATTTACCCTTGGAAATATTATCTATAATTTTGCTGAAATAAACAGTATTCATTTTACTTATTAAACTGTTTGAACACTAATATAAAATATTAATTTACCTTTTTAAAAGTCTACAATGTTTAGGAAGAATTTTTTTAATAACTGCTAAATCCTGATTTGCTTTTAAATAATCTGGTGTTAGATTATAAATGTCATCATTACTTTGTTTAAGATAGCCCAATTCTTGTGAGAGATCATTTAAATTTTGATGATATAAGTTGTTAGGTACAATTAATTCTGATGTTCCAATAAGTAACACAGCATCTAATTCAGTGTAATAGTCTAATAAATTGTGATTAAATTCCAGTCTTATCATTTTTGTTTTAAAATTACATGATTGCAAATATGGAGAAAATATTCTTGGCTTGTGTGGTACAACTTGAGGAAATCCACTCCATAATTGAAACCATTTGCCTTCTGAATTTTGAGCCCAAATTCCAACTACACTTCCAGGATTGTAAGTTTCATATACCGATATTCTAATTGGATATACCTCCTGGTAATATTCTAGATCTTTATAATATAAAGAGAAACATTTTAATTTGGTTGTATATGTTATAAAATAAACACATGAAATATTAATAAAAGGTATTGACATTTGACATTAAATAATATGTACCTATGTAATCTTGACTTACAACATCCACATTATTCTGTGGCATATAGTCTGTTAATCTTGAAGGTGCTTTGTCCCACCATTGTCCATATGTTCTCTGCAATAATAATAAATAACTTTTGAATTGTGAAAATCTCAAACATTGATCAAAATTTACAAATATTAACAGTTTTAAAGTTATTAAAAGCTTTATATTGAATTTTTATTTTATATTTAATTACCATTTGATTTTATTGTTTTTTCTTTTTAATTTAAAAAAAGATTAGCATACCATAACAAAAGCTTGCGGAAAATCTCCATAGTCTGGAAATTTGCTAGGATTCCCAGCAATATTGTACGCTGTATATGAAATACTGATATTACTTCCATACTGGGAACTAAAATCGCACACATCTTTCACAAATTGTTCTACAAATGTTACAGTTTCTTCTTTTTCATCAATTCTTTTTCCACTTATCGGTACTACTTCTATTTTTATCTCGTCATGAGATATCATGTCATTTAAATACAATTAAACAAAGAATTTTAACCTCAAGTAGTGATAGGTTAATGAATTTATTGAATTTTGTTACTTTTATAATTGCATGTATAATATTCTTAAAAAATCACCTAAAATATTAAATGTTTAAACAATCAGTTCATAAAAAAAAGTAGATCTTTGTATTTTTTCTTTTAGTACTAAAAACGTATGATACTTGACATAGCTTCAATTATATATGAACAGACAAAGTGTGAAATGAAGGCAATACATATACATTTACATACATATATACATGCGTACATATTTCCTAAATAATATATGTATACATTATGTAGTTCATCACTCCCCTTTTTATAAAAAAGTTAATTCATTCGGGGTTGATTGGCACTAAATATTTAGAATAGTAATAACTTTGTTTAGGTTATATTTAAAAAAAAAAAGAAGTACTACTAAATACTAAACATTGGTACAGATTTAAAAATATTTACATATTATTACTTTCAATAATTATAATAAAAATAAACATATGATAAGAATGTTTATTCCTTTTAGAATATGTTATGGTATACCAGGTAATTAACCACATAACATTTACAAAATAAGAAATTTAATAATATCATTATTTACTTTTCATTAAATGTCAATTTAAAAACACTTCATAAATGTTATACAAACTTTTATTTATATCAGATTCAAGCTAATATGTACTTCTTATATTGGTAAAATTAGCTCAATACTTAAATTAATAAAAGTATTAAATATTTTTATTAAAATTTTATTTAAGAGTTATTGTAACTAACAATAAAGTATTAATTATTTTTTATTAGGGATTCTATCAATTCTTGTCTCTTTTTAAATCTACTTAAAACAGCCTTTTCTCTTTCTTCTTTAAGCTTTCTCCTAGGTATATGTTGTAATGCTATATTCCAATCATTTGTATATTTTAAGTCTAACAATATACTAAGCATATGATTGAGAGGAAGGGTTTTTGTAGATCCCATACCCCACTGTAACTTTTCAGCTAAAGGTAATCTAACCATTTTAATACCTTCTCTTCTAGCTTTTTGAGCTGAACATGGTTGAGTGTTGACCTAAAATCGTAAACATATATATTTTATTTTATGTTTTTTAAAAATAGATGATACAGAATTATTTTTTGACTGCTTATTATCATTAGAATACGGTAATTAAATTATGCTAATTATACAATGACATAGAGGAAATAGTGATTACCTTATCTACCAATGCACCAATTATGTACACAGAATTAGGATCATAGTGTGTCATAATCTGATTAGAATCTGGTGTAAGATATACTAATCTGGATTTATCAAATATTTCTAAATAAGATTTTGAAGTGATATTTAGTGGAAAATCTGTGTCATATATTGTTGGTATCGTTATATGCAATTTTTGCATAGTTAGGCTTTGTCTATTGACATTACAAAAATAAAGGTTACAAGGATCATCGTGTACTCGATTCATTGAGAATGTAAGTAATAATTGTTTTGCACAAAGTTGCCTTTCAGATGGTGACATGTATTGATCATATGAAAGATCAAGCACTATTGGTGGTGAATGCAACATAGCGCTCATTAATCTACCATTATAAAAATGGTTGATTGCTTGATCACGTATACGATAACATAATGTACTGTGACTTAGTCTATATGTATTAGGATCTATCTCCTCTCTTTTTTTCTCTATTTGTTTCTTTTTTATTTCCCTTCTCTTAATATCATTAGCTTCTTTCATTTCTGTTTTCCAACGATATTCCAGATATGTCCTGTAATATAACAAACATTACATTAACACAAAAGAAATTTGTTAAACAATGTGGTGGCACAAAATTAATTTAAAATACAACCTTCTTTGTCCCCTAAAGTCTGTGTCAAGCAAGAGTAACCAGTCATAGGGTTTTATGACATCAGGTATTCTGAATAATCGAGAACGATAATCTTCCACTTCTAATTTACATTTGTTATACTTTGCTGCAAAATTTGGATCTTTTAGCTTTTCATTTAATTGTTGTTCATACATTTGTTCATATTCTTGGAGAATCTTTTGAGATTTACTAGTACAATAGGCTCGTGCTAGTAATGCATGGTTTTGTGCAGAAAATTGAAATTTATAATTTAATGGATAAACAACACCATTACAATATAATTTTGCTGTAGCAGTAACGTAACACTGAAAAACTCTATTATACATTTTAAAAATCATAATAATAATTTCAAAACGATACAACGTTCACTTTACTGGTCTACTTGCGGACTCGCGGGCGCGGATATTTATATACTGCGTTTGCTAGCAGAAACTTAAATGTATGTATATATTTACATACAGTACATTTAATATTATTATTTTTTATACACGAAAATTCATTTCTCATTGAACGAGCTTTTATTTTTGTTGCGCACGCTGGCTTAAATCAGTTAAACAGAATCCATAAACAGCGTCAATACGCAAAGGCTTTTTCACACATTTGTTATCGTGATCTGTTGGCTAGGTAACAAATTTCAGTAACGGTAACAAATGTGTACGTAGCTTAAGGTACAACAACAGATATCTGTGAAAGTAAAGTTTATATTCTAACATGGTTTTATTGGGTGAAACTTTTCCAAATTTTGTGGCCGAGACGCAAATTGGTCAAATTAATTTTCATGATTGGTTAAGTGACTCGTAAGGAAATATATTTTTTAATGCATATATCCTGTAATTTAATTTATCATATTTTTTTAATGATCATATACCTAATTATATTTCTACACAAATCATTTTTTACAAACTTTGATTAATCAGTATTAATTAAAAATTGTTATTTACGCAGGTACATGTTATTCTGTGTGAAAATTATTTGTTTACACATATATATGTTTAGATGTGTATATATATTAGGTCATCCCATAAGTTCGTACCGTTTTTTGAACGGTTACACATGTAGAAGTCTGCATGAACTTATGGGATGACCTAATATATATACATAAAGATACAAAGTAATTTTTATAAAATAAATTTATATATTTTATAGATGGGGAATACTGTTTTCTCATCCAAATGATTTTACGCCAGTATGCACGACGGAATTAGCTAGAGTAGTCAAATTAATACCGGAATTTGAACAACTAGGAGTAAAAGTTATTGCATTATCATGTAATTCAGTCGATTCTCATCGCAAATGGATAGAAGTATGTTTTTAAATTAAAAAGATGCTTCTCGTAAAGACAGACTGATTAAATTCATAAAACATAATAATTTATTGTTTAGGATATAAAAGCTTTTGCTCAAGTAACTGACAAAGAATTTCCATATCCGATAATAGAAGATGAAACACGAAAACTCGCAACCCTATTAGGAATGTTAGATCCTGCAGAAGTTGATAGCAAGGGTATACCTTTGACTGCAAGAGCGGTATTTATTATTGATCCTGCTAAAAAAATGCGACTATCAATTTTATACCCTGCAACCACTGGAAGAAGTTTTGAGTACTTTCTTTTTCGTATATTTAATTGTAAAATTTTCATTTTCATTAATATATGTTTTCTAATAAGATTCTTTTTAACATAGTGAAATTCTACGTGTGATTAAATCGCTGCAGTTGACGGAAAAGCATAAAGTAGCAACTCCCGTTGATTGGAAGGTTTGTATTTACAAATTTAATTATAAATTAAAATACTGTTATACGTATATTAAAAGAATATTTGTTGCAATTTTAGAACGGAGACCATGTCATGATTCAACCTACTGTTTCCGATGACGAAGCTAAAAAACTGTACGATAATATTGAAATTCTAACTTTACCATCAGGAAAAAATTACTTGCGTATGGTTCCTCAGCCGGCCATATAATTCTCCAAAAAATAAATACGTTAAAAATAAACAAAATGTATATTTATAAAAATTAAAGTATACATTCAATAATGTATTTTTTCCAAAATCATAGCATTTTCATATTCTTTCAAATATGAATACTAATTACAAATAAGTGTATTTCGAAATATGCATTAAAATATATTTCTTAGATTTGTCATGCTTTTTGTTATTTGATGTCATTATCCATCAAAGTTTTGCGTTATTTCTCTTAATACACAATTATCAACTACTCATTGATAAAGGTACGCGTAATTATTAAAACAAGGATTCTAATGTTGGCATTTGCAAACAACAAAAAAAGCTGTTTATTGTATTACCTAATGTAATTAAAAGTACACTGTGTTATATACATTTTTCCAAGTACACGATCACTTACGGTCTCTAGGCATAATGTATATAATATTTACACTGCTTTTTCTTTTTTTAATTAAGTTATTACTATATTTACTACATTATGGTTATATCTTATGTCTGAATAATCCTTGAAGTGTTGCGCAACTACGCAATAGTAGACAGCAGTTATATAAAACAGTCCCTCGTCAAAATCAATAAAGATCATAAAGAATAATAAATTTAACAAAATTATACTTTGTTATTGTAATGTTATATAATTAAAAGTTAATTACCACACAATATATCGAATGATAAAATACTATTGCCAGCCTTCATACTTAACAACTTCATGTTATACATTCGTAATGATAGTAATGGTAATGTGTATGTGGTTTACTTGTTATTTATTATTTGTCCCATTTCTTTCCTATAAACTGGAAAGAAAAAATTAAATTTTATAAATGTTTTTCATTTTGTTTTTTTTTTTGTATTTAAAGTTCCTTGAATGCACTTGTGCTCTGTTTAATTAAGAATTGTCGTTTCATTAAGTCATAAATTTAAATGTTTATATAAATCGACAATTATCTGGAAATCGTTGTGCGAATACTGCAGAACTTTTGCAATAAAAATAATCGCCACAACGGAAGATTTGATTATTAACATCACCAGTACTATTCAGAACTCACTTTATTTCACTTCACTCGGTCGTTGTGTGAGTTTCTTGTGAATCAGATTGTAGTTCACCCTCCATCCTGGCTTGTCGTTCTGCTGCAGCTCTCGCCTGTCTTCCAGCACTAGAGCGAAGATTTTTTCGTTCCATCGGGGGCTCTACACTTAGCCGTTTCCCACTTCGCGCCTTTTTCCCTTTAGTACCTTTATTATCTTCTTCCACTTCTGATGAAAGCTTTGACGTATCACCTTTAGCGTTATTAGTACTTGACTGTGATGTAGCTGCATCTTCTGAACCTATTGTTACCGATGTCGTCGAGGTAGGTGTAATGATGGATGTAGATGTAGGCGTAGACGTTGGGGTAGATGTAGGCGTAGATATAGGTGTAGGCGTACGTGTAGGTGTAGATGTAGGCGTAGCTGTAGATGCAACTGTAACTGTAATTGTAGGTGTCGATATAGTTGTTATTGTAGCAACTGTTTCATCAGTCTCTTTTTTATTAGTATTTGATGATTGTTCACTAAAAGTATTACTCTCTTCTATGCAGCTTTGTTTAACTGTTACAACTGATGATCGTGCTGCATGCTCCGTTTCACCTGTTGACCCATCAGCAGACGTTATTGGCGTGGTTGCTGTGCTTGTCACAGGTTTGCTACTGACTTCAATATCAATTCTCGGTTTCTTATTGATGGGTTCGAGAGTTATTTCAAGCATTCCCGATGTCTGTTGTTCAGAACCCTGACTATGCTCTACGTTCCGACTTCTTTTTTCATTCGATCGTTGATCTTCAAGGTTTCTCGTTAAAAGTTCCGCACTAGTTCTACTTAAATGCTCCAAAGCTTCTTTCATTTCTTGTTCTTTGTTCTTTCTCTCAGTTCGTCTGTCGGATAAATCCGCTACATCGTTCTGTTCCAAATTTTCTCTTTTCTCTTGTTCTATTTTTCGTCGTTCCTCATGTTGCAACGTCATATCCGTATACTGTTGCAACGTTATCCCAGGATCAATGGAATACCTGGATTTCTTTTCTGCATCTTTTCGTTTAGTTGTTGATTCTGTGATTGTGTCGCGTTGCCTTGAATTACTTGCCGACGATGTAGGTTTACGTACTGTCGATGCACTTGATGTTGATGGATTTAAAAGTCCACACTGGGCGAGACTTTCATAGGCCGATGATACTCCACCAGGTTGCATTGAAAATGGATTCAAACCACCCAAACCCAATGGAGTATATAAAAGACTGGGATTTGGGAAAAAGAATGGAAATGGTGTCGTGGTTGGTATCGTAGATGATGCTGATGAAGTTGAAGGCACCAAAGATTTACTTGTAGGAGGTTCCAATTTGTTCCGTGATGATTTACTAGCACTGCTGATATTAGTGGAACCTGTATTTTTGCTACTGACAGAACTAACAACTGGATTCGTTTCAGCTGCTGTGCTAGTTGCTGTTGCACTCAAAGCAGCTTCCATACCCGCTAAAGATGGTAAACCAAGTCCAGCAAGATTTGCGAATAAAGAATTCGTTAAACTCATGTTACTCAGATTATTAAGATTGCCTAATCCACTCAATGCACCCAGATTGGGTAAACCGCCGAACGGCATTAGAAGAGGATTGTTCTTTGGATCGAAATTGCCAAGAGAAAGTCCAGACAAAAGTGAGTTATTTAAATTACCCAGCGAAGAGAAATTTAAACCTGAAGCCATCGACGTGGCAGCCAGGTTAGCTTGATTCGCAGATTGCTGACTATTAGGGCTTGGCATCATGGGAGGTCTTCCTGGACTTTTACCCTTATTTGCGTTACTTCTATCATTTCCTGATAATCTCTTTTGCAAATCGTGTGGAAGATTTCCACGTTCTTTTACAAGTTCTGCCCATTTTGGATCTACATCAAACATTGGGTTTTCAATCAACCATTGGCCCAATCGTTTTAATTGTGGCGCTTTGCTCCCAGTAACCTAAAATAAATATTTTTTAATATAGTATAATTACAAATATGAAAATATAATTATATTGAATCATTAATAAAAGTTCGTTCTATTCAAACCTTTTTGCCCGTTAATCTATTAATTACAGCAACGTTCTCTTCACCCGTTAATTTCTTCCAATCCAGTAAGGATGGATCAACACGTGGCCGCCGCCGTCTAGGAGCATTTAAATACTCTGCACCTAATTGCTCAGACATGGCAGTTTGTTCAGCTAACCACTTGTTTACTTTAGCTTCATGAGAATACGAGCCGATCTTAGAAGAGTATTCAGCAACTTTGTTAATATCTGCAATCATCGCTTCGTAACTTTTTCTGTGACCACTCGATGATGAAGAATGCGTTGAATTGAAATTTTGTTGCTGCTGCTGCTGCTGCTGCTGCTGTTGTTGCTGCTGTTGCTGCTGCTGCTGTTGTTGTTGAGATTGCTGCTGTTGAGATTGTTGTTGATGTTGCTGTTGTTTTTTAAATTCGCGATTTTGTTGCTCTGCTTGAACAAGTAAAGCAGAAAAACTATCTTTGTGCGAATGTAAAGAAGGAGGAGGTAATCCAGAAGTAGAATTCGATGCTCGCGAAGAAGGGATTGAAGTGACAGTAATAGAAAAAGGTTTTTGGGTACTTGACGGAGGATTTGGAAGCCCCATTGGCGCTGAAGTTGGAGTTACAGTAACATTTGGTGTAATTGTACTTTTTTTACTATGTTCAGGATAGTGACTGCTTTGCTGTTCTTTCGCTGCACTTAATCCTAGTACTATTTCATCCAATTTTCTACGTTTCTTCTCCTTTCCCATTACAGGTTCATCTGTAGGCTAACAAAAGAGCATATACATAAATATTTATTCGCATATTATACCATTTTTTAAACAACGAATATACATACACAGTTCTTTCTTTTCATTAATTTATCTAACATACTATCTAATTTTCCTTTATTACTGCTAATTTGTTTATTTTTATTTGGCATTGAAAAGTCTTGAACTTCGTTCATAATGTCTTTGTTGTTATCAGTGCTTGTTTTTGGATATCTGAAACGTGTACAATGCCAGTAAAAATACACATATAACATTATTTTTACGTTTATGAAATAAAATCTTACCCGGCAGATAAATCAATAGGTGTTAAAGTACTAGAAGTTCCAGGAATAACAGTTGGTTTTCCAGGAACTGTATATTTTAAATCGAAAGGTATACTTGGTGTTCGTGCTTGTTGATGCGCTGGAGGTGGTTGAACCGGTGTCGAACGTCTCGATTCTTCGGACGGCGATTCATCGTTCATTTCCCACGTATTAGAGCCAGACAACACAGTAGGTTTACTTAAAGTTGCGGGTGACTGAGTAACCGTATGGCTACTACTATTTAATAATGCATGGAGCTTTGCTAAAAAAGGGGAGAATATGATAAATAAGAATTAAACAATAAACTGAAATAATACAATGATGAAATATATAATTGATTTTGTTGAATACCTCTTTCAGTTTCGACATCAATAGCAATATGCCTCTTGCGTTTTTTAGATTGTGATACATTATTTCCAGGTGTTGTATTACGTGACATTCCGTGATCAGTAGTTATAGTTATCACCTCTGAACATTCTTTTTCATTCGAAGGAATATCTGATTCATCACCAGCACTGAAGTTCACAGACACAGGCCATTCTTTATGTTCAATCGCGTGTACAATATGCATTAAACGAGCTTCAATTGCATGCTCCTAAAAAATATGAATAAAAATATGAAAATCCAATACGATATTATAATGATAAAGATACATACAAAAAAATGAATATTTTCTTTTTATAGACTTGCTTATACAAGCCAAATATGATAAATACAACATATTATTCGATCTTCTTCTAATGCATCAATTAACTCCAAACATACAATTTTTCCATACGCTACCAGTCGTATGTGTTAAGTTTAAAAACATTTAAGACATCATGTACATTTTATAATTCCCTGAATCAGATTGGAATGTGTATAAAAGTATTATATAAGTTAATTAGATTCTAATTACCTTTGGCCATTTCACAGCATTATTACTAGTGTGTGATAAAAGTTGCACAACTGTGGGCTCATTATAATCTATTGCTTTGTCTCGAAGAACAAATGTATCGATTTGCGTCAGTCGTGACAAAGGTTGAATAACTTCCAAATCAGGAAACATCGCTTTAAGTTCTGCTGCTTGAACGTTACATTTATCTTCGAGTTTGCATACTTTTGCTTTATCTTTACACGTATCTGTTGTTTTTCCCTCTTGTACTTCTATTTCTTCTTTAACAGTTACTGCATTTACGTTAACTTTATCACTTTCAGGTGTTACATCTTCATTATTTTCAGTTGATTTTTCTGTTCCTTCCGTATTTTCCTTTTGCTCTGTCGAACTTTTTTCATTTGTCTCTTTGGAAGTATCTTGCGTCTGAAGCTCTTTCGATTTTTCGTCTTGATTTTCCTTTTCAACTACTTTCGGTGCTTCTTTTTCTTTAGTTTGATTTTCTATTTCTGTCTTTATTGTTGTTGCCGTTTCTTCAACACTTCTAATTACATTACTTGCTTTTACTTCATCTGTTTTATTAGTCCCCATGATTTGATCAGTCTTAGAAGGTTCATTTTTTATTGATTCTATTACTATTTCGCTTTTTTCTTCAGTTTTTACTTTTGGAATATGGTCTTTATCTGTTGATGTACTTCTTGCAACCGTTGTAATAGTTAACGCATTACTAATAGGCTTCTCTTCAACTTTATTTTCGGCTTTAATTATAGTTAACTCTACTTGGCTCTTTTCCGAATCTGTATTTTCCGTTCTTTTATCTGTCACATTTATATCTTTATCTTTCTTAGCACCAACTTTCTCTATTTTTAAAGTACCCTCACCTTTTTCTAACTTTACAAGGATTTCATCTTTATCAAACTTCAATATGTCTTCCCTATTTTCAATTTTAATTGCTTTTTCAGATTTGTCTGTAATCTTTGACGTTTGAATATTGCTATACATATTTTTATTTAGAAGTTTATGAAATGAGAAATCAGGATCATTTAGAATAGTTATATCTGTACGGCCTAAACCATGCTTTGCAGCTCCAAGAAGTAATTCCTTGTCATGTTTACCGAGTTGCCACCAATCAGGAGTGTCACCTGATGGTTGACATAACGAGAGCCGTTCTTCTAAATGAGGATGAGATAAAATTTCTTCACGAATCTTGCTCAAGAGATCTACGCGATCTAATATTTGTCTCGCTTTTGCTGGACTAAGGTGATCAACAGCAACGTCTGAAAAATCTGAGATGTGTAAAACATGTTTTAATATTTTAAAAACCTCAAAAATAAAATATATTTAGTAACTATTTGATGTTACATTGTCCTATTTAATTTGGTACATCCAAACATTTCATTATGGATATATTTTTCTTAAATGAGTGTTAGTATTATATTAATTTCTGACATTTAGTTTGCAAAAAATCAAGGATAAATTGATAACTAACTATTATAAAACGAATAAAATTATAAACGTACCATCTTCATCATTCAATTTAGCATTACATGCCTTTTTACACATTGCTCTAAAAGACATATAGTAATCTGTAAGATCATTATCTGTTTTCTTATCGAATCTGGCTATACTTTTAAATTTAGTCCAATCATATTGTGCTTTTTTTCTATCGTAATTAACACCATATGTAGAAACAACTCGTAAAAATTCACTTTCTTCACGACGAGACCATTTAGTTTTTTGTTCTTCGATACGAGTTCGCTCTCTTTCTTTCACCATAGCTTCCATTTTTTCTCTTCTTTCCATTTTCTGTATAAATTATGTAAAATAAGAAATAAATTATACTTTAGAAATTGTTATAGTTAAGTAGTATATTAAATATTATATCTCACCAAAAGATACATAGCGAGTTGTTGTAAATCCCACCCTTGCATATTTAAAGGTGGTTCATTCATTGGTGAATTATGATTTATAGATGTTTCACTTTCCATTCCTGTTTTAGATTTTTGTAATACTTTAACATCTTCCTTCTTCACGCTTCGTTGGTAAGAAGAAATTACACGACGCAAACGGGTGTTAAGGTCAACGACAGAAGGCCAAGCCTTCTCATCATCGAGCAAACCATCATTTCCTTCATGACTGCTACTAGGTTCTGGCCCAGGTGTATCTGCTTTACTAGATATAGCAGGTGAATCGGTAGGTGTTTCTCGACTAAATTTGTCGGAATCTTTTGAATCTTTCATCATTCCAATAGATTCAGCATCTTCAATATCATTTTCCAAGCTAGTATCATCTCTGCTGCTGCTACTGAAATTTTGAACAATTAAATTGAAATTATATTTTTGATTACACATATGTATAAAATAAGAAGTCATGTAACTTTTATAGTTGATTCAATTTCTACTAAAAAAATATTCCTAACGCGCGTATATTTATAGAAACACACCCAATATACTTAACTGTGAATATAATAGTTAATTTGAAACTACAATTTAAGAATTTACAATATTCAAATCAACAACATTTGTACATTTACCATTTTAAAATGCTATAGATACCAATAAATTATGTTATAAATTTGACATTATTAAGCATATATGAGATGATCTATTTAAATTTATTAATGAATTGACTTTCTTTTCTATTATTTTAAACTGACTGAAAACCACTAAGTAATCTCTGAATATTGTCTGGTGTACATGTACATCATTCTTCTCCACTGTAAATAAAAGCTTGTAGAAAGTAATATTTTAAAACAGATGGAAATACAGAATTATTTCGTTGTTAAATTACGAATAAAAATATGAGTAAAATGAAAAGGAAAATTTACACTAATTCCAGCAGAAGCATTATCTTAAGCGAATTTAAACAACATGCAAGCAATGTATGTTAGAATAAAACAGCAGTGGCACATAGATATATATGTATATAAAAAAAAAAAAAACAGCATAAAGAGAATAATTACTTACTTATTTTGTATAATCTGAGACTGGGAAGGGGGAGGACAGCTTGAAATGAAAGAAAGCGCGGGATCGATCCTCATCTGGTCGTAATTCTCGTAGCCGTGTTTGTAGCAGCCAACTATTAAGGATTTGTCTGCTTGCAAGTCCCACCACTTCGCTGGTCGTTCCGTCAACTGTGGAGGGTTTATCCGCAACGCACTGTAGGGCGGTTTCATTTACAATTTGCCAATTTATGTATGCCAATTAGATATTAACATTATAAAAGTTTATATTTCCATGAATTTTAATAACCTCATGAACCACAATATTTGTTATTAAATAAATATAGAAAAGCTTATTTTATGAAATAAACTTAAATTATTATTTATAATTCTTTGTTTTTCTTTTTTTTTTTTTTAAATAAACGGTTAAAAACTTTAACTTCCTGTTCTGTTTGCCCCTTTAATACAGTGCACTGCTTTTTAAATTGTTTCTTACCATGACCATTGCTGAGTTGACCATTTTTGACCATTTTAAGCCGTATAAAGTGGTTATAGTATTTTAAAAATTTGTGTTTATATTTATATAGATATTTATAGAACAGGATTGGGATGATATTTATATTAGTTAATATAGGATCAGTGATTAATGGTTTTTCTTTTATAGAGTTACAAAGTAAACAATTTAGCTCTATGAGCATTCCTCATACAATTACAGCTCCCAGGATAAACAAATACATTGCACATGCAACTATAAAGCTTTGTATAAGCATGTAAGTGCATGATATTTTATGATAAGTTGGTTGAGCACAGAATAATGGAGGTTTGTAAGTAATATGAGTATATAAAATCACTAACCTGACGTGAACACCATCAGAAATATGTTGGACTAAATCTCCAATAATCTCGTGCTTGATATAATAAAGCATTCGGACGCGTAAAAGTACCCTGTATATAATAAACAAAATTAATTACACTGTTTTATATAGTTTAATCAATTTAAAATTGTTTACCATCTGCTTGTTGCACTTACTTATTTGCGTGACGACTCAAGTGTTTCCTGTAGTTGCTTTCAAGAAATATATCTCCATCATATTTCTCAGCATTACTCCAATGATTAGGATCATTTGGACCTCCGTTAATCATTGATCCACGTGTTTCTCTACCTTCCCTAACTCGTCCTTTCTTCTTTTGCCTATTATTTCGTCCACCGGTATTGACACATACATTTTTTATCTTCTCTCCGTTTTCCACAGGCGTGATAAGATCACAAATAAAGTTACGGATCTTTTCATCGCCACGATAGTAACGAAGACAGTATAGTAAAATGACCCGTGCGCAATCTTCAACATCAACTTCACGCCATCCTCGACGAAACTGGCTGTGTTGAAGAATTTCTTCCCATCGACCCCATCCGAAAGTGAGTAAACCTCGTTCAACTTTAAAGCATTCACTTCTTGCCCAGCTACCGTACACCACCTCACCTTCTCGGGGAACGTATTCGTCGCAAAACTTCCGAGTCTTTTTATTAAATTTATCTCTTCGTTTTTTACCTTATAATAACAAATACAGACATACATTAACTTCATCATCAAATGTTTCATAGGGATATATAAAATATAAATAAATTTAACTTCTCAAGACAGAACCACGAATGATTTTGTAATAATAGTAAACTACAATATAAAAGTAGCAAGCACACAAATAGAAGTGTTACTAAAATGGTGTATTTGCTTCAGATTAATGAATGTATATGATTAGAAACTTTAAGTAAAAGGAATAAGAAATAAACTTTTTCTCTTGCGATTCAAAAATAATATATCGTGCTAAATGAAATGCTATTAAGAGTTAACTGGTGAATTAGGCGATATTAGGTGGAAGTGCAGACATATCATAAAACTTTTATCAAAAAGAAATAATAATTATTTGTAACTTTATATGAAATTAAAAATTAGGGATTTTATATGTTAGAAGCAGAAGTGTTTGCCATGCATTGCATGTATTCCAAAATTATGTAACATGTTTTTAAGGATTTTTTTTTACTGTAGGAAACATTTGGCATAATTTTGGAACTTCATATAATAGAATAACACCGACAATAGCTTATTCAGCAAAAATAAAAATACTTCTATATATTTAAACTTATCACACTGGACATGCGTAAGCATAATTATGTTTCTCCATGTGTATAAAGATGTTAGTATGTTAGTTAAAAAAAAAAATATAATAAAAAAAAAGTTATATTTTACTGCGTTTTATTTAAGTTCGTGTTATTAAGATCACCTATTAATGTACACTCAATCATGGGTCACTTTCACGGAATAATATTAACTTTTGAAACGTCTTGAACAGTTTATATTTCAGTGTACGAAAATTTTCATGAATGTATTTCATGAGTGTATTAAATTGATAACGAGACTACCAGTTTGCAATAGGAATATTGTTAAAAATATCTCGAACAAAATATATAAACATGGCTCTATACCTTTGTAATTACCGTAGATCAGTAATCCACGTCAGGTAACACAGTAATTCGATGAAGTAATAATGCTAAGAATGGTATTGTGTTTTAACATGCATTTAATAACGAACATACCTCTACCTGTTAACCCACTACTTGTTTCATCGTCGCTGTTATCATCTGAACTATCGAGGTCCGACATAACAACAGATTCATCATGGCCATATCGTTTGATTTGTGTTCTTCGTCTTGGTTCTGATATTACTAATTCATCTTCTTCCTTTTTCTCCGTCGTATCAATTTCTGCTTTCTTTGCCCATTTTTTCCAAAAATCTGGATCGTCAATATTAATATCTGATCGATTGGAAGAACATGCAAAGCTAGCTTTTGAAAACGTTGAACCTTTCTCCGCTTCTATCGTAATAATCTGTGCGATTGAAATTACTTACATTAACACTACATAAATACAATATTTTAATCTAATTAAATAGTAAGCATTTATTTAATTTACCTGTGTTCTTCGTTCAAGTATTTGTTCTATATCTTCTTCACAAAACTTATCTCCAGCATTATCATCATCCATAATAGCACCATAAGCACCCTTCTTTAACAAATCTTCAATCTCTTTCTTAGTCAACTGTTTATTACTAGGATCTTTACCTCCTTGGCTGGTGTTCATTGATTGCAAAATAGCTTTGTCTAATCCAAGTTTTAAAGAAGCTTTATCGAACATTTCTCTTTCATAAGTGTTTCGACAAAGCAAACGATATACTTTAACCATCTTTTGTTGACCAATTCTATGACATCGAGCTTGAGCCTGTATAAAAAGTACTCAGATTATCTAACTTTAATCTAACAATTAATAAAATATTCTAATAACTACTTTATTTGTTAACCTGTAAATCATTTTGTGGATTCCAGTCACTGTCGTATATAATAACTGTATCTGCTGCTGTAAGATTGATACCTAGACCCCCTGCTTTAGTACAAAGAAGAAAGACAAATCTATCCGAATCAGGTTTACTATAACGATCAATGGCAGCTTGTCTTAAATTTCCTCGAATTCGACCATCAATTCTTTCGTATGGATACCTAAACAAGTATTTTTAACTGAGAATTTTGATACCAACATCTTCATGAATAAAGAAAAGAAATTCGCAATAAATATTGTTATTATAAGATCAATAACTTACTTTTTATACAATAAATAGTCTTCTAACAAATCTAAACATTTCACCATCTGACTAAATATCAATACTCTGTGCCCGCTAGCTTTCAGTTTCGGCAGCAATTTATCAATTAAAACCATTTTTCCAGAGCTGTTTACTAGCGCATGGTAATAAGCTTCTGAATCTTCCTTTTCACCAGTCTTATAATCCAACTGTATTTGATCTTCTGCACCATTAAGTAGGAATGGATGAATACAGCACTTTCTTAATTCCATCATTGTATTCATAAGGTTCGGAATGTTAGCTGATGTGGTGCCTTTTGCGAGAAAAGAGAAATTTCTTTCTAAGATACCACGGTAATATTTTTTCTGTATATTTGTTAATTCCACCTAAAAGAAAAAAAATTATTAAATTATGTATTAAAAAATAATAAATCAATTTTTATCAATTTAATCGAAAAATTTTTCGTTAATAATTGTAATTACCTCAACTACTGTTTCTTCCTTTGGAGCTAATGATTTTTCCACATCTTCTTTAAGTCGACGCAACATCATTGGCTTTAAAAGAAGTTGTAATTTATGAACTTCACTTTCACTACTCAAATTACCAAATTCTTTAAGGAATGCTTCACTACTGGAAAACTGTACTGGTTCAAGAAAGTTTAATAACGAGAAAAGCTCATTGACATTATTTTGCAAAGGTGTACCAGATAAAAGAACTCTGTGTTCTAAATTCAATTGTCTAAGACCTTCAAGTAATTTGCAATTCCTATTCTTCAGCCTATGAGCTTCGTCTATAACACAGAGTCTCCAATTATATCCCCGTAATTCGTTAAAGTCTGTTATAATTATTTCAAACGTAGTTATCAGTACATTAAATTTGATCAAATCTTTAATTTGTTGTCCTTTTTCATTTTTATAATAAACTTCGTATTCTTGAAGCATTGTTCGACTCGCTGCACTGTAAACAATGAAGTATATAGTACGAAGCACTTTAATCTTAAATATGAAAATGTAGTTGGTAAACTTACGATCCATGATATACTACAACATTCATATCAGTCCAACTTTCAAATTCACGTTGCCAATTTGGAATGGTTGAAAGAGGCGCTATAATTAAAAATGGTCCACGAATGCCATATTTATAAACAGCGTCCACAAATGTTAAGGACTGTATAGTTTTTCCTAAGCCCATTTCATCCGCAAGAATGCAATTATGGCCGTTATACCACGAGAAAAGTAACCAATTAAGACCTTCTAATTGATACGGTCGTAAACTATTATTATTTTTGTAAATTGGCGATTCTTCTAATTTTACCCATGCTGAGGCATTTGGTTTCTTTTTCGGCTAAATAGATTTTTATACAGGTGAGCATTAAATATTTGACTTAGATTTAATTTTATTAATAATTTTAATTTAAAAAATAACTATACATAAATAATGTATAATGTATTACCTTCCATTGATCTTTAGGAGGCACTTTATTAAATTTTATAAATTGAGCTATCTTTTCTGGATCAACATCTTCTTCTAGTTCCCATGTAGAATCTTCATATTGAAGAGATCGCCATTTAACCAGATAATGTTTTAAAGTTTCTCCAGTTGTTGGATCTGTGTGGGTTGCTTCATCGAGTACTCTGTCCACTTCCACAAAATCTGGATTGAATGGATCATCTTCAGTCTGAAAAAGCCATTAATTACCTTTTATCACTAACTTACAATTCTTTATTTTTATACAAGATTATCATAATTAATATTGTAATTAATAATATAATTGGCTGTAAGTAACAGATACTATTAATAAAGTACATAATTCATAAGTCAATAGTTACATTTTCAAAGATATTCGTATTTTGTTGTTGCCTCTGTTTAAATCTCTTTAATTTGGCTTGAATTCGTTTATCGCCTTTGTATAACTCTTCTTCAGTTCTCCATTCACAATGTAAGTATGAGAAATTTCTATACTTAACAAAATATTCCTCAACTTCCACTATTTGAGGTTTTACATCTACTACAGCACTTTCTTGTTTAGATTCTGTAACTGCTTCTTCATGTTTACTCTTATCTTTTACATCATTATCATCAGTGTCTTTATCCTCAGAAATTTCTGCATCCTTTTCATCTTTGTTGGTTGCTTCCGAAACCAACTCTTTTTCAGATACTTCTTCCTTTAATTCATCTTCTTTTTCCTCACCCTTTGTATCAGATACGGTATTTTCATTTTTTTCCTCGGATGATTCTGCTTTCACTTCCGGAATTGTTGGCTTAATCTCTCTCTTTCCTATACGAGAACACAATATGTGTTGCACAACCATAGAATCTTCATCCGTTGTATTCTGTAATGTTATAAAAATGATTTTTATTTAAAATTTCGAAGTATTAAAAAATACAATATTATATAATACATACTATATATACAAAATTAGGCTTATTTGGCCCAACTTCACCACCCTCATTATCTTTTTTTACAGAGACAGGTTTTGTTGTGTTTACACCATCTACTTTTTTAGAAAGTTGAGCATCCTGAAGAGGTACGTCGTCATCGGAAAATCTAAGCATTACGTCATCTACGTATTTTTTACGATGCGTATTTCTCGCAGAACGTCTTTTATTATCATCCCCAGCTTCTGGAGATGGTGGTGGCGTTGCCGCTAATTCTTCTCCGTCAGAATCAGGCGCAATTCGACTTTTCCGCTTTCTGAAAGGATTGTATAAATCTTAAAAATAAGAAACGTTTACTGCAAAAGAAAAACATTTTAAACAACGTACTTCGAACTTCTCGGAGATTTTCCTGCTGAAACTTTTCCAACAGATCTTTTACGAGCAGCAGCTTTCTTTTTATTAGGAGTAGCAGTTTCTATGTTTGTACCGGCATCTGAATTATCTTCTTTCTTCTCATCCGTTGGACTATCCTCCGACTCCGTTTTCTGCTTACTTTGATCTTTTGTTTCAACTATCAAAGGCTCGGAAGTTGAAGAATCTACTTGCTCTTGATCACCTTGAATGGACGGTTCAGATAACTTTACATCTGCTTCTTTAATTGCACTTGAATCAGAAACAGCAGTTTCCTCTGTTTCTTGTGCAATTTCATCATCAGCCGATTCAGACTGATTAGTTTTTCTGTGAAAATGCAACGTATTTGATGAAATAATCTCTTAAGAAATACATATATATATTTAAAAAGACAAATAAGATAACTTACTTTCTATTACGTTTTGTTGAATCCTTATCTTTATTTCTCTTTCTTGGTGCTTTAGGAGATTTTGCTTCCTTTGGTGGTTTTGGTTCTTTTTTAACTTTTGGCTCTTTTGGTTCCTTCGGTTCTTTTGGTTCCTTTGGTTTACGCGGTTTCCTAGGAGGACGTGATTTTCTACCCTTGTTCCATTCGTCTTCTATATCACCTGAAGATGGCTTGATATCCTCGGAATCTGCAGCACTATCAACAATATTGCTACTATCTCCTGGAGTTACTTGATTATCTGACAATGGCTGTTCTGGTTGTTGTTGAGTAGTAACTATAGGAGGAGCAACTGCTTCTTTATCGGCCTTCTTTCTGCTCTTTTTAGCTCTAGGTGTACCTTTACTACGACCACGACCAGTAGTGCTTGAAACCTATTAAATGTTTAAAAAGATTGTACCATTTTTCCTTTTTCTCTCGAAAATAAGCAAAACAAAGATAATAAATCAATGACTTACCTGTGGACTATCCACAACAGCTGTTGTAAACATAGGAGTTTGTAATATGCACTGAGGCCCACCATTACATTGATCATTACTCTCATGTTGTTGTAAAGCTTGTAACTTTTCTTGTATAGCAACAATTTTTTCTTGATTCTCAGTAGCTGGAGGCATGCAGTACAATTCTTGCAACTGCTGTTGCAAAGCAGCTCTTTCTTGATGATGCGTAACGGGAGTACAAGAAGTACTAAAACCACCAGATGTAACTCCAGTTGATGTTGGATTTGGTGGCATATTGTACATGTTTGGTATAGTATTACCACTAATCATATCACCACTAGAAGGATATTGTTGACCAGAACCCACCATCATTTCATTTGGAAAGATATTATTTTTCGGGATATTTGTGTATTCCGTAAAATTTTGTTGTACAGGATGAGAAGTTTGTGAATTTGGCACTGACACTGCAGTTTGATGAGAAGGTAATACTATACTACTGCTCTGATTAACTGTAGGAATTTGTTGACCATTTAAATGTGTAGGAGGGACTTGATTAGTTTGACTTGGTAACTGAGGAGTTGTATTTTGTATGGGAGCTTGTAACTGTGGTTGATGTGGTATTTGAGGTGGAATTAATGGTGCATTTTGAGGCACTATACCAACTTGTGATGTGACAAGAGGTTGAGATTGTTGTGTTGATTGTTGCGGTACTTGTTGTGATATACAAACAGGAGTTGACTGAGATGGCTGTGATGGCTGTGCTAATTGAGACTGAGAAATTTGAGGTTGTGATTGTTGTGGTTGATTTAATGTAGATTGTGGAGATTGAGCAATTGGTGCTTGCTGTTGAGTAGTATTGATTTGCTGCACTTGTTGAGACTGTTGTCCTAATTGTTGCACTTGACTCAGTTGTGGTTGTTGCGAAGGCTGCAAAGGTTGTTGAGATTGCACTGGAGATTGTTGCATCGATACTACCTGAGGCTGATTCAAATGAATTTGCTGTACTTGTTGCTGTGGACAATTAATAGGTTGCTGTTGATTGTGCTGCTGCTGCTGCTGCTGTTGTGTTGCTTGACTGCTAACTGCAGGTTGCTGAGAGTGTGCAGTTATATTACTGCTAGCTGGTGCACAGCTTACTGCATTTATCTCTAAATGCTGATCAGGCTGTTTTGTATCACATTTACTCTGATTTTCAACGGTAGAAACAGGAGTCTGAATTTGACTTTGCGTTATCTGTTGTTGAGGCAATGCTGGTAAACTTGGACAATCAACATTTCCATTTGTACTAGAAGAAGCTGGTAAAGATTGTACAGTTTCTTGAGAAATTTTTCCAGCTGTATGTTCCAAAGGTGAATTATTTTGAGAATTATTTTGCATTAAAGGGTCAGTTGGTTGATTAAGCACATCCTGCTGTGGTTCCTGAACATTTTGATGCAATACTTCACTTTCTTGTTTTGGAGGTTCAATTGGGTTATGAACAGAGTCTGTAGAATCTCTAGTTGTAGTTTCTGCAACACTGTGAACAGTTTCTGTTCCCGTTACTGGAAACATTGGTGTGCTTTGTTCAGATACAGGAGGTTGAGCTTCCACTACAGGTCTATCTTCACTTGTATTTGGCCTTATTTGTGATTGTTGTTGCTGCTGCTGCTGCTGTTGTTGTTGTTGTTGTTGTTGTTGATGTGACCATTGAGCTGGCATTGGCATTCTAGGACCTGTTATAGGTTGTATAGAATTTTGTGCAGTAGACTGAGATAAAATGTTCGGTGTTTGCGACATCGCTGGACGTGCTTGGTATTGATTGTAATCTTGATTTGAAACATTTGAATTTGATGCGGCAACGCCAGGAATTACCATTTGCTCCAGTGCTTGAAGTGTAGTTTGTTGTGAAGATGGATTCATTTGCATTGAAGCTGGAGGGCAAGGTGACACAGACATTGTAGCAGGCTGATTTGATTGTTGATGTGGAAGTTGAACATGTGGGTGAGGGGATAAGGTATTGGGTTTAGCTGGTGACATAATAGGTCTAGGAGACATCTGTTGTTGCACTGCTGGTGGTCGTGGTGACATCTGAGGCCTAGGTGACATTTGAGGAGATAATTGTGGAAAAGTTGCACGATACTGTGGACTTGTTGCATGTTTGGCAGTACCAAACTGTGTTGCTGGTCCAGAATGTTGAGGTTGATTGAACATTGAAGATGCATGATGGGAATATTGAGGATCTATTGGTTGTTGCTGTGGATTAGGATGTTGTGTATGTTGAGGATATTGTTGAGTATGCGAAGGATGTGTTTGATGAGTTGGATGAGATGGATGATGATGCGGCATCCTTTGTGGAGGTTGTTGATTTTGCTGTTGCTGCTGCTGCTGTTGTTGTTGATGAATAGCAGAAGCAAAGCCTGGATATCCAGGAGACGTTTGGTACATCGTCACTGAGTTCCCTTGCTGATAATGTTGCTGTTGCCCAACCATATGTTGATAAACACTACCCGTTCCACCCGTTTGCATTGCTTGATGCGGTACACCCATAGTTCCTATCATGCTTTGCTGATTACCGAAATGTTGTTGTTGCTGTAATTTTTGATTCATAACTCCACCCTGATCTTGTTGATGAGAATATTGTGGAGGTATATGTTGCCGATAAGTACCAGGTTGTGGTGCCATCTGATTATAATGTCTTTGCATTTGTGGGTAAGCACTTCCACTACCTGGCCATCCTTGCATACTTGGATCCATAGACATATTTGCTCTAGTCATTGAATGCTGTTGTTCCATTGAATACATATTATCATTATAATTAGGATATTGTCCTCCACTACCAGGATGAGGTCCTCTATGTTGCGGTGCCATATTTCGAGCTTGATTTTGAAATGCTCCTGGCACGATAGCACGCTGTGGTGCACCACTGTCAAATGTTCCAAGATTCTGATTAAACATATTGCGCTGTGATGGATTTTGCAATTGATTAGAACTTCCAAATTCAGGTCCACCAAATGAAGTTAGTTTTTGAAGCGAAGATTCTTGAGATATATAAGATTGACTAATGTAACTCCCTCCTCCATTAACACCAGGGTTAGGACCATCTCTAGATACTACCACAGAATTAGTTGTGCCTGCAGGGTCAAAATGATCGTTCCCCCCGAGGTCAGGAAGAGCATCAAGCATCGAGCCACTAACATCTTCACCAAACAAATCGTACGAGTCCATGTCTATGCTGCAGGACTCTTCGCCTCTATTTTAGGCTTAAGAGAATATTGTATAGTCTCTCTTATAGTCATTAACGTGCCCATTGTTAATTCACGTCTTTTTTGCCTGAAACAATGTGTACAAATAACTTCATATAAATTTTAGAATTTTTTATATTTCACTAAGATATTTGTTCAATTATCATATATATTAGTTTTAAATAATTCAATATAAATGTACATGTTGATAGTAACAAATGCCAAAGGGGAAAAGCTATACGCTTATGGCTTAATTTTTCATAATCGCTATAACCTTTCCCCCTTGGAAGATGTCCTCATTTGTAATACTATGTACAGATATGTATAAACTATTATCATTTATCTTTATAAATGTAAAGATATCCTAAAGTACTACTATTATAAACAATAAAATAGATACATAACAAACATCACACACTAAATATTTATATCCCTATTTACTTTTCAATGCATAATAATTGACATAAAAGATAAGTGTAAATGTTCAAGAACTTAAGCTTTATACATTTACATTTATTTCTCTAAAAATGTGAATATCGTACAAAGCTTATTTTTCCTAGACTTAGTTTATTACAATTTATTCATCATTTTCTATATATTGAAGATATTTATACTTTCTTATGGTGTAATCAGATTGATATAACCTAATATTATAAAAAAATAAAAAGTGATATACATTAACTAAAAATAACATACTTTGATTTCATATATTCATTAAAAACAATAGAAAGGATCTGTTACTTAGCCATACATATACAAAAGATAAAAATTACAATTTGTTGCTATATTCTAAATAAAATTTCAATGAAAATGGTATAAAAAATTAAAATATATCATTAAAAAAATCAATTAGTTTCTACTCACATTTTTAAATGTTTAAAAACATATTAGTTACTTAATACTTTATTCGTTTAAACATAATAATGAAAATTTGAAATTATAATTAATGAATTGTTGATGAGCTTTTAAATTAACCAATATCTTTTGAAAGTAACAATATGGTATTATTGCACGATACTAATTGACACGCTGGTAGAATTGGGAAACTTAATCTATACAATCAGGGAATATTAATGCACGGATACGTAAACATAAAATGAAAAACCAAATTAAAAAAAAAAACACCTTACGAACCTGAAGCACTAACAGTGGCACTAAACTGTACAAAAGAATATTTCTTGTGCTCGTAGAATATAAACTAAAATACACACACATTAAGTATATTACAAGGGTGAACAGAAGAAACTGTAAGATGGGTATAGAAAGTTCTCACACTTTATTTCGAGTGTATTTTATTCTTGAGAATTTCTCTTTGAATCAGCAAAAATTTTAACGCACGACGAACAAAATACGAGTATATTATAATGTCAAAAGTAATTGAAACGGTTTCATGAAAAAAAAGCACGGATCGTCGGAAAGTACGCCATTATCGTGAGAGATTTCCGTTTGGGCTTCCGAGAGAACTCATAGCGGCCACCACGACGCTCGATATTCAAGCACCAAAGCGTCACTTCACTTCATATAATTCACTATTTTTCCCGTATATTTCGTACAAATACAACTGAAAACTTGTATTATTAGATAAATATAATTATATGTTAATGTTTTATCGAAAAACCACCCTTGTTTGCGCGCGCGTACACAAGGTTTTCACTGACGGTGGCTGCGGCTGCGGCTGCGGCGGCACGGACCGTCGAGGTGCAAGCGTGTCCGAATCATTCTACACATCTCTGCCCCCCCCCCCCCCCCAAGTTCACAACGAAAAACTACTCTTCTCTCTTACCCTACCCTATCCTATCCTGTCCTGTACGACGGAGACCGCTATACACACACCACTTAAACATCATGACATCTGTAGGAACTTACACAGCTACCTTTCACATCATGCGCGCACACTCACTCACTGCACCACCTGGTGGCGCGCGCATCTCTCTTCACTACTTATAAACGCCTGTGCACGGTACACTTGCATATATCGTGTCTACACACAAAAAAGATTGTATTTAAATTGGTTAAATTTTTGTTTTATCGTTTCAGAAAGAACGTGTTTGCTTAAAATTAAAAAATTGAAAATTATCGAAGAATCACAAACATCTACTAAACTAGATTAATGCATGTAGCACTTTAAAGCTTGTTATTAAATATTACAAAAATGTGTTAGTAAAGTAAAAACAAAAATATGTAATGCATTTCAAAAAAAGAGAAAAAAGAAATAAATCAAATACTGAGGACCTTATTTTTGTTCAAAATATATAAGATTTCATGTATATCGTATACCATACAACTATTTTAAATATTGTGAACGATTAGATCACGCAAGTTTAAATTATAATTTTATTTTATAATGATCATATAATAAATAATAACAAATTTAAATCAAAAAGTCGATTGTGAACATTATTTGTACGTATACGCGATACTTATTATGTTTTATAAAGCTAACATAAAAAAATATTTTTTAAAAATTATATTAATGATAATGTACTTGCATAAACACCTTCTTAAAAAAGTTTGAATTATAAATCGTAGTTATTCGATATAAATCAATTAAGCAAAATTAACTACAAAAACCACCATATTTTTATTCGTAAATTAATAAGTAACTATTTAAAGTGTAAGACATTGAAAATCATAAACTTCGCGCGAACATATATACATGCAGAAAAAGATACATTAACTGGTGTGTGTATGTATCTACATGTAAGTACATAAGCAAAAAACAGTATATGTCCTGTGTATGTACGTGTAAGCCAAAATAGCAAAATAAAAAACGAGAAAAAGAAAGGAAACTGGACATTATATCCTTCTGAGAATTATTCTCCTAGAGTACATAAAGTGTTCTGTATCATGGTAAAAACACACAACGCAATTGGCGGTAGCAAGGCGGAGTCCGAATTATACCACAAAGAGAACCAATCAGATTTTACCTTATAAAGTAGGATACCAGGGCAGGATATTCGATTAACCAATCCTGTCTTCTAAGTAAGTATAAGCTTAAATTGTATATACATACATGTATACACGACATTTTTAATGAATCATAACCTTATTTAATATTATATTTAATTTTTGTTAATTGCATACAAATATAAGATAGAAAAGACTATGTTATATTATATACTACATTGATTAATAACACATTACAAATGTTTACAATTTTCTTAAAATTAAATTTTTAGTTTTTTATTACTCGTATACAATTTAATTTTTTAATAAATAAAAAAAAATTTTAAATATCATGTAATACATTTTTTGCGATTTTTATGAACGAAAAAAAAATTAAAAAATTACGAAACGAAAATGAACAAAAAATTACGAAATGAAATATAAAATACATTCTATTGTCTGATAGATTCCCTTTTTACGATTTTATTTCAATGTACAAACTAATGACATTAATTCGGAATAACTGTTTATAATTATTTATTAAAAATGATTTGATTCTTACCTTGTTTATATCAATGAAATTAAAGTTTTATTAAGATTAAGCTTTTAAGCTTCTGTATTTAAACAATAGAATCTAAGACAAATTATAACAAATTTATGGATTATATTGAAAAGAATAATTTTATATGCATTAATTTTAATGGTATATTAAAATTAAAAGTTTTATTATAGTAATGTTCTATGATTATAGTTTTGTTGCTTAATGAAATTAAAATATAAGGTGATAAAAATTAAGTACAATCTAGAATACAATACAAAAATAAACTAAATACAATTTCACTTATAATATTAAATCAAAATTCATTATAAAATAGGAAATCTAAATAAATACAAAGAATTTATATTTTCCTTAAAGACAAATACCAAAGGACATTTATAATACAAAAAATTATAAGCATGAAATATTATAAGATTAGTGTACTTAAAAAAAATTAATACTTTAAACTTTAAGAAAATTCTAAATTTCATTTAATATTAAGATAATGTTTATAAATGTAATACACTATTAATATAATTTAATTCTAAACTGAAGTGTCAAAATTAAGCTTCAATATTGTTAAATTACAGATGTACAAGCAATTTATACAGGTTCTTAAGACATTATTATTAAAAGTTAGAATTTATGAAAAATTAAATGAAGACTCACTGTAATGAATACGTTAATCCCATTCTCCTGGACATTCCATGTAAATCTACTACACCAACGTTCGCTTAATCGTTATCTTGGTGTCCATTTTGTTTGGTTAATTACTGAAGAGGCGTCAGTGCTGCCGTCGATTACGTTGACACAACATAATGGCTCTTCCGTGATTGGAGCACAATATATGTCAAAAATTATACTTTTTCTGTTTTCTTAATATTCATAGTAATTTGAACTTTATAAAGTTATTATTACCAAGAATCAGAATAAAATTTAATACACTCTAACGGCAATACACACTTCTACTTATTTCACATCTTGACCGCTCCATCTTTTTAACAATAACCCAATTTCGAAAACGTACAGACAAGAAACGAAACACTTTCTGGATATAAATACACCGATGGTGTCGACACTTTATAGTGTGGCATATCAGATTTGTGAGATAATAAAATAATTCGTTAAATTTCATTGCCTTTTTTGAAATTGTTGTATAATTGAATGTCGTTTCAACAATTTATATCAATATTATTCGTACGTTAAAGATGTTGAAAAACCGTAGGAAGATTTTTTAAGACAATATAGATATTATACAACTTTTCAATATTTTACAAATACTATATAAATTCTTAATTGTTGATTGAATTAAATTTTTATTATTTTATATAATCATCGTAAAACATAGCAGAAAACTGTAATTCTACCTGCTACATAGAAATCAGCCGTTACAAATGCCATATTCTGAAAGAGTTTCCATTCTACATTTTTACTGATTTTTATATAAATCTCTATTGTTCACGTAGTTAAGATAGTATTTTTTATGCCATTATTATTAATCGGACAGCTCTTGTCAATAAAAACATATATATTTCGAGTCTCCAGTGAATGGCTAAATAACTGCCATTATATTATTTGTATTATCAAAAATTTAAAATATATAAAAAGAGGGAAAGTTTCTGTGATTAATATTAAAAATTTTAATTTAGTTTATGAAAGTAAATTAATACGTGTACGTATTTTGTAAAAATATTATACTAGAACTTAGTTGTTTAATTCTTCTATTAAAAGATATGTGTATGTACAAACATAATTTTATAGATATGAAGTAGAAATGTCATTTTCTTCATTTTATAATCTTATTTTGTTATGAAAATAAAGAATTAGTATCTAATATCATTATACATACATTGTTAAATAATAAATGTTTTCGTTTATAGAAGAAATATGTCTAGCACATCGCAGAAACATAAAAACTTTGTGGCAGAGCCAATGGGTAGTAAACCTGTTACAGATCTTGCTGGAGTTGGAGAAGTTTTAGGACGTAGATTAGAAGCTGCTGGCTTTGATAAGGTATAATACATTTTATTATAAATAAAATTGTGATCTGAAAATTGTGAAAATTCTAAGCATAATTTTAAGAAAATATTTTGTTCTTTCTTTTAGTAATATGTTAAAAGGAACTTTTTTAACAAACATTTAAGTAATATTATTTATATAAATCAAGCAATATACTTCAAAAATTTATTAAACAAATATTGAGAAATTACATATACCTTTTATTTGTTAAAATGTATAGGCATATGTAGTTCTTGGGCAGTATTTGGTCTTAAAGAAGAACAGAGAATTATTTCAAGAATGGATGAAAGATGCATGTTCAGCTAATGCAAAACAGTCTAATGATTGTTATCAGTGCCTTTCAGATTGGTGTGAAGAATTTTTGTAAATTAATAAAGTTAATAACGTTAATATTGCAAAAGTAAAACTACTAACAGATTATCTATTATAATATTTTAATGTAAAATGTGAAAACAAGTTCACTTTTGTGAATCCAATATTTTAGACAATTTTAATATAACGAGAGTAACTATATAAAATGGTATTTTAACATACTGTATAAATTTATAGTTTTATTTCATGTTAACAATAATATAGTTAGTAATAGCTCGATACTGGCAGGTTAAATTTTGACATTAATTTTTAGTAAGGTCTTAGTTATTTGTTTAAAAACTGTGTACTATAAAACATGTAATAGTTACTATATTTTCTACATATTTCATATAACATTGTATAAGCTACTCCAGTATATAAATTTTTTACTTGTAATAATATTTCACTTCTTATATCTTTTGTTATACAAAAGTTTAAGAAATAAGCAGAAAGCTTAATTCAAAAATATATTTTTGGGTATAATATTTAATAACTGAAATGTTCAAAACATATACATGTATTTACAAGACTGTAGTGATATTCTAAATTAAATATTTAGATAAATCTCGAAACTGCTAAATCAAGGTAAATACCAACATTAATAAAACTATTTTTCATATCATAACTTTGCATTTGTTTCTAATATGAAAATTAAACTTCATTACTTAATTCTGTTTATAAAAATTATTTTGATGTGTATTAAGACAATTATGTAAATACAATTTATATCAACATAATATTGTAATTAGTTTTTTTATATTAATTACTTGTAAGATTTCTATGTATTTATACATTGAATTATCTAACAACTATATAAAATGATTCAAAAACTTAATGTTAAAATATCTTATCATTTTATATCAAAACAAAACTCATCCATAATTTAGGTAGATTTATTTTCATGGAACATCCTGTAAATCCACTTCATTCATCTTTTTACAAAGATGGTTGAAAAAGTTACGGGATGAAAATAAACTACCGACACACGTGAAATTGAACTTACTACCTTTCAACCACCATGACAAATATGTTATTGAGATGCGTAAATTATTTTGGATACCTTCCGAAAGTAGCAATATTGAATGAGAACAAAAAAATAATAAGTTTAGCAGTTCAACAGTGTGCTAAACTATTAATTTTAACGAGGTTAGTTTTTTGAATGTTTTTTATTTTAATATTATCTAAAAATATAACTAATTCTTTTAGATCAACATCACAACTTATCGATGAAAATAAAATTGCAATAGATGAGAAATTTCATAATATAAGTAAAAATATATTAATATACAAATCTATAAGAAAAAATGAAATTGAAGATATTGTGAATCGTATACAATCACCATGTATGTATAGAATGGATGTGTATTATAATTTCTATATATTTTATTACTTTAAATTATATATGTTAAAATTTGGTGGCAAGTATAGAACTATTTTCTGTGATTAATGATAGTAAAATTATTTAAGTTAGTAACAAGCAAAAAAAATGTATTTTAGTAATAAGCTGCTTACAAAATGCAATTGAAATTATTTAAAAATTAAATATATATATCCAAAATAAGAAGATAGAAAATGTCAATAATTTAATTAAAACCTTATTTTTGTTTTAGATCTTTTAACTAGTTATCAAGCATTTTCATTAATTAGATGGTGTAATAATGTAGAAGATTGTACACCACAAGAGAGAGTGAAAATTATGAAATCTTTATGGACTAATTTAACTATATGCAGTATGTTTCTAATAATATATCCTTATTTAGTAATATCAATATCCATGTGAAATGTAATAGATGTTTTTTGATTTGTATTTAAAGATTTCCAGCTAGAAGTAATACATTACAATGCAATTTTAAAGCTATACGTAGATAATAATTATGATATTTCTCTTTCTGACTTATTAATGGAAATGAAAAATAAAAATATTGATCCAAATAGTGTTACACATCTGATATGTTTTGAATATTATTGTATGAAAGGAGATATTAATAAGTCATTGTTACTTTTGAAATCTTATTTCTATAGATTTCCATTTTCTTCACTTGAACCTATTTTTAATGCATTATTAATGGGATTTTCTCAATTAGGGTAAATATATTGTAGTTAATAACACTAATAGTAATGATATATATTTTTTGTACTATATATTAATATTTCAATAATTTGTATATTTTTTAGAAACATAGAATATGTAAATAAACTTTTAAATAATATGACAAATAAAGATATAAAACTAACTTCAAAGTCATATACTGCTATTATGTGTACTTATGCCAAATTAAAGAATATTGATAAAATAAACGAAGTAATTAAAACTTGTTACTCAAACAATATGTATTTTACTAATGCAAATATTTTAGAGGTGATTTATGTGTTGGCTGTAAATAATCACGTAGAACACATTAATAGTGTAAGAATTTATAAAAATTTTACAAGCAGTATACATTTATGTTTGAGTATGTAAATTCAAAATTGATAATTTTTTATTTTAGATGTATCAGTATTTAAAGAAAGTACTATATGTGTCTGATGAAGAAATTCAATTTATACTGAAATTAATAAATATTAATCAAGCAAATATAGCTGTAACTGCATTTTTACACATGATTTTAAAAGTTGATAAATGGTCACAGTATGAAAATATTATAAAAATAATTATAAAACATGTAGTTGATAGATATATGGTAAGAACAGAGAGTTTTTATATTTTAGGTGTCATATAACTTATTCTCCATGGTATATATGTTTTTAGGCAGCTGATTTAGTGGTTCAAATATGTAATTGTTTTAAATCTAATCCAAGAATGTATAAGAAATCAGTATCATTGTCATTGTATTATTCATTACAAAAAGATGATCATTTATTTCTTTCTCTGCTGAGAGCATATAAATCTCATTATATAATAAAACCACACTATTTTTGGCCACTTTTATTCAGAAGGGCAACTAAATATGATCATCTTGGTACGTATTTTATAAACAAATGTATAAAAGTCATCTAAATATAATGATCAATATTTTTATTCAATATGAAGAAAAACATGTATATTTCCTTTAGGTATTTTAAATATTCTTCAAATTATGGTTGAAGAGTTTAATGTATTTCCTTGTATTCATACAATTACTGATTACGTTTTACCAACTTCCTTTAAAAGTCTACACCACACAAAAGATTTATTAAAACAAAAATATAAAGTAGATGTAACTGTATTTAATAATGCTTGGGTATTATTGTGTTTAAAAAAATATAAAACAGGGTACGCTGCATCATACAGTAAGTACTTGTAACATGTATATACAATACATAAAATAAGATATAATACAAAATTAATTCACACTATTGTTTTTTATAGTGCAATATAACCCAGGTCCATATTTTTATAAGGAACTTGTTTATGATCTTAGGAATGCTACAATTTTTAGAAATGATATAGAAAGTTTTGTAAGTATCAGTTACAACTTATTAGAAAATACAAATAATGCAAAATTAGAACTTGTATCTATGGATAAACAGTTATGTGATATGATGCTCGAGTTTCCACTTAATAAAATATGGTTAAAAAGGGTATGATGAACTTTATGATTAAAGCTACTTTTAATATTCTAGTGGTATTTTATTATTATTATCATTATTTCAGATAGTTGATCGTTTAACACGTAAAGGTATTGAATTAAAAGATACAACAATAAAGATGATAAATATTTTTCTAAAGGAATATGAAGGAAATGATGGAACACCTTCAAATAAAACGGTATAAACTTATTCATTAATTCAAATTTGATATTAATAAATTTATAATATATTATACAAAGTATTTTTGTTATAAATTAATGTTTTCCTATTTATTTTATAGCGAAACGTACAGATTAATTAATTATTAATGGGATTAATTAAAGTCTGTATAACATGTTGGAAGTAATATAAAGTGTATGCAAACCAGTAGAAAATAATGTAATAATATTTCGAGTTACCTGCATCAATACATCAAATGAGACTGTCATTTTTTAACTGCACAAATAAATGTTCTAATGATAGCTTTTGTTATATACACCAAAGGAATAATAATTTAATGCTATTCGTAGTAATATAAATACTCAAAGACGATAATTTATTTAAGCAATTAATTGGTAAACAAATATATTTTATGAGTGACTAGTTTGATACATTTAAATAATACTAATTAATGTTGCAAATAAAATATTAAACTTTAAAATATATTCTTCCAAGTTCTACACAGAATTAATACCGCTACTACTAATACGCCCAATAAGCATAATTTTGTTTAACAAATAAAAATAAAATATATATTCAAGTATTAAATTATTTGCGGAGCGATATCAAACAAATTCATTATTTATTGTATTTTTCTCTCTTTGATTTACATTTCGTTCTGATTTTTGTTGAATAAAGGGTATAAAAAATAATATTAATCCACTTACAGTAATCATACCACCAGCAGTAAAAAAGCCAGGATTATATGACTGAAGCGCATCATATAACCATCCTAAAGAAATATAAATTTCAACAAAATTAAACAGTTTTTAGCTGTAGTTATTATGAAATCTGAAGTAAATATACCTGCAATAGGTGGTCCTAAAAATGATGCAAAACCTTGAAATAATAGAAGTTGGCCAAAAGCATTTGTAAGGTAATTTAAACCCAATAAATCTACTAAAATTACAGATGTAAGACCTACATAGGCACCAGATGTGAATCCAAATATGGAAGAATAAAATGTGAATGATATAAATGATGTACATAACGTACTAAGCATTGTTGCTGTGAAAATACAGAATATAAATACTGTTAACAATGGGAATCTTAGTTTTAATGAATCCTACTTATAAACTACAAAATACTACTTACAAACACCACATATTGTAAGGCATAAATTATATATTAGTAATCGATTGACCCACGGTTTATCCGATACGTATCCTAAGATTATACGACCCACGGTATTGGCGATTCCAATTACTGCAAGAAGGTAACTAGCATCGTTTTTATCAATTCCTTGTTCTTCAGCTTGAGGCTATAACAATATTAAGGTTCAGATCATTTGCAGTTATAAAGTTTTTGAAACTGATATTTATGCCTGAAAAAAAAAAAAAAAAAAATGTATTTACGTACCAATACGTACACATATGGTACATAAAATCCAATACTGGTACAGAAATTGGAGAAGATAAATAAAATAAATACTGGATTCTTTAGTAAAGATATATCTAATATCTCTTGAAGTGTATTTGTCTGTTTTTTACTATGAACTTTACTATTCTTTGATTTAATATGCTCTGCTTTACTAGGAAAGCTTGTAGAGGATTCATAAACTTGAAGCATTTCTCCACTATATCTTTGGGTAAAATTCAGACTGCAAATAAAACAAAATAATATGTATAATTATAGACAGTATAAAGTTTCTATTTTTTGATTATACATATATTTAATGAAATCGAGTGAACTCAGAACGAAATTTGTAAAGTAACATTTAGTTGCATCGAATTCGTATTGACAAATGTGATCGACATTTTAAGGTACAAAACTTAATCATTTGTAAAGGAAAAAAATTAAAGTAAATCAGAATGAACTATATACAATGTTTAAGACTATTTGTTTATATACATTTGGAAGGGTCAATTGAATACATAGGAAAAGTACCGACTGCTCTTTGTGGATGTTCTCCAAATTGTCTTGATGTATTACATCTTTCGAAATTAACACAGGTTGACTCTGGCTTTTTACATCAACAGTATTATTTTCTTTTTTAAAACTAATGCTGTACAGCTTTATATTATTTTCCACTTTGGGTAAAGTTTCTAGATATTCTTCAGATTGTTTTCTCAAAAAATTCTTTGAACATTTCTGAAAATTGAACACGATATAATATTATCGCTTTCTCTATCGCTTAAGCTTCTTATAATAATACATACAAGAATCCTATACCTCTGGAGAACTTTTCTTCTTTCGTTTATTCGTTTCAAGGGGCCTGAAAAGGGCTCCTAGAACGATGCAATTCAAAACAATTCCGGAGCAAATCATAATCGCTCCTCGCCATCCATATTCTGATATAAGGTACTTTAAACAGGGGGCGAAAATTAATGTGCCTAATCCAGAACCACATACTGCAATGCCCGTAGCAAGAGAACGGTATTTTTCAAAATAGCATGTCACACTTACGATTGCAGGTAAATAGATTAAGCCGAAACCTAGGCCTGTAGAAAAACGTAATGAATAACAAATGAGCGATACACATTTCCTTTTATTTGCAGAAAAATATCTCTAAGGGCTAAAAAAAAACCGCCTTCAAGGTTTAGGGGTGGTTTACCCCTCTAATCATAGAACTTTCAGAAGTTTTCAGTAGAATAAGAATTACTTTACTTTAATTTATCACAGTATTTTATAATTTTTATTTTCTTCTTAAGTCTTGCTAAGATATTACAACTAAAACAATTAAATAAAGTTATGTTTCACGTTACCTGTTCCAATACCAATTGTAAAATACAATGTGACAACATTTTGAGCCCACATACTTGCAAACAAGGATACACTCGCCAATATCGAGCCAACAATGGTCACCACTCGACATCCGTATTTATTTACAAACAAGCTCGATATTGGACCTTTAACAAATTATTTATTACATCAAATGTTATACTATGTGTATATCATGAATAAAGATTAAATGTTTACCGGAACATAAAGTTACCCCGACTAATATCGAAGCAATCCACGCGGTGGTACCTTTTCCCTCCTCGAAATAATACAAAAATTCCAAGTAAAAAATTCCGAAGGAATACGTAACTCCGTCCGCTGAAATCAAATGAAAGTAATATTTAAATAAGAATTGAATTTTCAATTCGTTAGAAAAATCAATAATTAAATTAGAAAAACAAATTCCAAGATAGGATGTAGGGGTAGGTTTTTCCTGACTCTCCCAAGGGAGGTTCCTTCTTCTACATTTACTTTGAGCTAAGATAATTTTTAATTATTCAATAAATACAGTTTTATAATAAAATGCAGGAAATAAAAAGAAAACATGGAGCATTCTTTAACATTTTAATTTATCATTTATATCATATTCTTCAAGCAAATCATATTACACCCTAAAATAAGTATAATAAAACTTGAGATCGTTATTGCATGCAAAATATAGTTTTCGTATCGTGTTCTGATTTGATGTATCACAAAGCTACTGTCATGATTAATTAGAACTTCGGTACGTGTGTGTATATATTTTTATATATATGGTAAATCACGAGCAAAGTGCAATAACTGAACAATAATATGACTTAATCGCGGGCATTGTCTTACTGTGAAATCGTGTTCGTTAAATTCAGAGAACTAGAAAATATAATGTATCTGTCATTTTTACATCTGTTATTAGACTCAGACTGATACTGATAATTTCTTTATAATTTTCTCAACACAAATATTGCCAATATCTGAGTACAGCACCCTAATACAGAAGTCTATGATGAGAAGAAACACTCACGTGATGAAAGAATATTATTTATACATGTACTACAGATAGGAAATAAAAAAGAGAAGGAAACTTAGATAAAATATATCATTTGTGTAATGCCAAGGCCATCGCTCCTTTTTAATTCAATTTATTTCTTCAAATCGGGTGGTGTTTAGAGACCACGCGTAATTAGAAATTTGAATTAAAATCGATAATTTCATACGTGAACAATGGTGGTGATAATGCATGAATATTAAACAAGAAATTAATTGTTTTGTAACGAAATTTGTTTAACAAAATTTCTTCAAAATATTCACGTTTGCTTTTTTTTAGAAAGCAACAATCAGGAAGAAACTGCAAACGCATACTCAAGCATATCTGCAAGGTCGTTCTTGTTCTTCGAATGATAATATACACGCTGATGCGTATACTTTTTCCTTATTCTTTTATTTGATGCAACGTGTGTTTCTTAATTTATGTTTGGTAATACTGATTTTGAAACGTTGCGTTACGTTGAACACGTGTTATAGATCAGCATATCTTTTAAGGAAAATTTCTTGACATTCTTCTAAATATCGTTGCTTTTTTGTACGTCAATGTTTGCGAATCTATGCTTTGAAGTTAACACAAAAAAATTAAGAAACAATCGCATGTAACTTATCTTTGTTTACTGCAATACTGTACATGATACTAAATATTCACACTTCCTCTATTTCTTATTAATGTAATCAGAGATCTGAATAAATTCAAGATGTAATTAATCCCTTATGAATGTTACTTAATAAGATTTCTATACCATTGTTATGTGATTAAACAAAAGGGATTTACTAATATCCGAATCGTGAATTACGTTTAATGATGTTTCACAAGCTCCTTTTTTGTGAAGATTAAACTATTCTTATCGCAGGGTCAGTATCGTTCACGAAATTCTTTCTTTCCTCTTTATCACAGTATATTTTATTTGTACAACATTAACGGAGATATCATTCATGCAATTAACACGTCCAAAACGTGACCAAAATGGTAATAACACAACGATGATAAAAAGCTTCTAAAAAAAATACATGTATATATAAAAGTATAAAAGTAAATTAGAATGAAGTAGAATTTTACTCGATTATGCGTAAGAAATAATCATATGCTGTTTAAGTCATAAAATACAACATAAATGAATTAAAAAATTGTTCTCTTCATTGAGACAAAAATGACAACACTTATTAGCATGTGATATTAATTTAAAAAATAAGAATAAAATTTGAAATGGGTAAGAAAAGACTTTTGCAGCATTTAAATAATGAAGAATGAAACGAAATACATACAATAAATTTAGAAAAAATTAGTTACTTACCAATTACATGAATTAAGAAGGATGCGAGAACCACAAAATAGCCCCATCCTCCATCTGGGGGTTCCATGATAGTTGACGTACCCCGGCAGTCCATTGAGTTACAGGTGACATTTTCATTTCCATTTTCTTCATCTTGCTGTTTTGTCTCAACAGAGGAGCTAACAGTCGCGTGTGCCATGGAGTTGCAATTGTCGAACTTAGTGAATGTTTCCCGCAATAACAAGCATCGAAACGTCATGTTGATGATCATATAGTGGAAGGGAATGATGAAGAGAAGGGGAGATCCGAGAAGATCTCGAGGAATGCGTTAATTTTGATCATACAGAAAATTTGGCATGCCATAATTGCTGCATTAAGCTATTCACCATAAAACTGGAAACGTTGTTAGTTATCATTTTCAAACAAAATTATTGCATTTCTTTTTATGATAAAAGTTCTTTTTAGTTGTATGGTTTCTTCTGGGTATGTAAAACGCTAAAAAGAAAAAAATTAGAAATTATAATATTATTTAGTAAATTAATAAGAAAATTATCGGAAAATTAAATTTTTTAGAAACTTATCTGCTTCATTATACGTTGATCGCATATAATGTTGAAGTTTCATCATAAGCTTTAAGTTTTACGTATTTAATTACTGTTAAATATTTTTACAAATAATTTTCATCAAATAAATAATACATACTTTCAAAGGTTCAAATACGTAAAAATATTCATTTAAATATAAACATTTATTACTTCCCAGAATCGTTTGACTTCCTAATACAGGATAAATAGTAGTTGTATCAGCTGCCTATTATTAAATCAGCTAATTGCTCTATCAATATCTTCAAGATTATCTCGCATATGATCACTCATTTGTGGAAGTAACTCATAAGTACAAGTAGTAACGCCATGTTGATGCCCAGGCGACCATTCTCCTTTTAATCCAATGTAATAAATTTTTATTTTCTCACTTCCCTCGGTGCCGGTAAAATGCAGACTCAAATGATGTACAGATGAAAATTTCACCACTCTATCAAGTCAAATAAAAAGTAAACAAACTTTTTATATTATAATAAATTTGTTCAGTGATTAATACTAAAATATACATACTTAGGAGCATATTCATGAACTCCATATGTATCTACACATAGTTCAAACTCTTGTTCAGGTGCTGTAGCAGCATCATCAAATGTCATATATGGCCGATTTTTATATCTACATATAAAAAAGAAAGTAAATGATATATTTAAAGTATGCTTAAATTACCAACTAGGAACACATACAATTTAACTTTATTTGGATGTAAATCATCTTCTCCCCCAATAATGATAAGACCTTTTAATTTTATATTCCCTGTAAAACTAAAGAGAAGAAAGTATTATATTTATTTATTCTAATTAACAAAGTGTTAAGATAGAAAAACATACGGAATATTAAATAGAAGTTCATTATCCATATCACTTTCAACATACTGAAAAAGAAAAGATTAATTATATCAATGTTATATAAACATACATATTATTTAAATGCCTCTATTAATTAATATAAATAAATATGATAGTTACTTTGGTTCTATCCAATCTGTTTTCCCATGGTTTAAACACAGCAGCTCCACTGCCTTCTTCGCATTCATTTAAAACCTCTATGTTTTCTATATCAATTTTTTTATATAAATTATATTGTACTCCCAATTCTCCTTCTTCGTGCGATGCTCCACAACCACATTGATGTGCCATTATAGATCTGCTCAAAAATTTGAAATGTAATCATACATGTCAAACATTAAACAAATAATATACTTATCTAATATAATAATACAAAAGTAAAATATACTAAATACATAGTAAATACTTTAATAACAATAATAATAACAATCGGTATAATAGAAAATGTATTATTAAATGTACAAAGGATTTATAAATAGTAAAACAGGTGTTTGGTATTTTTCCTGGTTAACTCTACCTCCTACTATTAGGGTAAACAAAAAAATGATTGATATAAAAAGGAATTGTGTGTCATTAAAAAAACTTACATCTAAACACTAATATTTTAATGTTAAATGAGAAAAATGCAAGATTAAACTCACTTCTCAACGTTACAGAAACGTTTGAAGTACTGTAAATGATAATCGGAATTACGAATAACTTTTACTTGAATATCTTACCTATAAGTTTATGGTTATTATATGCAACTAATTGTGAATAATATAAACGTAAATTACAAATATATTATGTTAATTTCACAACTGGTGTTAATAATAAAATATTAAAAGAACTTCGTGTAGATAACTTGAATTTTAAGTTCATCTATTTTAGCCGTGTTCTGAATGTTGTTTCTACCGTTATACTAAATCTATTTCGTTAGTCACAAGTTTTTATACTGTTCTGTATTTTATACCTCTTAATAATCATTAATAGGAAATAAAGATAATATAACTGTGTGCTTTTTAAAATTTAATATTTGAATAAATTATTAATAGTATTTGAACACACTTTTTATGGCATCTTTCATTGTTGGTTGGTAAAACTTGCTCATAACTTCACTGTACCAACACTATTGTTTTCTGTACATTTTAGTACATGAATCGTATGTATTCAGTAGGATACCAGTAGGATACGTCTGGGGTTAGTCTTTTAAGATATGTATTTACAACAAAATAAGTATAATTAGGAATATTGTGATGATTACTAGAAAAATAATCATATGACATATAAGAAGCAATTCGTGTTTCTTAATTTTTCATCGATTATTTAAGAATTGTGCTTACGTTTGTAAATGCCCAACCAATATTAAATGGTGATTCCATAGCAAATGAATATTTGCATGCTGCAGTTATGTGCTTCCATTGTGAAAACATAATTGTTTTATGGTGATAATATGTCAAAATCAAGCATAAGGAAGATAACGGTTGACCCTACGAAATGTAATACAGACTCTCGTCGACCAAGTGTATTTGAAAGGTTGGGGACCAAACCTGCAGTTACTGCCGGCCAAAATACATCGGATTATTGCAGAAATTGGGCATTGAATGGCAGTTGCTCGTATGGAAAGAATTGCAAGTAAGCATAATTTTAAAGTGAATATATATTTTGTAAAAAAAAAGAAATGAAATATATGTCCTAAACTCTTACATTGACAAATGATTAAGTCAGCTTATTTAGAGAATAGCGTAAGACTTATCGCTCATTTAAGTTGAACTGACCAACCTTTTTGTTTTCTTGATATTGCAACTAGATATGCAAATACTCACACATTAATAAGCCCATCCAAGCGTGCCAAAAAGGATAATGCTATTGCAAGTACCACAGGAGTAAGTTTATATAGATATTATTATGCTTTTAGAATAAAATATTGTAGTTCAATATTAAAAATGTATTATTGTTTCATTTGAAGATAGATATTTACATATGTGTTTGTCAATATGTAGCTTATCGAGGATCCATTTAAAAGGCTTACTTCTAAGATTGTAAAAAAAGCATCGCATAGTCCTGATTTAAATTTGGAAGAGTGGAATCAAACAGATCTTGAATACGAAGACGAGAAAGTATTGGAAAGGCGTAGACAGCTGTTACAACGTGAATTAGAACTACAAATGAAGAAGGATAAAGAAGTTCATGGAAAAGACAAAGTGAAACAGAAGAAAAAGGCAATGACTTCTTCCTCTAGTTCTCATACATCAAGTACATCTAGCAGTAGTAGTAGCTCTAGTAGCGAAGATTCATCTTCTAGTTCAACATCTGATTCACGAAAAAAGGTTAAAAAGATTAAATCTAAACGACATCACAGTGGTTCTACAGATTATGATGAAGATAAAGAAAGAAGAAGGAAGTAAGTTATGATTCATGTTATTAGGTATTATTATTAAGCATAATTGTTACGTCCATGAATTTTCGTTTATAAGTATAATTTATTTGTAACTTGTATCAAAACTAAATAATGTTGTCAGATTAAAATTGAAAAGGCTTGGAACAAAAAATGAGAAGCCATCAGTGAAGAAGAAACGTAAATTTGAAAGTAGTTCTGCAAAAAAGGAAATTACTGCTAGATCAGTAAAGAAGTACAGTTCATCTTCAACATCAAGAAAACATTCTTCCACTCCTCGTACAAGATCACCAGCAGTGCAAGTGTCTGCACCAGCAACACCTGCAACAGCAGTATTAGGTTCTTCGGTATCTTTGCCTCATCATGGAACATCTAATAAAGTCAAGGAAAGAAATAGAAGCGAATCTCCAAAAGCAACGAAAAGCAGAGATATAGATAAAGAGGAGAGACATTATAAGAAAATCCGAGATGTAGATGAATTATCTAAAGATGGTACTAAAAACAAACCTTTCGATAAAGTTAAGGAACAGGATAAAGAAAAAAATCGTACAATAGAGGAAAAGTTAAAAATTGAAGAAAGATTGAAGTTAAAATATAAAGATAAAGAGATACGATCTCGAACACCGCCAACATCAGAGAAATCCAAACATCAACACTCCAAGGATACAATTTCGACGAAAACTCGTCGCAGTCGTACACCTGAAAAATCATCAAAATCCAAACGAGAGCTTACGCCGTCAAAACTTCCAGATAGACCAGTTTCCACAAACAGATCTCGAGATAGCGAAAAGAAAGATCGCGAATACCATAAGAGCGATAAAACTAAAGACAGAGAAGACATAAGAAAAAATGATCAAAATAATAAAGCCAGACAGATATCGAATCAAGAAGAAAGTCATAGAAGAATCGGTAAAGAATGCGATGATAAAGCTTATTTAGGTGACAAAACAAGACAAAAGAGCAGAGAACGACGCGATAAAGACCATACTAGAGACGAACGTGGACATTCAAGACTCGGTCGGGATCAACGAGACACTCGTGATAAAGACAAAGAAGAATTACAGGAACGTTGTCGTGAACGACCACGAGAGAGGGATCGTGATCGTGATCGAGACCGAGAACGCGATCGCGATCGAGAAAGAGATAGAGATAGAGATCGTGATCGTGATCGCGATAGAGACCGTGACCGGGATCGGGATCGTGATCGCGATCGTGACCGAGATCGTGAACGTGATCGCGATCGTGACCGAGATCGTGAAAGAGAAAAGGATCCAATAAAAACTAGAGACAGAGATATACCATCTTTAGTTTCAACAACGATAGGTTTAACAGCAGATAAGAATTCGCGTTATAGCCGTGATAAAGAGCGAATAGTAGTGAAGGATAGTGCCTTTGAGAAGAATGGTATCCGAGATCGTAGAGGTGACAGAGAAAGGGAGCGATCTGAAACAAAAACGCTTTCCGATCGCGACAGAGCATCTCAACGATATGATAGAAACACTGTAGATAAAGAGGCATCCACCCGTAAAACTGGCATGAACTCGCCTAGAGATCGTTTTCCACGAGAGAGATCTTTGGACAGAGTTTCTTTGCTTGATAAAGGTGTGCATAACGTACCACCATTAACCCAAGCATCTTCTTTACCTGTCGTTCAATCCTCTATAGCATCTTCGTCATCTTCGTCCGCACCGGCTACATTGTCAACGTCAAGAGATAATTTAATTGAGAGGATAGATGTTGGACACTATGATAGAGAAAGACATAGACGATTCAATACTAGGTACGACCGAGGTCATACGTCTGAACACGATCAGTCGCGCGTTACGCCGACTAAAGTTGATCGTTTGATCGAAAGACGAGAGGGTAGTCCAAGACGTACAATTGAAATCGATAGAAATTACAATAGAAATTATGGACGTTTATCAGAACATTGGGACGAACAAGAGGAGGCATCCTCGCATTTAGATTACCGTGATCACCATGTTCACGAAGATGATAGAAGAAAAACAGTGGATGGAAGAAGATACGATAGCCCGTTTGATGAGAGACGTGGAATCCGTGAGGAAAGGCCACGGGAATCTAGATATGTTGTTCAAAGCGGTGATAGAACATCCTTTGACGATCATCGTCATCATCATCATCATCATAGACATCCACTTTATCCAGGAGAGAAAATAAGAAGTAATACATCAATTCGGTAGGTTGACAGTGACATATAATTAATATAATTCGGCGTGTCACGTTTAAATTTAATTTTACTTTCATTAGCGATGAGAATGTTGCTAACGATGACTGGGATAGCCATCATCGTGATGTAGAACATAACAGAGAACGAGCTTATGGACCTGTTGATTGGGAAGAAAGAGAGTGGCGAGTAAGAACATTATGGGACAGTAGAGACAGTCTTCCTCGATCGGAAGTGCATGATGATGACTGGAGTTCTCGATATGATAATTCTGTATCAGATTGGAAATCGAACGACGGCCGAAAATGGGATAATCAATCCGTACATATTCGTGGTCACTATCGAAATGATCGGTCTAAGGAAATAGAATTAGGAGAATCTACATCACATAAGTATGTCCTATTTCATTATTATTTATCATTTATTCATAATATTTTAAATGATATTAACAAGACGTTTGTTTTAACCCTCTTTTTTTTCTAGTAAAAGAAGAACTTATAATAATTCTGAAACCAGAGACGAATGTACAGTCCATAGTTCTAAACAAGCATCTTTATATGGTAGTATGAAAGAAGAACCTATTAATAAAAAGTTAATGGAGCTTGCGGAAGGTAAATTATCTACAACCCGAGAGAAATCTGCAGATACTTTTCCAAAAAAAGTATTACCGAAAGAAAAATCTGAAACGAAAGAAATCGTTGCAACTGAACCGAAACGTTCTTGTATAGACGAGTCTCTACAAACTCTTCATACAGAAAGTGATCTCAGTGATATTAGTGATGATCCAGATGATATATTAAACATGGATGACGTTACAGTACGTTCTATTTATTTTCCATCATATTCTTTAGTGAATATTAATTTCACATAACTATATTTGTAATGTTTACAGGACATCGATACGAATAAAACTCGGACAAGTAAGAAAACTCCCGATATCACTCAACGAGACGGCCAATCAACAGTTCAAGAAACAGAAGTATCATCTCCAAAAGAACCTATTGAAGATACAGTTTTTAATACAAAGGGAAAAGATAATGCTGAACCAATGTCATTTAGGTATTTTTTAACAAAATTATTTTTATTTTTTTGCCACTGTTGTATTCATATTACACGTTTGTCTATAATTATATTAATAGAAACATGGAGGATGAAAATGTGGAAACTATGGACTTTGAAGAAATCTCTGATGGTGAATTAGAAGAAGATATAAAAACAAGCGGTAAAGGTTTAGGTGATGCTTTAGGAGTTGATTGGGAGAGTCTCGTTAAAGAAACGCAACCTCGAAGACCTACATCGTGTAATCAAAGTTCAGAAAATCGTTGGCAATGCAAAGCAATTCTGCATAGAATCGGTGTTTCAGCAAAGTATGCGGGAGAAGATATAATAAAAAAATTGACAAAGAAATATGGAAAAGACGGTACCTCGTTTGATCTGTTACAGCTACAAGGAAATTATTTCAAGTTCGTGTAATTAAACAATATTTTTACTTGCAGATCATTCGGAATTTTTTCTTCACGATGTTGCATTTATGCACACAGCACTTGCCCGGAATCGCTTATTACATGACCTAAACAATGATATGCTGCCTACGGTGGATGATTTTCTGTATAGGTAAATAGCTTTTTAAATAATTAACTGTCATTAAAAACCTTTTAATATAATACAATATAAAACAGTATATAATTTTGTTGTAGAAGTAGTAATGTAAATATTGATGAAGACGTAGATTATGATTTGGAAGTTTTGAAACCTTGTACATCTTTATACGAAGAAGCAAAGTGTTTATTACAACAAGTTGTATGAAGAAGCTTCTGTGTATAGTAAATGACTTCCAAAATAGCACTTTGCTACCGTATTTACACGGTTCAGCATAGAACAAAAGTGCATCAATTTGTTACTGGCTAGTCTGGCTCAGCTATTTAGATATTTGCTGTAGCCAACTTAGCTGTTAGCGGTGCAATTGTAAAAAGAAATTAAATTGATACGTTTTTCTTAACACCTAGTTTTTTAATTTTCCATAACTAATGTCTTTTTATATATTATTCAATCTTTATACATCTTTCTTGATCAAAATTATAATCATGACGATTAAACATTGTAATGAATTATATACTTAACGAATATATGTTTATATGTATTTGTTTTTATATTTAATGAAATTAACCTTTTAAATTTATATACTTCAATTCTGTCTAACGACAAATAACAGTACCTATTATTTTTCTAAATAAATGTTTTTTAACACAAACTTGTTCACTCACATAATTATACTTTTGGTATAATTTTCAATAAATATTTGTCTATTCATTTCCTTTCTATTATTTTTTAAATAATACTTGGAATTGGTTAAAGTATTTCTTATCATGTTCAATAGTAGTAGCTGAAACAACATCATTTTGCAGAATAATGATTGCTTTTTCTAGTATACGTTGATTTTCATCAGTCTGGAAAAATATATAATGTAAATATATCAAATTAATGTAAACAAATAAATAATATAAATATACCTCCACAGAAAAATTTGATTGTACTTTCTCAGCATTTTGTTGTCGAAACCGTATCAATTTTTCGAGGTTTGAGCAATATAATTCATACAAAATAAGCCCTGAAATATATTTTATATTTATATACAAAGGTAATATAAGCTATACTATTTTGAATATTAACTTACCTTTTTTTTTACAGTCACCGCAATTTAAAACATCCAATATAGAAAGTAAATCATGGCAGTATTTTGCTTTTGTATCCAACTCGATATCAGTCAAATCTAATAATAATTTTCCAAAATTCACCACGTGTATTAATAATTCTCGAATGTATATTTATAGATTACCAAAATACCTGCCCACTCGATACCTTCGCTCCTGCCGTAATACGATATAATTCGAAACTTTACATCTACGATTAAATAATTACTCAGAGGAATTATACACGAGAGTTCCTTCTGCATAAACTTGAAAATCTGTCGTGGAGATTTGTACAGGATCTCTTCAGTGACGGCCGCAATACCTGAACGGATCGAACATATCTAATAAAAAAAGAAAAAACAAAGTACCTGCAACTGAAGGAAAGTTACCAAAGCCAAACCCTTTATCAAACTACTAATTTCTAAAAACTTAAGTATCTGAATACCTGTCGATAATTTATAGTCTTCCTGCATCTATCACAAACCCAGGGAGTTCCAACGTTAAGAGGATCTGCGGGTAACAAATTTCCGGAACAATCATCAAATGCGCACAGAAGTGCACCTAATCTCGTTCCAGATTCCTAAAATAAATTAAAAGAAACATACAAGATTTATTTTAATTATTAATTTGAAAAGTTTATTAAATATTCAAACAGTATCCAAACACAATGATATACCATGGGATCGCTGCATCTCTTGCACGTACAAGAAAAATGTTTAGTGATTCTTAAAAATTGTCTTCTCAATGTCGTATCCCAGAACAAATTCGTATAAGACATAGTAAGTTCTTCTCCAGCGGCAATTGGAAGAGCGGCATTAACATACAGCCGATACTTTCCGTCAAAATGATGTCTTGTATTTGGTACGCAATTGTGATTCTGTAGCCCTCCTAAAGGATAAAGACCGCGCAAACTTGACGAACGATCCTTATCGTGAACGCTAACTGTTTCGAATGAATTCGAGTTGAATGCTCCGCAAACGCGTTTCATTAATTCCATATCCTTTTCGTTCGGAGATCTCTCCACGGTTCGTAGAAGTAGTTCGATCTTTTCCAAGAAATTTATCGATTAGCTTCATAAAGAGAATGATTAAAAATAATTGCGTGTATATTCCCGTACCTCGTAATTAGAAGTGATAGTTTGATCGCATTGAAGAGCGCGCAAACATTCACGCTGCAGTTCCGTCATGAATAAAGCGCGGATCGGAATCAATGCCAGTAACAAATTCAAGGACCAATCTGTGCCACAAGTCGGTACCAATGATCTCAAATACTCGCATTCGTAATTCACATGTTTCGGTGAATTTTCGCATTGAGACGAGCATACCGGCAAACTGCAGCCCCGATCGCATGGAAATAAAGGGCACTCGTTCTTGTAACAACACGCGCACATTTGCAAATGTTTGCCCACGCACCTTGGCCCGATCACCATAGGTGCATCAATGAAAATCAATTCGTTCGGCGCTATATCTCGAGTAGCGAACATGCCACGACCACCTAAATTCGAATAACGAACGGTCCACGGTCGTGGATCCTCGCATGCGATGTTACTTTCTTTTAAATGAGATACCAATAATTCTTCCACCTTTTCCGGTTCCACGATATCTTGAAAACTCATTTTCTTCAGCAAGTCTTTTGAGTGCAGTTGAACACTCTCGACGACGGTGATTAACGTAATGATGTCTGAAAACAGCATCTTCTCATCATGTGTATATATACAGATTAAGAAAATGTTCAGATTATGTAATACATTGGTATTTATATATATATATACATACATATCTCTGCTGCAACGATGTTAATATAATTAATGATATGTATGCAAATGAAGATTGACGAGATATTTGCAGTGATGATCGTGATGATCGACGCCGTTGTTGAAAGGTACTATCATTAAATGAAACTGCTGTACTCCCGCTTTATGCTCTATTGCTGTGCTCTAATTCAGTTTAAAATAGAGTTAGAGATCTGGTAAACGATTCCCTGCGTTTTGCACCTATTACATCCATACGATATGCATTGATTAAACTGAAAAACAAACAAACACTAACGTTAATATAATGTTCTTTTAAAATAAAAAAAAAAGGAAACAGTAGCTCTTTGTTTAATAAATTAGATTATAAAATGTAAACAAAAGTAGCTTTGCATCAGTACAATCATTGTACTATGTTGTAAACGATAAAGAAAAGAATGTATAAAATAAAGCCGTATAATGCATTTGTACAATATGGGGTAGTTTTTTCAAAATCAAATGAAAATTATTATTGATGAAGCAAATTTTCACGCAAGCGTATCCGATTCTCTTCATTGTCTGTATACTTTAGCGTTGCTAAGACTACCAGGTAACTGACTACCTGCAACAAATAGCAAGTACAATAACAGGTACATAATATATGTATACTGTACCCGGATAGTTCAACCAACTGGTTGTACCCTGATCATTGAATAAGTAAATATTAATACTGTGGACCAATGTGTCTTACCTATACAAAAATTTGTAGAAATCTATCGTAAATATATATGACAGAATTACGTTGTTTATGCGTAGAATGTGTTATAAGAGGAAGTTGATTGTAAACTCCATGAAAAAGGGAATTTTTATTCTGGCAACAATTTTGCTTTTAGCGGTTGATTTTTCGCAAGGATTAAATTGCAGTACCGATCCTTGCATGTACGGAATTTGTTTAGAAGATATAAACAGGTAATTAAAAAATAAATTACCTGATTTTTCACTTTTTATTCATATTCTTTTATGTTATAAAAGAATTCTATTGATTATGGCATATTTCTTTTGTGGGCAAGAGTTCGTAATTAACATAATTAATCAATTATTCCGTATGTGTAATGCAGCACTTATTCCTGTTATTGTATCGATGGTTATACTGGGATCAATTGCGAAATCAATTGGGATGATTGTTGGTCTAATCCTTGTCTCAATGGAGGAACGTGCAACGATGCTGTTGCAGCGTATAATTGCACTTGTGCAGAGGGTTTTGTAGGTAATTCATGATTTCTTTGTTTATCTTCTATTGCGTGCGCGAAAGCAACATGTTGACGTGTTAGCACAGAGGGTAATTGAAATGATGTTCGTGCTTAAAACACCTGATCTACCGTTCGCAGATGAAATGGATAAGCTCTGTAATTTGATAATGATAAAAAGATTAGAAATAATAAAACATAACAGGAAATAATAAAATATAATTCCATTTATAAAATACTGCATTTTACGATATTGCAGGTATAAATTGCGAGCAGAGATACAGCGAATGTTCGAATCAACCTTGCTTGAATAATGGAACTTGTTTAGATTATGATGGTATTACCTGCCAATGTCCTGATGGATATTCAGGTAGAAAAGTTTACAAGCGTATATTACAAATATCCTTTCTCTATCTTTGTATTATATGTTTCTTTTGAAGGCGATTATTGTGAAATTGATGCTTCAGTTTGTAACGATACAATATGTAAGAACGGAGGTGAATGCATGGAGGGACCTGGATTCTCTTTCTTTTGTCGTTGTCCTGAAGGTATTAGTTTTAATCTTTGCTTAAAGTAATATATATATCCCGTTAACATGATTGTTAATTGTTCCCATTGAAAAGGATGGACAGGTCGATTATGCGACGAAGACGTTGACGAATGTGTTACTTCACCATGTAAGAATGGTGGTCTCTGTATCAACGTGCCTGCTTCGTATACTTGCGCTTGTTTATTCGGTATGTTTCAATTACCAAAGAAATTTTATTAATTTTTGCAAATTTAACATCATATTAACTTCAAGTGTTCCCTATAAGGATATACAGGTAAAGATTGCGACAAGGCCATTGTACCCTGCAAAGAAAATCCTTGTAGAAACGATGCAGTGTGCTTATTCGAAGATGAACGACCAATTTGTTACTGTGTACCAGATTACCATGGCGTATTATGTGAGCTAAAATACGACGATTGCGAATCAAAATTCGCGAACTGCGAGAACGGTGGCACTTGTATCGATGGTGTCAACAGTTTCACTTGTGCTTGCCCAACATTTTACAGTGGGCCATTCTGTAATGTGTACGATCTTCCGTCGACTCCTTTTTCAACTTTCAGTGAAATCTCTGAAATTGATAGCGATAAGGAAATGTCTGTTACTACGCCTTTTGCATCAAAATCGTCGACATTGCTAGAAAGCGATATGTCCTCATTGCTAACTACCTCCACGACCATGCAATCTTCAACTTCCGTCAATGGTACCAGTCGTCTTTACACGAAATGGTATCCTTTCGTCGAAACTACACCTTCAACTTTAGACAGAAATAACATTAGCATTTTTAGTAGTAGTACCAGTAGTGAGAGTAGTACAGAAGTTACTTCATTTCTTAACGATGTTTCCTCCGTGTATTCTATAACGGGTAAAGAAACATCCGAGGTAGAAACAGCTTCATCGGAATCCCAAACATTTCCTACTGTTCTAAGTGAAGTATCTTCCGCGCCTTCAACGATAAGAGTTGAAACAGAACATTTAACACAGAAATCGTTTCGTAACGAAAATACTACTGCCAGTGAAAGTAATTATCATGAAGGGGATGCTAGGACACTCGCATCTATCAATGATACATCGTCATCTGAAACCAGTAGTACAATGGGATACATTTCGAATACAGGGTAAAATTCAATAATAGTTTCTAAGCTACTGAATTAAAATTAAAGTATTTTTTATTACCATTTAGATATTATCCGGTGGTAACTACATCTGTAGAAAAAATCACTGAAGAAGCTACAACAGAGAGTGAGAAAAGCAATGGTTACTCTACTGTTATTTCTTCCTCTACATTCATAGAGTTCTGGCAAAATAAAAGTTCGGAATCAAGTACGCCAATAGTAGAAGTGCCAAAAACGACGTCTCAAACTTTCATAGATAAATGGACATCTTCATTGTTAACAAAGGCTTCAGAAAGTTCAGAAAGTTCTACATTTTGGATCACCAATGGTACCTCTTCATCTGCGACTAGTACTTCTGTAAGGTCAATACTCGAAGAAGATACTACTGTTAGCGAACAATTCTCGACGAAAAAATCATTGACAACTGCAAAAAGCACCACCGAATGCCATGGAATGTTATGTACAAGTTCTCCATTACCACCTACACGCAATGATAGTAATGTAAATGTATGCTCTAACATACCAATTCTTACTTCTATGTACCAACATCAACTTTTTCCGTATACTTCTAGTGCAACTGTTCACATCGTGAAAATTGTAAAACTGGTCCGAGTATAACGCGAGCAGCTTTCAATGGTAAATCATATGCGAGACAACAGGTTGATGTAGAAGTCTCAAATGGCAATAATGCAACTTTAAGGATTTTCGTGAGGCTTAGAACACAATTCAAGGACGGTATTATATTGCACGTCTACTTTGACAATGAGAAATATGCTTTAGTTTACTTGGAATATGGCTCCTTAAAATTTCAATTCTCCTGCGGCCTTGAAACCATGCTACTTGGTGAAATAGACTCGCCTATTGATAATGGATATGAAACGGATATTGATACAAAGTAAGACTACTAGAGAAAGATTTATGCTTGTTACCTAGCATTATTGTGTAACTTGTTCTACATACACAGGTTTCAATACTTTGTGAAAAATGAAACCAACAAATGTTCGGCTCGTTTATTAGTAAATGGAACAACAGCCGTTAGCGGTGAACAAATGTTGCCATTACATGGAATCCTTCCACGATATGCTAATTTACATTTGGGTGGGATACCGATGGTGTTTTCGCACCACTTTGCTCATGTTTCCATGGGATTTACTGGTTGTATGAATTCACTGAAGGTATGCTTCATTCTACAATACGTTTGGAAATATTAAAAGAATTCATAATTGTTTTTCTCATTGCTATAGATAAATGATGTTCCTCGTCATTTCATTCATGATTCTGTGGAAACATTTCAAATTGATGACTGCATGTCTTTCCTATGCTTATCGAATCCTTGTCAAAATTTTGGTGCGTGTGAAGAAGTAAATGGTGCAGTTCGTTGTAGATGTATACCTGGGTAAGATAATTTGCCAATTCGTGATTAAAATGTATTAACAGATGTTAAAAAATAATATAAAACAGAGTATTGTTTAAATAGATATACAGGCCCATTTTGCGAACGATCATCATGCGATGAAAATCCTTGTGCCATGGGTGCAACTTGCATTAGTTCACCTGGTACAGGCTTCGTTTGTGTATGCCCACTTGGAACTCACGGACTCTTATGCGAAGAAGGTAATACAACCTAAATTGTAGAAATTTAAGAATGTATGATGATTTTACCATAAATTTTTAGATACCATCATAAGCCGACCATCATTTTCGGTACTTGTACCTGGCTTTTCGTCATACGTTGCCTATGGTGTTTCGAATTCTATAAAAGATGCCATGGAACTAAAACTGAAGCTCATACCACGATCTTATGAACAGATATCATTGGTAGCTTATTTAGGACAAAGTGGAACGCGTCGAGATCTGTCGGATCATTTTTCTATTACATATGTTCGTGGTTACATTATGTTAACTTGGGATTTAGGAGCAGGTGTTATATCTTAATATTTTAAATATATGTGAAATTTTCATATAGTGTGTTTCTTCGCTAAAATTTATATCAAGTTTCTTCCTGCCAGTATTTTAATTAGCTTATCCCTCTTTTAGTTATGTATGTATCATAAGAATGCTTTATAGGTGTTCGTAGAATATTTACAAGCGTCCCTTTGAATGCTATAACAACGACAGGAACTGCAAGTAAAAGTTACATAGCATATACGATCCAGGCTGGAAGAAGAGGTCGAGACGCATGGCTTGCAATAGATGGCATAGGCAATGTAACTGGAAGAGTAGTCGGATCTATGACTCGACTCGACGTATCTCCAATACTTTACATTGGTTTGCTTTCTTCAATTTAATACTTATATTAGAAAACTAAAATTACTAGTTTGTATTGTCATAATTGTGGAAAATTTGCAAAACGCGTCGAATTTTAGGTGGACATAAGTCAAGAAATTTTGATTCTTTACCCCATGATTTGCCTCTTCATACTGGATTTTCTGGTTGTATATTTGATATTGAATTACGAACAGAAACTGCAATTTATCCAATAACCAGTTCTAGCCCTGCAACAGGTCGTGGTGTTGGTGAATGTCACCGGAACGAATGTATTCGTCATTTATGTAAAAATGGTGCGGTATGTTTAAATCATGGAGCAACATACAGGTAAACTTTTCAAATTTAATAAATTAATTTTGATACCTCGTTTACTTATCAAATACTAATCATTTCAGTTGCATTTGTACAAAAGAATGGATGGGCTCTGATTGTTCCATACCAGTGGAATCATTATCCTTTGTTGATTCATCTTCCTGTCAAACTTCAGACTAGTAAAAATATTGTTATTATCTTCTTATATTTTAATATACGTTTTGTACAATTTTCGTACAACATTCAAGTTATCTTTTATATTACATAACGTTTTTATTAACGTTTTTCGGCTGATGTGTTACAGAATAAGAGTTCAAGTGCACAAATAAAATAGCTGCAGCCAAACGGGCTTGTAAATCATACTTGCTGTGATCATGAAACCATTCTATAGATCCCCAGTGAGAGGTCTATAAGAAAAATGAAAAAATAAAATTAAAAAGTTAATATTAAATTACTTAAAACAAAGTTTAATTTACATACTTGGTAATCTTCTTCTAAACGCGATAGTTTTACTGCATCTTTTATACTAATCATTCTTTCTGCTGCAGCTAAAGTAAGGATCACAGATTTTATTGCATCTACTCCATACATAAAACCTATAAATAAAACAGTATTAATATAGAATATGATGTTTGTATATATTGCTAATAAAATCACTTACCATATACTGCATTGTAATTATAAGACATTAAGTGTCTTGTTAATATTTTTTTTGTTTCTTCAGATACTGCAGGAGCCTGTATACTTTGAGTCTTTGTCATATTCACACCATACTTGTCACAAAACCATTGTACCAATGGGTCCCAATGTTTAATTTGTAATTTATATAAGTCATCACTTTCCTATAACATAATTTTTACATTTAATAAATAAAGTATGTTATAGAAGAATTTTTATATGTAATATACCTACATTTGAATGAAATAATACTGTATCCATTTCCAAGCAATTTACAATATAATTTACTACATTTTCCTTTGTATGATTATTGGGATTATCTATTACAGTATTACTCAAGGCTGTCTATAAAAATGAATACAAATATATCACTATTTTAGTCCAATTACAATTATATAATACTTTACATATTCTTTCAATGCAAATGTACCAAATGCATATTGCTCTTGTCAATGGTTTCTGTTTGCATATCCCATTCAGCAGCTATTGCTAAAGCTAATGGTTTACTATCCACTTGTAATACTTTTCCTTGAGGTGTTTTTAGTTTCCTTTGGTCAAGTGTAATTTCAAATGTTGCACCACTTGATAAAATATTTGTTCTTCGATAAAATCTTTTGACAGTAGCTGAAAAACGATTTCTAAATAAAATAATGAATAATCAATTACTTAACATTTAAAATGTATTGATAGAAAAATTGTATAAAAGTGCTGAAGTAAGAGGTTAAGAGATAAAGAAAGTTTATGAAATATAAATGTATCTTTACCCATATTTCTTACTATATTAAGTGCTGTTACAAATCTTTTGTATTTAAAATACGTCATTTTTAATAAATATTGAGATATTTTATGTCATGAATATTACTTCATCCTTTGCTCAGCTTGTTTTACAAAGTTCATAAAGAAATTATCAACAGCATAAATCACTGATCAATCACTGATAATTCATTCAATGATGAAATAATTAATTCTGATATTCTGCTTGATTCTTTAAATCTATTTTTCATACACCAATTTTAATTTTAACAATTTTGTAAGTATAATAATGCTTGCAGTTATAAAGAATAAACTTATTTATATATATAGTTTCTTTATTTTGGATCTGAAATATTTGCAACATTAAATGTTAGTTCCAAGTTTATTGTATGAAAAATTAAAAAGGAAATACAATTTACAGAAATTTAAATAAATAAATTTCAATCAAATACCACTTGTTATATTCGAATACATGTTTTCCCATCAAATACTGCCCTCTACAAAGTGATGAGATACTTCTGAATTATTCTTGGTGTGTTGATTGCGTGGGTGTGGATCCTGTGAATTGTGTGCATATTTAAAAGGTGCGGATGAATGGTACAGCAACAAAGTAAAAAAATATATAAAAATAGTTTTAGTAATAATAGCACAAAAGAGGTGTGAAATCGAGCATAATTTTCTACAAATATCATAATCATAACTACATGCTGAAAAACAACCAAAATTAATGAAAAATGAAAAACTATCAGTTAACTTGGTTTATTTTAAATATATACTTGGTATATACTTTTAATTTGGAACCAAGAATACCTGTTATTAAAAAAGGATTAAATGGTTCTTATTTCGGCTATTCTGTAGCTGAACATCAAGAAATTCCTGATGATAACACAGAAAAACCAAAAAGTTGGTATGTATTGTTTGTAATTCATTTGTTATAATTACTTAAAATTATTGTTAATATTGCACAATGATAATAATATTTCATTAATAGAACACATTATAATGTATTTTTATATGCTTTCAGTATTACTATAATTTTTTCATGATAATGAGATAAAATATGTGTAAACATTAGATAATCAGTTATAAAACATTTATATCACTTTAAACTATTTATATATTTCAGTTAAGACTTTAATGTTCTGATCTCATTTATTTTACAGGATGTTAATTGGTGCTCCTTTAGACCAAAATAGACAACCATCAACTAATAGGTCTGGTGCATTATGGCAATGCCCTTTGACAACATTTAAAACAGATTGTACTCAAGTGATCACAGATGGACGACTAAGTATGTTGTTAAAAGTTTCTTTTAATACATTAATATAAATATTAATTTCTTTCACTACTTAAAGGATTTAATTTCAGTGTACTTTAACATATCCATGTTTCAACAAATATTTTTAATTGATTCTGTAGATATTATTTTAATCTTAAAATAGTCCCAGCACCTCTATGTTTAAGGAAGCTTAATACATAAAAGTTGATTCACAATAAAAACTCTTATAAAAATATATGATAAACTTAATTATATTTGTATATGATATATATGGTATTAATGTGCATGTTATTTTTGATGTTGTTTCATAAAATCGATTAGTCATCATGCTTTATTTTCTATTACATAAATACATATAATAAGATTATTTTTTTGTTAAATTATGTGTTGGTTAACCAGCAGAAGAAGGGGGTCTGTATGATACAAGTAAGTTGTTGTATGGAGTTATTTGAATGAACAGTTTTTTAATTTTGAGGAATCTCATTTATTGCCATTTTGCATAATTTTTTTTATTGAACTGATGTATTTATTTTTACAACAGCATGATGTTTTCAAATTAATAATTTACATTGTTATTTGATTACATTGTTTGCATTGTGCAAATTCAGAGAATATTAACACGTTTTTTGTTATTTAATTTGCAATTATATCCTTATTAACTATAACATGCTTGTAATAAATCAAATTACATGAATCTTAATTTATTATGATGAATAATATAATGCTTACTTTAACTACTAAATAAACTTTCTAATGCATATTGTGTATGTGTTGTCGCATGAAATTTCATATGCAATAACTTAATCCTCTTCATCCCTCTTAACCCTTTCCTTATTTTATTTCTCTTTTTTTAATTAGCAGATTTTATTTCATAGTTGATGCAACTACATTCACTTGCTTTTTTTTAAAAATATTTTTAATGTAGGGATATTATAGGAAAGTGTTCATTGAACATAATATATGCACATTATAAAACCAGAATTCAATAATTTAAAATAAAATATATTGATGAAAATACATTTGAATAGGATACAGCATTGATTAGATACATCTACATTTAAAAAGAATAATATGTATCATAATAATAAAAATAAATTTTATACATTCAAGATTATATATTTGTTAGGAATTAGTTATAAAACCATTTTTTAACATTTTAGGTTTTGAATCTGATAATTTAGTACCACCTGGTAATGATGAAATCAAAGATAATCAATGGCTAGGAGTAACAGTACGCAGTCAAGGCATTGGTGGCAAAGTAATGGTATGTATTTTATAAGTTTACTAATATTGTTAAGTTGAATATTGTTCTAATATTATTCTCTATAATAAATTTCTAGGTTTGTGCACACAGACATGTTGTAAAAACAGCAGATTCACAATGGGGACAAGGGCAATGTTACATATTAACACAAGACTTAAAATATCAAGATTTAAAAAAACCTTGTTCTGGAAAACCTACAAACAAGTAATCTAAAATATTTTAAAATAAAATACTTTATTAATAATTTCAATACCAATGATTTTATTTATTTCTTTATTTTAGAGCTCATGAGCAATTTGGATATTGTCAAGCTGGAACTAGTGGTGTACTTACTTCAGAAGATCGTGTAGTTATTGGTACTCCAGGTCCACATACTTGGAGAGGAACTCTATACCTTTTTACAATTTCAGACGAATTTTTAACTAGAGATAATACTGTTTATAATGCTCCAATGCAGGATGCTTCCCCTGTCAGTAAATACAGCTATTTAGGTATGTATTTAATAACTAATATAACTCTAATTATATTCCATCACCTTATAAATAATGATTTCAGGAATGTCAGTTACGGTCGGAAATTTCTTTGGAACTGGATTAGCTTATGCTGCTGGAGCACCCCGTTCAAATGGTACAGGTCAAGTTATATTGCTTACAAGACGTGACTTTAAACCAGATATGGATGTTGCTTTTATTTTGGATGGTGAACAATTTGCCTCAAGCTTTGGATATGAAATTACTTCAGCAGATGTTAATGGAGACAAGTACAGTATCTTTCTTTCTTTCTCTATTTAATTAAATCTTATATATAAAAGACATGTATATTATTTTGATGCTACCCAGTTCTTATTACCTTGTGTTTTGATTTTGCTTTTAGAGTTACTGATCTTATTGTAGCAGCACCATTTTACTTTAGTAAGGTAGAAGGGGGTGCCGTATATGTATATACATCATTACAAAAAACTTACAAGGAGGGTGAAAAAAGTAAACCTGTAAAACTGGTCGGGCGTGAAGAATCAAGGTATTTAAATGTTTGATGTTTAGGGTTTTAGATGTTTGAATATGCTAATAAATGTACATTAACATGCATATACAAATTGATTGTAGATTTGGGTTTGCATTGACAAATTTGGGAGATTTAAATAAAGATGGATATGAAGATATTGCTGTTGGTGCACCTTATGAAAAGAAAGGAACTGTGTACATATACCTTGGCTCAAAGAATGGAATAATTACAATTCCATCACAGGTAATTCATGCAGATGACATGCCAGAACCACTACAAACATTTGGTTATTCATTGAGTGGTGGAATTGATATGGATCAAAATGGATATGCTGATTTACTAGTAGGTGCTTATGAAAACGATGCTGTAGCACTTCTTCGATCGAAAAAAATCATTGACATAACTACTTACATTCGCTATTTGAAAAAAGATGGTACATATCAAGAAAAAATAGAACCTATTGATCCGAACAAAGTAGGTTGCCCAGAAGACCCAAATTCAAATCATACATGGCAAGTATAATTTAATGTTTAAAAATGAAACCATCATAATTATTTCCTTACAACGGTGTTATTAAATCATTGCAGTTTTTCATTTGAAGCCTGTTGTAAAACAGAATCTCTTGTAAAGGAAGACGACATGCAAAATTTAAAATTGAATTATTATATTGAAGCTGAAACATATACTGGAGTTAAGAAATTCTCTAGAGTTTGGTTTGGAGGTGGACATTCGCGTTTACATTATATAAATCGTACTGTTATATTAGATACGACGAAATTGGAACATTGTCAGAAAGAAACAATTTATTTGAAGGTAATTTCACATATCAAAGAAAAATTCGATATATTTGATAAATGCTTAATATTCTTTAGGAAAATACACGTGATATTCAATCACCTATTAAATTTCGCTTAAATTATTCATTGATACAAGAAGAACCAATTATGCCTGCTGAAGGAGAATCTTTACCAGACATAAAAAATTATCCTATATTAAACCAACAAGAAGCTGCTCGTGTATTTGATGCAACCTTTCAAAAAGATTGTGGTAATAATGATATTTGTGAAAGTGATTTACAAGTACAAGCTCGGCTAAATTTATCAGGTACATCTTTTAAACTAAAATAACATAATATGTACGTGAAAAAAATTATCAAGTGTAATTTTGTGTTCATTTTTAAGCTTCTTCCGTGAAACCAAATTTTTACGAACTCCTCTTGGGTGAAAGAGAAGAAGTTGTAGTGGATATAAATGTGTCTAATATTGGAGAATCTGCATACGAAGCACAATTATTTATTGTACATTCTCCAAGCTTAAACTATATTGCTAGCAAGAGTAATGATTCTATAAGTTGCAATTTACATAATAGTAGCTTAATAGCATGTTCTATTGGAAACCCATTTAAGAAAGATAAATTATTAAATATACAAGTAAGATTTGATCCTAAAGAATTAGAAGATAATAAATCACAACTGGTATTTGTAATATTTGCAAATTCGACTTCAAAAGAAATAAAAGAAAAAGAACCTGTAAAATTACAAGCAACCGTAGTGAAGCGAGCAGAATTATCAATTAAAGGGTATTTACTTTTTTTTTATCATTAAAAATGTATTAAATTATACAGAATGTAATTACAAGTCATGTATAAATTATAAAAAATATAGGAGCGCGAAAATTCAGTGGGCCCGTTATGGTGGACCAGTTATAGGAGAATCTGCTATAAAATACTTAAATGAAGTAGGACCTAAAGTTTCTCATGTTTATCAAGTATTTAATGAAGGCCCATGGCGAGTAAGCAGCTTGGAAGTACGTATTTCATGGCCTTATGAAGTTGCAAATGATAAAGCCCATGGTAAATGGCTTTTGTACTTAGAAGAACTACCGATTATACAAGGTAACACATTGTTTTATATAAATATATACTACTATGTCAACAAAATATATTTGTTTTATACATTCTACTTTTGTTTCTAGGTTCAGGCGATAGTGAATGTATACTACCACCAGGACA